TCAGAACTGGTCATCACACGTGGATAGGGCCTATATGTGTTAGATTGTGTCAAATTTACTGTGTTCTCAATAACTTAACACGAGATTGTTAATTTAGCACTTCCATATTCAGGAACGTCTTGATTTATTTGTCATCCTGTGAGAAATCAGTGGAAAAGAAACTGATGCTCAGAAGGATGGATCCAAGAGATGGACGATCCAATGCATCAAATTCTCGATGGACGGAAGGTTGCAAGGTCTGTAAATAATCGGTCTCTGAAGGATTTTCACCCTTTCTTTACAGTTTGTCCACATAAATATATGTTTTAAAAAGCGGTTTTATTTTAGTTTCTGCATAATTAATCGACGATTTACTTGGCGATGAGGTTAACACGAGGCTGTTACAAAGAACTCTGTTCGGCTAATGCATCGGTACAATGCTCTTCTTTGGAACCACGTCGATTCAAAGTCGGTGGTCCACAGTCATTCATCCTTGGATGTGGGGCTTTGTCCTTGCATCCAATTGAAGCTTTTGGAGTTGAGCAGTTCTCGAATGAAGGATTCTCACTCTGTAGTATCATTTTATAGAAGGCGTTTGCCATTCTATGGCCATCTAATCGGATCTGCTTGTTTTGGTGCCAGTACATCCTCTATTAGTCGGTGTCATTTTTTGCCATAACAGACGTTAAAAAATTTCAAGTGCGTATTCACTGATTGGTAAGTTGTTAACAAATTTATTTTAAATAATACTGCACGGGATATGATTTTAGTCAAACAACGAGGTTTCTTATGGACTTATATGATGCCTTCTTAAGGAATATCGTTGACATTGATCAAATAATTCCACTAAATCAACATCAGCTTACTAGTGAATAAGGAATAAATAACACCTCGTATTTGCTCAACAAGAATATAAGAATGTCATTGAGTTCTGTTCGAATTAAATCTCTTCGGAATCCTTCGATAGCTCTAGCAGAGCCCTGACAAGCCTTCACTGCTTGCATTTGCCATCCACTGCAGGTCGCAGAGAGCTTCTCCCGCACAGTTTGGGATCAATTTTCCCACCGCGGAAAGTTGAAAAACTTAGTCGGTGTGAGGCCGAACTAGCGACCATGTGTCTATTGCACGGCATTTTGAACCATACCCCTCTATAGAATTAATTCTCATTCGTCTAAGCCTAATAAATAAAAAGTGTGATTGAAATCTGTGGAATACGGCTAAGGTATAAAGCCTGCATGACAGTATTGTTCGCCATCTTTTTTGGCATAATGCCCTCTTAGTCACAATTTTAACCCTTTTATTTACTGCCTTTTCCTTTTTAATGGCAGGGTATGTTGCGAAGTATAACTCGTATATAATGTTGAGATATTTACAAAACTCCGGACCGCAGTTGTATGCGGTGAGGAACGAACGCGCGCTATTGTCCTTTCCGGGGAGTAGCGCACTTCACCACCACACCATCCGGGTCCTCCGTTTTGCCTGTCTTTCAGCTAGTTCTATTGATCTTTTTGCCATCAGCAATCACCTGCGGTCCGGAGTTTTGCAAATATCTCAGCATTATACACGAGTTATATTTCGCCCTCTTAGTCGTTTAATACTAAGAAGCAAAAGCGATTACTATTATGGCGGTTTACATAGTTTTGCAACGGATTTGTTTGTCATGAAGGTATTTGTACCGTCTTAAACACAGAAAATTGCTGGAGTGCATGTATTTATTTCGGGAGAACATTATGGATTATCAGGACCTCAAAAAGAAGTCTGTAGCAGCCGAATTCAAGAAAGCATAAATGATGAAAATGAGTAAAAAAGTTCAGTAATCATCATATACACCTGATCATAGTCTATACTTACTTGAACTTGAACGGCCCGTCTTCACTACTTGTGCGGCCCTCAGCATAACCAACATTTTTAGGAAATTCGCTGGTTAGGCCATTGTGGTTCCCTGGGATCCCGAGGACAGCCTGGCGAAAGTCTGCCCAAGGTCGTCACCACGACAGGCAGTCCTAGCCCTTGTGGATCAGAGGGAGATTTGCCACCATGCGACTTTGATACCAGGACGGTGGTGGATCCTGCTATTGGTTTACTCTTAGCTAGGCTTCCTGATGGAAACGCCGGACTCCTTCTCCGCTCAGGAGACCTTACCTGGTGGACGAATCCCCCGCTGTGCACCGCCACCGCAGTCCGACACCCAGGAACACCTCCCAGCAAAGATGAAGCGGTAAACCATTGGGAGGATCATAGTCTATAAAAATAAAAATGAAAGAAACACGAAGGAGAATAAAATAGAGACCTCTATATTAAATATTTGTAAGGTAATGGATGGTGTGAATGGGCGCGTGTGGCGCAGTGGTCGGAGGCGCCCAACAACACACACATGGAATCGATCACAGCGCCCATGGCCTACTAAGCCTTCCATCCCTCCGAAACCGGAAATTGGTACCAGACTTGTCTGGGAGGATAGCATCACTGGCCCGATATCTAGGTAGGGCACCGTGAGCCGTTGTGAAGGTCAGATATGCATTCATTGACCTCCAACGGTGCTTAATGAAGTCGAATGCATGGCACATCCCTAAGGTATTGATCGACGCCGAGAGCTTTAAAGGTAAAGAGCAGTCCTAAATCATTCTTCCTTTAGCAGCAAATGTGATGACATCTAGTTTCGCATCGTTTGATTCTATTAGAATGACGCTGAGAGATATACAAAGCCAAATTAAATTGATTCCTACCAGTTCAAAATGGTAAAGTGACACACATCTTTAAATGTTTCTTGACCTCAGTCACCGATTTGCTGTATTTGCTTCTGAACCGTTCCATTTTCAAATTCCTGGGTAGCGTTAGAACTTGATCGAAGTAAAGATGCCTAATGGTGTACAAATTTATTTCGCTAGCATCTGTTGTCGTTGTGTATCACAAGGAAGCTTCATTGATTTCCCGTCCGAGTTCCTTTCACTTCGGTTCGGAAGATTCCTGGTTTGGCTTTATTTTTAGTTGGGCTTCCAGGTTGTAACATTGAACCTTTTCTCGACATACGTGTTCCTCTCCTGGAAGATGAGCGGGTTGCTGTATGACGTGCGATCGAACCAGCACCGTGTTCTTGATGATGTTCTTGATGTTCTTGACATATCCCATAAATCGCTAAACAACTGACGGAAGGTTTTCTATTTCAGCACAACCAAAGCAGAAAAAATGAGCAGGATCCAGAATAAAATAGTCAGTACGAATATACGTATTCACTCAATGTACCACAGCAAAGAAACTAACGTTTATAGACAATTATTTAGGACTACCTACGAGGCAACGCCTTTCGAACAACACTACTACATCAGAGAAGCTTGTTAGGATTCGGTTTGTTAAAACTGTATGATTCTTACGTTCTTAAAAATGTTCTTACCAAATATTCGGCTAACGTTTCGACGTCTCTGTCTTCATCAGAGCCGACGATCCTTGTTGATGGTACACCCTTGTTCCACTTCTCGATGTGGCATCTTTGTCTCGCATCGAAGTTGACTGTTTTACTACCTAGGTTAAATGACGGTCGGTTTCAAAATTTTCGTTTTTTTTTATACGACCCGTCTTCACGTCTACTGTGCAGATGCAGTCACTTTTCACATTCGGTTCCTCTCCTTGCATCATTAACGAAGCTCTTCCAACTTTTAAGTGTGGCTTTGGCTGCTTTTTAAGGGTTTTCCTTTCATCATGAATGTCGTAGAATGCTGGTCCACTCGGTCCTTCTTGCAATCCTGAGATAGCCGGGATAACGCGGGCTTGGATTGCAGACAATGAGTTTTTCGAGGACAATTCCAGTACCAATCTCCCGACCACAGAGGGATGAGAAACTTGGTGAGCCAGGAGTGGGATCGAACCAGCACCGTGTTCTTGTTGATCGACATCAATACCACTTTACCATTCGCCCCTGCACGAGTATTAACTGCACTTATTCGAAATATCTCAAAACAAGCATAATTTGGGATAGACTCCAAAGTATTAAATTCTAGAACATTCCTCTAGAATTCAGGATAGGCTTTTTCAAATAGAGCATAAGGAAAGAACATCTCTTGCTGAAATGCATTTCATCTTCGTTGATGACCCTATTTTTCTTGGATGACACTCATACCAACGCAACATCGACGGCATAGGAACAGTTATAATTCATCTATATGTCCACATATTTATAATCAATATTTATCAGTAGTAGTTCATTAGTCAGTGCTTATATAGTATTCATATAGTTATAGCTCATATATTCATCCTATGAGCTCAGATACGAAAGAATGCGTGTGGCTCAATCGTTAGTGGCGCCCTGCAATACACAACAGTTCGACCCAGCGGCCCAGGCTCACCAAGCCTTCCATCCCTCCTAGATCTGGGAATTGATACCAGGCTTGTCTGGGAGGATAGCGGCACTGGTTCGATATATCGGTAGGCCACCGCAAGTCATTGTAAAGGCCAGATATGCATCCAGTCACCTTCAAACGGTGCTTGGTGAAGTCGAATGTAGAGCGGATTCCTGAGGGATTGATCAACTCCGAGAGCTTCATCGTTCTTATTATTACCTCATGCATAAGGATAGTGGTAGTTGTGGGACACTGAATGCCCTCCATTTCACCGTTCAGTTCCGCTTTACTTCTGAACAAAATGTGAGTTTAATGATGTCAATAGGTTTAACGCGCTCCAATCACAAACAGCTACGTGATTCTAAAGACATGCTGGCCGATTACTGTATTTGAGCACTGCCAACGTTGCTATTATTTTTTTCTAAGGTGGTAGATTTACTTATGAGGTATTTTCCCAGTATTTCTAGTTCTCATCTTTTTGATATTCGAGCTAGAGTTAATCTTTTTGAAGCTCTTAACATTTATAGACGTGGTTGACAACGAGCTTGCATGTTCTCTTTGAACTTTTTAAAGTGTCATAGTATCAAGAAGGCGTGGCAGATTGTTAGGTTTCGCGAGTTCACTATGTGATTTGTCGTGCACACTAGTTGTTTTAGGTGCAAGAAGTGAAGAGCGGCAATCATCGATATGTCGCTTCTTATCAAATTCGAGTCGAAATCGGCGCGTGTTAAAGGTAAGGTGTGGAGAAATATGTAGTGGAGGCTGTCTGATGACTTCAAAAGTAATAATGTGGGGAAAGTCCACGCTCCTACTAAGGAAGGATTTTTGAGGGAAGAAATGGACTATTCATTCTTTTTGGTATAGTCAAGTATATGTTAATCCTAAACTATGTGTTAATTCCTTAAATATGTTAGTCCAATATTGCCTGATGAATTGCCTGCAAAAGAAAAGTTGGTAACGAGGTTTTACTTGACTGTTCAGGTATATCATTCCATCCAACAAGACCGTGGGTATTAGCGTCACTACATAGTGGCGTGATTCAGCTATGGGACTACAGAATGTGCGTTCTTCTTGATAAATTCGATGAACACGATGGCCCAGTAAGAGGCATCTGTTTTCATCAAGACCAGCCGATTTTCGTTTCTGGAGGAGATGACTACAAAATAAAAGTAGGTTCTATGCTTATCGTTAGAAGCTTAGATCAAGACGAGCCGTTTTAAGGTTTGGAATTACAAGCAACGTCGGTGTATCTTCACACTACTCGGCCATCTTGACTATATTCGATCGACGTTCTTCCATCACAAGTATCCGTGGATTATATCATCTTCAGACGATCAAACTGTGCGCATATGGAATTGGCAGTCGCGGAACTCGATTGCCATTCTTACCGGTAGGTGTCCTTCTAAAGTGTATTCCTATTACTTGTACTACTCTTTAACTAAATGTAATTGAAATACAAGGACATAACCATTATGTGATGTGTGCGCAATTCCATCCCTCTGAAGACCTTGTAGCGTCAGCCTCTCTCGACCAAACCGTTCGCATTTGGGACATTTCAGGACTAAGTTAGTTTCACATTGTTCAACATAAAATACTACTTCATAAATCTTTTTATTAGCAATGAGGTTCATGCACAGGGAAGAAGCAATTACCTGGAGGAGGTGGAACCGTTCCTCGGCCAGGAACAGGAACCCAGTCGCAAGCAGATCTGTTTGGGCAACCAGATGTGGTCGTTAAACACGTGTTGGAGGGTCACGATAGAGGTGAGACGAGGTTATACGCCTTTATAGTCAATTTCAGTATCTTTCTCTTTCAGGCGTGAACTGGGTATCATTCCATCACACTATGCCACTACTTGTCTCAGGTTCCGATGATCGTCAGGTGAAAATGTGGCGATACAATGAATCTAAGGCGTGGGAGGTAGGTGTTGAATTATTCTGAATGTAATTAATCACGCATGCAAAGTGTGTTCCCGTTTTCTAAGATTATTGGTTCAGCTTTTCATTGCAGGTTGATAGTTGCCGTGGTCATTACAACAATGTTTCCTCTGTTCTTTTCCATCCGAATGCTGAAATAATTCTTTCGAACTCTGAAGATAAGTCTATTCGTGTCTGGGATATGCAGAAGAGAACAAGTCTTCATGTTTTTCGGTTAGTGCAGTGTCGTGCGAACGTTCTAGAGTACTATGCTTACGTGGACCTACTCTGTGTAAATTTAAGACATGAGAACGAGCGATTCTGGGTGCTGTCAGCTCACCCGAATCTCAATATGTTTGCTGCTGGTCACGACAATGGTATGATCGTCTTCAAAATTCAACGTGAAAGACCAGCATACTGCATTGGTGAAAACCTGGTTTTCTATGTCAAGGACAAGCAACTTCGTCGCCTTGATCTTACCACCAAGTACAATCGGATAATTTTATCACTTATGCGGTGTTTTTTGCCGTATGTTTGAAAAAAGATTGCAAGTGATAGAAAAAGGATCGTTTCAGCAAAGATCAGGCAACATGTAAGCTTCGCGCTGCTGCTGCTTTTATGCAGCCGTACTATGCGCTGTCCTACAATCCTGCTGAAAACTCATTTTTGCTTACAAGTCGTTCACACAATAAGGAGCAATGCTACTATGATATCTATAAAGTTTGTATGCTTTTCATCGCTTTTTTCCATGAATTTAACCATATTTGATGATAGGTTGCGAAAGACTCCGATGGAAACACTGAAGCTCCTGTTAGTCGCTCTCCGGGAATAGCTGCTGTATGGGTTGCACGCAACAGATTTGCCGTTCTAGATAAAAATCATCAGGTATGCGGATTTCCTATTTAGTCTGGTTGTTCGTTTGCAGTAATTTGTCGAATTCTGTTTGAGATTTCTTTGCGTGACCTTGCGAATAAGGAGGTACGTAAAATAGAGATGAACATCCCGGTGGACGACCTCTTCTATGCTGGGACAGGTGTTCTGCTGCTCAGAAACGATGATGGTCTTCAACTATTTGACGTACAGCAGAAAAGAGTTATGGCTCACGTAAAAGCTAGCAAAGTACCGTTTGAAGTTTTTCTTTCTGTTAGGGTAACTTTATTATCGTTTTCAACGTTTGCCTTTAGGTTCGCTACGTAATTTGGTCCAAAAACATGGAGCACGCTGCGCTGTTGTCCAAGCACACTCTAACACTTATAAATCGCAAACTTGAGGTGTTTTCACGTATATATTTTCACGTTACGTTTTCACGGTTTAGATAACCTCAGATGATGTAAATGTTCAGCTCTAGGGACTATCAGTTCATTTATAAGTGTTGTGTTTCTAAGGTGCAAAATCTTACGTGGTGCCTTTTTATTGCACTAATCACTGGTTAATGGTTTAGGTTTTGTGCACGCAGCAGGAATCGACTCGAATGAAGAGTGGCGCGTGGGATGACGGCGGTGTTTTTCTATACACTACCTCTAATCACATTAAGTAAGATTTATGCCTTGTTATCTCAGATCGTAGTGTATACAGCGTGGCCGAAGTAAATGGTCGCATGATTTGTTATTTATTTCAATCTTTACAACAATTTCAATGCTATTTTTTGAGTTGTTAAGAAATCAGTCTTCTATTAGGAACTGAACGATTCCAATATAAAGTCTTAACTTTTGTTTACTGCCTATTTCCATCGTGAGTTGCTGTGTGAAGAGTAACCACAAAGATGCTGAGGCGTGAGCAAAACTCGAAACGTCAAGGGTACTTTGAGCCCTCGATCAGCTCTCATAAGCGTTGCTTAGTTAAAACAATGATAACATGTCTGGAGTACAATTTTCTCAAGGATTAATGGTTATTTAACAGTCCGGAATTAAATTCGCGGTCTTTCTGTCTAGGGATGAGAAATTTGACGCTGTGGTAATACTGCCGCTCATTACGTCGAAGGGCTAACCAGCTAGGTGCTTGTTCAACCACACCAGCCTCCACTAGACTTTCCATCCCTATGGGGTCGAAAAATTGGTTTCACTCTTGTCTGAGATCAGGTCACTCAAAAATTCACGTGGAAACACCCTATCACGGTTTTCATAGGATTCGAGGTAGGATGGCCTTGGCCAGCATTTAAGGACATTCATGAAGAAGACCAGGACCAAGTATTCTCAGGAAGAAACTGAGAGCAGACGCAAAAGTTTCGAAGACCTTCGTTGATGATGGATGCGAGGAAACTAATCAAGTGCGTGAAGTACTGGGATCAGTAGAATATTTGGTTTGTGCTCAGAGCCGAATAATATACGTTATTGCTAAGTCGTAGGATCCACGTAAAGCACTGGTTAAAGTACCTCACCATGCACGCATGGTCGTTGGTTCAACCGGAAGCCACGAGCAAACCCATCCCCCATCTTTCTGGGATCAAAAGAGTGGTACCAGATTTGTTTGAGCGGACAGCGGCACTAACTTAATGTATTGGAAATCCGCGAATCGTTATATAGAAAAAGTGTGCGTTCAATCGCTTCTGCGATGTTGCGATTGGGGTCGAATATATGGCGCATCACAGAGTGACTAGTAATATCAGATGCTTTATCCCTTATCTTTTTTACACTGTTGAGTTTCAGTGGCAATAATTTTAGAAGATATGTTTAGAAACAAGAAAATGGAGTATTTTCTGGTGTTCTTGCTTTACGAGCTTATTATATTTTTAACCGGAAATTATTTCCAGGTATGCGTTAATTGCTGGCGATTGCGGCATCGTTCGCACCCTCGATTTACCGCTATACATTCTCGCTGTTCGCGGTAGTGTGCTCTATTGTCTGAACAGGTTAGCAGTTGAGACGAACATCAATACTGACAGATTCAGAAACGGTTCTACATTTATAGAGAGGCCACGCCTGTTGAAGTGCCAGTCGATGCAACCGAATATCGATTTAAGTTAGCACTTATCAATCGTCGTATTGATGAAGTAAACTTGTTAACTTTTAAAGAAAGTCTTGTCTTGATAGTGGTGTTTTTCACTTAGGTGTTAAATATGATAAAAAGTTGTACGCTAGTGGGACAGTCGATCATAAGTTATCTGGAAAAAAAAGGATATCCTGAAATCGCTTTGCACTTTGTGAAAGATGAGCGGACTCGTTTTGGTCTTGCTCTTGAATGCGGGAATCTTGATGTCGCTCTGGAGGCTGCAAAGGTGAGTGCGCATCTTTTTTATATTGTTACCCAATCATTTTATTTGTTTATTTAACTGAATTGTAAAAAGCTCACCATCTAGGTTTGTGATGATAAGGCCGTGTGGGAAGCGTTGGGTGAAGCGGCTCTCATTCAAGGCAATCATCAGATTGTTGAGATGGCCTACCAAAGAACAAAGAATTTCGAGAAGTTGGGAATTCTTTCTTCATTTTCCAAATTTTGTGTTTTATTGTTGCATTTAGATTATCCTTCCTCTACCTCGTCACTGGTAACACTGAAAAGTTGTCTAAAATGATGAAGATCGCACAAATGAGGAACGATGCTCATGGTCACTATCAAACCGCCTTGTATCTTGGCGATATAGAAGAAAGAATCAAAGGTAAGATTTCTAGTCTGAGCATTAGTTATTACAATGCATTAAGTGTGCGGATCTCATGATTAGACATTTAGTACTAAAGGGTGTGGGACAGACTTCGCTGGCTTATCTGACAGCGGCTACCCATGGCTATGAAGAGGAAGCTAATCTTTTGCGCTCTGAACTGGAATCGAGAGGACAGCCGATTCCACCCGTTGATGCCAACGCTAAGCGCCTTGTCCCACCGCCACCGATATTCCGAGTATGTTTTGAAAATGTCACGTTTTTTTAGAACGTGATGTTTTGTAATCTATTTAGTTGGAAGAGAATTGGCCACTTTTGTCAACTTCACGAGGTCCGTTCGAATTTCTGGGCCTTGTTCCGCCTACCAAGGTGACTGGAACTGGTGTTTCCCAAAAACCAGCAGCAACTGCATTTGCGATTTCCGATGATGCTGATGTACGTTTAAACTGTGTGAGACAAAGAGATTTTTTTGAGATAAGAAATATGGCGTCGTTCTAGGTTAATGAAGGAGATGTTTGGGGTGAGGAAGGAGATTACTTGGTGGGTGAAGATGGAGAAATTGAGGTTTGTAACTAGTCCCTGTTATTTTTATTCTTATATTATGCATATATTGTATTCATGTGGTCAAGGTGGATGAAAACGATATTATCGCTGGAACTGCTGAAGACGGCGAAGGTGGTTGGGATGTAGAAGAAGATCTTGCGATCCCAAATGTGCCGATTGCAATAGGATCTGAAGGTATCAAAAAATTCTCAGAATCATAGGTCGTGTTGAGGTTGGGTCATATTCCTGAGATCTTTGTTTATCTAGATGTTGTTGTTCCGAATCGTGCACAGCCACCGAGTTCGCATTGGCCGTCGAACAGCCGATTAGTTGCTGACCATGTTGCTTCTGGATCCTTTGAGTCAGCTTTTCGTTTGCTTCATGACCAGATAGGTGTTGTAAACAGGAAGCCTTTCAAAGATGCTTTCTTAGCGGTCTATGCAAGGTTTGTTGTTTTTCCATTGTTTGCTTCTGTATATGTGCATCTTCTTTCTCTTTAGCGCTCGTGTGTGTTATTCCGCTTTACCGAGCTCGAAAGTCCTTTTTGGCTACCCGTTGAGAAATTGGCAAGAAGCGTCTGGAAAGTGGGTTTTCCAGTGAAAATATCAATCATATTGAAGATTAGATAAATGAACGAACCTTGGTAGGAATGGGTTACCAGCAATATCAGTGACGCTCGCTGATTTGGCATCACGATTACAAGGATGCTATCACTTGACTACTGCTGGTAAATTTGCTGATGCAATTGATAAACTACGTAGGATTCTGCTCTTCGTTCCCCTACTTGTGGTTGCTTCCAAGCAGGAGGTGAGAATTTGTCACACAGTTTAAAATCCATCTAGGTAAAAGTGCAATTGTTTATGTTTTTGCCTATTTCTATATATTTCATGTCGCGGTACTCTTGCGAACATCTAAAAAGAAACTTAATTTGACAGTTATAGTAAATATATGGTTATTTCAGGTAGCTGAAGCTGAACAACTCATTGAAATATGTAGGAATTATCTTGTCGGACTGGTAATGGAATGTGCGAGAAAAGTAACCTTGTTTAGTAATACCAATTTAAACATAAAGTCGCTTTTCATTACCACGATGTTTAGGAAATACCGAAATCGTCACCTGCCGAGTTAAAGCGAAATGCAGAAATGCTTGCGTATTTCACACATTGTGAACTTCAACCAATTCATCGAATTCTTACACTGAGAACGGCTATCAACGCTTTCTTTAAATTGAAGCAAATGCGAACCACCGCATCGATGTGCAAACGTCTATTGGAGCTCGGTTTGTCGTTAGAATTGTGAACTTGGTGTCGATAGAAACTAGCTGAGAGACAAACAAAACGAAGAACCCGCATGGTGTGGTGGTGAACGTGTTAGCGCCCGGAAAGGGTAATAACGCGTTCGTTCCTCACTGCAAACACTTGCGAGTTTTGAAATTATCTCAGCACTATTGTGGTTTATTGTGGTTGTACCAGACATAATACCCCGCCGTGAAAAATTGCAATAGGCAATGAATAAAATGTTACCATTGAGAATTGTGAACTGTCTATTGCTTGGTGATCTGCTTCACTCGATTGGTTCATTAGGTCCTAAACCCGATGTTGCCGCACAGATCAGGAAAGTGCTTGCTGCCGCTGAACAGGATAATAAGGATGCTCATGAGGCAAATATTTCGTTCTTTTAGTTGGAGTTTTTTATTTTCCTTTCATTTTCTCTATTTTTTGCGTTATAGTTGGCTTACGACGAACACAATCCATTCGTTATATGCTCACGAAATTTTGTACCACTCTACCGAGGAAAGCCTCAGTGTAAATGTCCATTCTGTGGAGCATCCTTCTCTGCTGGTTTGGAAGGAACAGTTTGTGATATCTGTGAGGTGGCTGAGATCGGGAAGGACGTTATTGGATTACGAATTTCATCACTTCAAAAATAGACTTCATGGAAAGATTAAGCTCACTTGGTACTAGGGATTCTTGTTGTTTTCCTATATATATTTATCTTGTGTAGATATAAACTTTACATCGCCTACATTTGAACGATGCCACCGATTTTGGGTCTCACTAGGTTTTTTAAGTTGCAAAACAGTGGCGTATGTTTTGGTCGTTATGGTTAAAGAATGTAAGATTTATACCTAAGATATTTATTCCAACTAAAGGACGGTTTGATTGTGCTAATTTTTGTTATATTTATTAATAGTGCTTGTGAGATTGTGATAAAACTGTTTGACTATTGTGATAAATCTTCCATATCTAGCTCTGTATAACACATCGGTTATTAAACTTTTCAGCATTAGGTATGTCTATCGTTATTCATGGAAACTTTCCTATCTGAAATTGGCAATAGTCAAATTGATGGTCCTTGTAAAACATAGTGAGACTCTCCCATCGCTGATGTACACTAAAGACCTTCTGTACTAGTGTTTCTAGGCTTGCAGTAACATCAGACATGGTCGTTATCCAGCCTACCAACTACCCACTATGTTGCTCAGCAGCCAGCCTAGAGACATTTTCCGAGTCGATTGGTGTAAGTGTACATTTAATGGATATTCCTTACCTTTTTTCTCAGCCATACCTAGCAATTACTGATGTGGGCGGTGCATCGGTTTTTGCAACATATTTTTAGTGCCATTGATTCACTATGAGTGTACTAATCTGTATAATCTACAATTACAATGTACATCATCTTCATAATACTTATGGGATCAGTCCTGAAGTTCCATGAGATCTGGGCACTGAAGCGATACGGATCTGTATTATGGTAATCAGTTGTGCGAAACTTTCAGACTGTGTGTGTGTGTGTGTGTGTGTGTATGTGTATGTGTACGTGTTATGTGAATGTGTATGTGTGTTCTCTGTGTGTTCTCTGTCTGTCTGTCTGGTCTTAGTTCTTCTAGAGCGGGAAGACTAATCGAGGTACGGAAAATTAGGCCATGAATTGTGATCTTGCGGAAAAAACTATTACATAAAACTCTGGTGCTTTGGAAAAATACATAGGTAAGGTGAAGCAGCTTAGAATAATGATGTCAATAGCAGTGCTCTGAGCAAGATCATTTAACATATTACTTAAATTTTATTTAATAACAACAGGCATGGCTATTCATGCACATAGTTCAGCGCATTGATCGGCAAGAAAGTCCACATTTCTGCTGACATTCAGTGATAGAACTTGCCGAACGATGTTGACCGGGAAAATCGACGTTAGCATGACTTCAATCTCTAGGTCCGCTTTGCTTCTTCCCCTGCTGCCGTTTTCATTATGGTTGTTGTCATTGTAGCTAATTTCTTCTTCTAACGAAGTGTTTAATGGCCAAAGACTTGTGTCGGCTGTCTTAGTAATGTCATCGGATCGTTGTGACTGCTCATCATCATCCGTGCCATCTACAAAATAGTTGCTCAGTTGTTCAGGTTCATACGACAGATTTCCGGAGAACGAGGTTAATTCGGAAGTACTAATCGACTTCGCACCACTCTGTTTCCTTTTAATTCGGTCTCTAGTAATTATCAATGTGTCCATATGGGCCACAATTTCTTCAAGAGCACTCTCTTGACTGTAACTGGTGTGGTTCCGATGTCCATTTATGTCGTCCGTAGAAATTCCGTTATTGGCCACCTCACTAAACAAACCAGCGGAATCCTCACTATTATCAGTTATGCTTGCAGGAATCATATCGAAAGGATCCGTTGGATGCAGCGACAGTTCTTTTTGATAAGAGTGTGTTGCTGGTATGTTGTGGTCACCATAGAAGTCTATTGAGGCAAAATGGTCGGCTACATTCGTGGTTGCGTTCGATGAAGTGGTATCAGTACGAGCGTCATCCATAATTGTTTCGCTAACCTTTGAGTCTGAAGAAAAGCTAATTTATTGCGATTTTCCATATTAAGTTAAAGCTTTGAAAAGTGACGTCATACAAATCATTCAGATATATGCTATTGAGTTTAGCAGAACTAGTTTAATGTATGTTGAGCCGAGCGTCAACTAGGTTGGATATAAAGAAATTCAAATATTTCCGGACGACCATCCACACGATGAGCTGACGTGTTCGTGGTTCACGTCAACCATCTACATTCGCAAATAAATGAGTACTGGTTCCTGCTATGTGACCCACTGAGGTTACCATTTTCGTAGCACTATGGTCACTACGATGAATGAGGGACATTGGATGGAAACTGTGGTTAGACCCGTACTACTTGTGAAGTTGGGCCATTTAAGTATCCAGTTACGTATATAACTAACTAAACTCACTTGATACGAAGTTGATCTGACCCACAAAATCGCCTTCCATTTGATAGTTGACATCCACAGTTTGATAAGAAATCTAGAAGAATAAGCAGATCAGAAACCAAAAATAAATCTGAGCATTCTTCTTGTGAGGCACTCTCACCATCTGATACCCGGGCAAAATGTCCAGTGCTAACGGACGAATGGCATTTTGCTCACATAATTCGGCTATCATATCGTCGATGGCATTGATTCGTTCATCTTTTCGTTTCACGTTCCACAATTCACGGCGCATGAAGACCTTAACCTCTCCAGTAGTGTAATAGAAGAATTAGGTGTAAAAGAACAAAGTACGCCAATTCTGAACTGGCTTTAAGCACGAGAAAATGTGCCATCCAGGCAAGGCGCATGCAGTTCAGAAGTTGGAGTTGCAGTGCTGCACACACGTGTTCTTCGGTTCGACCCCGTGCTCGGCGAAAACGAAGCCTATCATTCCTCGGCAAACTGCTATCAGACTTATATGGTAGAAACAGCAGTTCAGTGTATTGGCGGGTCCCCATAGGTGAATGGCAGCTACACATTGCTCAACGTTTAACCTCCACGATGCTATTAATGGAATCGAATACATGGTGTATCTCTAAGAGTTCGATTGCCGTGGAACGCTTCTTCTTTTTACGCTTTAAATGTTGGCTATCAGCAATCACAGCACAATGTTTTACTTTTTAGTTACTGTCTATTATTTTTTATGGCAGAGTATTATGTGAAATACAACTAAAATGATGATATTTGAAAAACTCGGAACCGCAGGTGAGGTTTGAACCCGCAATTAGTCTTTCTGGATGTTTCTCATTGAACCACCACAGCCCTTGCTTTGCCTTTTTCACCCGACCAGTTTTTTATCCTAACGGTGCTCTCAGCAATCATCCGCTAGTGGGAATGATCTGTGAAGAAAAAATCGTCACTGAACCTAGTAAACTGAAGTCGCAGTCGAAGTCATAATGTTTAACGCTTTATTTACTGCCTGTTATTTCTCACTGCAGAGTACGTGAAATGCGGCCACAATGATGCCAAGTTATTCGCAAAAGCGCATTTCAGACTGGAAATTCGTTCATCATTGGAACAGTGTTGAGTGTTTTGATCAACAAACAAGCATGAATACTAGTGACAGTGGTTATAATACTTATGGAGTAGTAATGACGAAACAGTGTGGAAATATCTGTGTCGTTCACTCCGTGCATGGCTGTTTGCACAACTTCATCACAGGCACGTGCTGTGTTTTGTGGATGATCCAAGCTGATCGCAGGCAAGTCTGGCACTAATTTCCGACCCCGAAAGGGTGGGCGGACTAGTGGACTTCGCGCCAGGTCAAACCTATACCTCACTCGAACGGAGCGGAACGCCACCACTACCACTTCGCTACATGCTCTTCGGTGAGGATATATCGGCTTTCGTCTTCTCAGCGTTGACATCTACAATTTTGTTTTCATGGTTTGAATAGTGACGACACCATACAGAAGAGATATGGGAACTAAAATATTGCCTGTCAACGACGATCATCGGCATCTGAGACGAACCTTAGAAAATTCGGGATCATCAGGACTGGCGAATATTTTCTGAGCAATCATCTTTGCTCGGAAGGCGACATCTTCATCTGAAACTACATATGTATTTGTAGAAATAAGATCGTAATAGTCATACTTCTATTAAAAAAACATGGAACTAACATATAAAGAGCTCTGGAAGAGCTTTATAGAATACGTCCACTTTATGGTACACAACATCATAAGGTAGAAAATTGAACTTCACGTCCAGTGTCCTATTCAAAATCACCGGATGAAACTCACTGAATTGAACTGTATTTTTCTTACAAAAAGGAGGAAAGAGAACAAACTTCTACTGTTCTATTAACTTACCTATAAGCTGGCTGCGCGAGAATATCTTTAAATTTGTCGCCGCTTAGCACACAACCACCGTGACGTGTTGCTAACGTGGTAACATACAAGTCGTCGTAGTTAATGAATGCTCTGGAATTTCCGATAGGTGTTTTTCGTTTAAAATAGGATCCAAATCACCGTTATTTAAGAAGTGAGAGCCGGCTGGTTGTGTAAAGTGATAGAGCGATCATTCAATCACCAGGAATTGAACAGCATCGGTTGCATCGCTATCAGCTACGGCATCATCAACTGTGAAAGGATAAAAAGCGTTAGGTATTGATCAGTCATCTAGGGAGGCTTTATACATTCGATTCCACTGTAGCGTTTTAGGGGTTATTGAATGAATATCTGGTCTGTACAATAACTTGCGGTGGTCTACCTACATGTCAAGTCAGTATTTTTGTTCGCCCATTTAAGTCTGCTACCTATTTTCCGATCCCGAAAATTCGGGAGGCTTGGTGAGCATAGCGCGAGTGATCCAGCCAAGGACCGATCCTATGCGTATTGCAGCGCACCTCTAATCATTGCCCTACGCGCGCCCACCATTAATTATACTAAGAAAGACCTCAGAAATCCCACTTTCGATCTCCACGTCCGGTTCTGGCTGGCGTGAATGTCACTAAGCCAAGTTCTTCTAACTTCTGAAATAGGAAGAATAATAATGTTCACTGTGATTTTGTAGAACATCTCCTGATTACCGTGATCCTCATTAATCGCTGGCCAAGTATTCCGCACCATTCCAATTACTTACCGTCAGTAAATGTACGTGAACGACATTGTAATTATGTGAGTTATTATATATAACCGGAAGAAATGCGACGACATCAAAATCTCTTACTAACAACCAACGAATCACTGCCATCAGTCCTGCACAGTTCACTGCCCTGCAAAATGGTCGGTCAGGTTGTGAGCGTGGTTCATTGAAGGGCATCGGACCACAATGGCTGCATTCATTGAAGTCGAAGATGCAAACTCGTCGTATCGACTAGACATAATCAAACAGAAATAGTGGCGATAATAGGCGACAACGCGCATAGGTGAGCGATAATATGCGAACTGCGAGATTAGGCGATGTAAGTGTGGCCGGTGTGAAGCTCCACTCGTGTGGTTTTCTTATGTTTTGTAAAAAAAGGGAACCTTCATGAACGAAATATTAACCGATATTCATTGGATGCACGTAAAGTCCTTTATTTTGTAATCAATAACCATATTTTAGAAAATAAAGCTCACTCTCGTCCGATACCACAAGCACTTCTTCCAATGTTGCACCCGTCTATCACGATGAGTCTTGGTAGCCAGTCACGACCGGGTTTAGCAAAACACGCCTCCTCGCCCATCACTTCTAAACAGTCCGATTTTCAAAGCGTCAGAGAGTCACTCTGTTTCGAAGAAGTAAAAGAAATCGTAAGAAGTATACACGTACCTGTCAAGCCAAAGCATTAGATAACCGGAATAGATGCCACAATTATGAAAACTGAGACACACCTAAGATAGCCTGAAGCGTTGGATAGCTTAATCAAGGTAGATCCATACTGATAATGATGTGATTTATACATCGTCGATCTCGAATTTCGGTCTATTCCATCAGAAACACTTTGATCACATTTCAAACCTACTACTAAAGCGACGCTGGGGAGCGTTAACGCGTCATCGCAATGTCGTCTCGAATTTGTTATGTTCATAAAAGGATGAAAGCTCTCGGCGTTAATCAATCCCTGAGTATGAGCCATGCATTCGACTTCATTAAGCATCGTTTGGAGGTGATTGAATGCATGTCTGACCTTTACAATGACTCGCGGTGGCCTACCGATGTATTGGGCCAGCACAGCTATTCTCCCATACAAATCTGGCACCAATCAGAAGTGATGGAAGGCTTGGTGTGCCATGGACGCGGAGATCAATTCCACGTGTGTGTTGCAGGGCGCATCCGACCACTGCGCCACAGTCGCCCTTTGATAGGTCCATAACTTAAATTATATTTGCCATGGAACAAACGATTGTCTCCTGTTTTCATATTTCGTGGGCATCCAACGAAGCGGTTAGTGGTGCTGTATGATATACACAGGGTCATTGGTTTGACCAGCACCAAGGACAAAGCAAAACGATAAATTGGTACCAGATCTATATGGGTGAGTAGAAACACTGAGTAAACACATCTGCAGGCCCTCGTAAGTCACTCTGTAGGTCAAATATATATCCAAAATTGAAAGTCCGTCTTTTGAATGATTGCATTCAATCACTTCTACGATGTTGAATGGATTCGAAAATTTGGCGGATCCGTAAGGAGTTGATCGGCCAGCGAAAGTTTATCCCTTACCATTATTTCGCAATTTTGCGCTGTTCTTTTTTGACTCAACTTCCACTTGTTACCACTACCTTAGTCCAGTTCTACTAAGCACTTTTTATTTGATGGTATATTCATGACAAACTTATCGTCTTCTGTGGGCGCCACAAGTTCTGGGACAACTCAATGCCTTCGTTTTCTTAACGACAACAATTAGTGAAGATCGATTAGTGGTTGTGTTCTGCGATATGTCTATTGTTAAGTGGAAGTCGTTGACCAACTCGTTGATCAGACATGTCAACGAAGAATACAGTACACTATGAGTTTGCAAAACGTGCGGAAAAACCGCGCCGCCTTTGCAGGCAACGGGAAATGTGGAGAATTCACTGACGCGTGTTCAAGACACGCTACGATCAGTGGATATGACACATGAAACAAATTATATCTGCACTTGTTGATATCATATGCTCATATCACTGCGGGTGATTGTTGATAACACGGTCACAGTAGAAAATTCGCTGAGGGAAAGGCAAAGCAAGGACCTCGGTTGGCGTAGTGGAAAGCACGTTAGCCCCGGAAAAGGTAACTATGGGTTCGAGCTTCACCTAGAGCTCTAGTTTTGCAGTTGCCTCAGCACCATTGTTGTTGCATTTCGTAGGATTTTTTATTCTTAGAAAATCTTAAAATTCTTAATGACGTTCATACGCATTACATGTCTGGCTCATCTTATTTTCGGCTCATAGGACAGCGTCTTTGATATTTGACCATTGGCTAAGGTCGGAAATTCGGACCCCTCTCTCACCTGCGTGTTGAGGGATACCCCAGCATAGCCTTCGGTTGCGCGTTCTATAACACTGATTGGTCTTTCAACGTGCTTACGTAGCGACCAAGTTTCTGACGCATACGTTAGGGCAGGAAGTACCGATGAGTTGAAAAGGTGGGCACGGAGTCGGGGGTTCTTTGTCCTCTTCACTACATCCTCGATGCTCTTGAAAGCTCCTGAAGCCGCTCGTTTTCTTCTGCTCAGCTCTGGAGCTAGGTCGTTCATCATATTGATTTCCCGGCCTAGATAGACATAACTGGAGCATTCGGAGATATTCGTCCCGTTGAGCGTGAATGGGGCATGCGAAACCAATCCGTTCTCATGAACATCGCCTTTGTGAGATTTAGTCGAAGACCAATCTTTCCACAGGCTTTATCAAGGTCATCAAGCATACGCTCTTCTTGGGCAATGTTTGGTGTTTTAAGGAGGATGTCATCAACAAAGCGAAGATAGTGTAACTGTCGACCATCGATTTTCACTCCCATATTATCCCATTCCAATACTCGCATGACGTTCTGGAGGGTGGCAGTAAATAATTTTGGCGAGATGGTGTCGCCCTGTTTTGACGTCAATGTTAATGTCGTTGACGGATGGTGATATCTAGGTTGAGAAATTTTTGTACAGCTCACGAAGATTCTTTATGTACTGAGTAGGGACCCCTTGACTATCAAGGGCTTCCAAGACTGCTTCTATCTCAACTGAATCAAAGGCCTTCTGTAAATCGATGAATGTGAGACAAAGCGATCTTTTGTACTCTCGCGATACTTCAACGAGCCTTGTAACCATGTGAATGTGGTCCATCGTACTAAATCCTTTTCGAAACCCTGCTTACTCACACGGCTGCCCTTCGTCTAGTGTTCTGTCAATCCTTTTTAGGATGACTCGAGTGAAAAGTTTTTAGACGACAGACAGCAAGCAGATTGGGCGATAGTTGCCGATATCGTGTAGGTCACCCTTCTTGAAAAATAACACGATCTTGCTGGTCTTCCACTGAGTAGGGACCTTGCATTCAGACAGGTAACGTCTGAAGAGCCGAGCCAGTGTGTTTGCAAAGACTGGCGGAAGGTTCTTCAGGTGTTCTGGTCTTATCCTGTCCGGACCTGGTGCTGTTCGATTTTTCACCGACGAAATGGCATGTCGGATTTCGGAAGGTAGAACCGGTGGTACAACATATCCGTCCTCCTTTATTTCGTATCACGGAAGGTGGACGTGGCTATCGAAGATCCGAGTAGTATTCGTGAATGATTTTCTCCATTGCCTTTCTGGACGCTGTAACTGTTCCGTCTGGGCGTCGGAGTGCAATCATCTTGCTCTTGTAATTGGAGAAGCTTCGGTGGGCTTTGAGAATGCTTTCCCCAGCCTCTGCAGCTTCGGCCATTACTGCTGCTCTTCTCTCTTTAAGATTTTCTTTTATCGCCTGTCTGCATTGTTTTGCAAGTTCGGACGTTGGTTCGCGGTTACTTGTAGCTCGTTCGATTCCACGCTGGCGTATCACTTCGAGTGTTTCTGGAGGAAGACGTCTCTTGGTGACTTTCGAACTCCGAGCTTTCATAGCTCTAGCGTGAAGATTTTGAATGAGCCGATCGTATTCTTCGTTGATGTTATCGACAACGGCATCTTCCCAACAGCCGATTAATGAATTGAACAAATCCCAGTTTACGGTGCTTCTGGGACTTCGGTTTTGGAACTTAGTGGCTTTTTCTCCTTTCCACGAGAAATAGGTTGCACGAAGGAGGTGGTGATCTGATCCCGTGTAGAATTTCGGTACAACAGCGTCATCGGTTAGGCAAAACCTTCTATTCACTATGATGTGGTCTATTTCGTTATGGTGCTTCCCTTTGAGAGACTCCCACGTCCAGCGTTGAGGGTGGGGCTTCTGGAATTGCGAGTTACCATGGGTTGTCTTGTTCGCCATGATAACTCAGAGAGCCGCTCACCCTGTTCGTTCCGTTCTAATCCGTGGGTCCCAATGTGACGTATTTCAGACGTTCTTCTTGGTCCAATCTTGGCGTTGAAATCTTCAATGATTACCTTAAAGAGTGTGTGGTCTTCTCTGTAGAACTTTCGGCCGTCGATTTTCAGCCAACAGCCAACAGGTAAATGCTAGATATTATGACTCCGGCTGCAGCTCCAGCTTGGCTTATTCAATACCGATTTGTTCTCTCCTGATAATTCCTGATAACGGGTGATTGCTGACACCATCGATAGAGTAAAAGCAAGGCTGAGGGAAATACAGAGCAAAGGCATCGGTTGGTGTGGTGGATACCACGCGAGAACCGATATTCGCGGGTTGCAATCCCTCGCGAGGTCCCAAGTACTGCTCTTGTGGTGGTATCTTTACTGTCCTCAATTGTTCATTCTTGCGATATCGTTTTTCGTAGTTGCATCGAGTCGAGTGGAATGGAACACCGCATGAGCGGAATAATATTGCTGGTTACTACTATTATACTTTTACAGGTCGGTTGTTGATCTATTACTATCCAATGTTTTCATGGTGGCAATGCTTCCTTTAGCAGTCGCTAGTATGATAGCTAGAACAAAGTGCAAACTCGAATATTCTTTAGAACCAGCCTTCATATGACGGAATGAATAATCAAACTATGTTTTATTGATGAACTTAGACGAGTTTTTTATCAAACATTTATTCGGTTAAAGTTTTGACGTCTCCGTCTTCTTCGGAGCTGATTATGCAAGTGGATGGTCCACAGTCGTTCGTCTTCGCGATATGGTGACTTCATCGTCGTGTCGAGACGAATCTTATTAGACGAAAATCTTATTAGAGGAAGGTGCATCTCAATACGATGACGAAGGCACCACATCACGAGTACGAACGACAGTGGACTATTCACTCGGATAATCGGCTCCGAAGAAGACGGAAACGTCGAAAAGTTAGCCGAATATTTGGTAAGAACCTCGTTTTAGCTTATTAATGAGAAAAAGTGCATTGATTATTCACATCGAGAGTGAGCGACAGTCGGTTTACAAGAACACGAGGGTATTGACAAAAATACCTGAGTGAGGGAACGAAATAATCAACACCTGGTCATGTTCATCTCGATGTTACAGAGCTTCCCGACTTGTTTAACTTATGAAAATAAAAGAGTTTCTAATGTTTCTATTTATCTTCGACCCTGATCCACCGAACCATTTTATTGGAGATTGTTTCTTCCCTTATTGTTTGCCTCCTAACAACTCAGCACTTTTTTCCTCTTTCGATAGTCTTACATCCATGAATTTTGTTCAAAAGAATTTTGATTCGTGAAGAATCCGCATATTGTAAATAACAAAAGCGATAAATTAAAGGAAAAATGTGTGAAAGTGCCTGTGTGTTTGTTTTTGGTGTCATGTGCCTGTGAATTAAAGTACACTGTTACTAAAGAGAACACAGAAATTTTTTATATCGGTGTTTCACTGTTCTCGTTGACAAACCAAGTCGGTATAACACATTTCAGAGTGGTTTATTCGACTTAGACATGTCACTTGGGTGCAAAGTATGCCGATTGAGTACCAGGAGCCGAGCTACCAGAAACACCAAAATAAGCCGATTGGGCACCGCCAGCAGGAGTGCTGAGTTTTGGAACAGCTCCTCCACCGCCACCACCACCTCCACCACCACCTCCCACACCAAAGTACGCCGACTGGGCACCTCCACCGCCGGCTCCGACACCAAAATATGCTGACTGTGCACCTCCAGCGCCTCCACCGCCTCCACCACCGATAGGAGCAGCAAGAACAGGCGCACCACCAACACCACTAGGGGCACCCACAGCTGTCATTGTCGACCGTCCGCCTACAACGGTAACTAATAAAAAAAATCCTCGCCATTATTTTCTTGGGAATAAACAAATACATTTTTTGAATAAAAAGGTGGGAAAAGATATTTCCTCTACCTGCAGCTGCAGGTGCACCTATTGCCGTCATCGTTGATCGTCCTCCAGCAGCTATAAGTATAACTCCTACTAACGTGCTTCTACAGTTCAGTTTCTCAGCTTGCTCTCGAATTCTAATCGTATTTTACATGTTTCGTAGCAGCTAACTTCAAAAAAATCTCTCACAACACACCTGCATCCATTGGAGCACCAACAGCAGTCATCGTCGATCGTCCTCCAGCAGCTGCAAGTCATATTCTTGGTAAAATGTTTCTACATCTCTGTTCCACAGCTTGCTCTCAAACTCGAATGGTATTTAACATTTTGTTTCGCCGCAGCTGATTTCAAAAATTCTTCCACAACATACCTGCATCCATCGGAGCTCCAACAGCAGTCATCGTCGATCGTCCTCCAGCAGCTGCAAGTAAAANGCATAGTTAATAGTTCCAGCATTTAAATTTCTCAGCTTGCTCTCGAACTCGTATCGTATTTAACTTGTTATTTCGTCACGGTTGACTTCAAAAATTCTTCCACAACATACATGCATCCATCGGAGCTCCAACAGCAGTCATCGTCGATCGTCCTCCAGCAGCTGCAAGTCATATTCTTGGTAAAATGTTTCTACATCTCTGTTCCTCAGCTTGCTCTCAAACTCGAATGGTATTTAACATTTTGTTTCGCCGCAGCTGATTTCAAAAATTCTCCCACAACACACCTGCATCCATTGGAGCTCCAACAGCAGTCATCGTCGATCGTCCTCCAGCAGCTACAAGTCATATTCTTGGTAAAATGTTTCTACATCTGTGTTCCTCAGCTTGCTCTCAAACTCGAATGGTATTTAACATTTTGTTTCGCCGCAGCTGAATTCTTCCACAACGCACCTGCATCCATCGGAGCTCCAACAGCAGTCATCGTCGATCGTCCTCCAGCAGCTGAAAATAAAATTTCTAGTAACGTATTCCCACATTTCGGTTTCCCAAATTGCTCTCAAACTCAGGATGTACGACCATTTATATACTGCTCATTATTTTTTCATGGCAGGGTTTTATGTGAAATACAACCACAATGATGTTGAGACATTTCCAAAACTCAGAACCCAATACAGATTCGAACTTGCGACTAACCTTTCCAAAGGATTCGTGTTATACACTGCACCACTGAGGCAATTCCTTTGCCTTTCTTTGAACAGTGCCACCTGGCTTAGGGTTTGAGTTTTGCAAATATCTCAGCATCATCGATCAGAAATAAGAGCATAATAAAGGCGAAACGAAGGAATAGCATGGTGTTGTGGTGAACGCGTTAGCCCTCGGAAAGCGTAGCAGCGAGTTCGACGACCACCGCAGACACCTGCGGCCCGATGTTTTGCAAATACTTGAGCACCATTGTGGTTGCTCTCAAACTGCTGTAGCCATTTATTTATTGTTTCGCTGCAGCTAAGCTATGAACAAGGGTATGATGTTTATGTGGCCAGGTTTAGAAAATTCGCTCACAACACACCTGCATCCATTGGAGCACCAACAGCTGTCATTGTCGACCGTCCGCCTACAACGGTAACTAGTAAAAAAGAGTCTTCGCCATTGTTTTCTTGGGAATAAACAAATACATTTTTCGAATAAAAAGGTGGGAAAAGATATTTCCTCTACCTGCAGCTGCAGGTGCACCTATTGCCGTCATCGTTGATCGTCCTCCAGCAACTATAAGTATAACTCCTAGTAACGTGCTTCTACAGTTCAGTTTCACAGCTTGCTCTCGAATTCTAATCGTATTTTACATGTTTCGTAGCAGCTAACTTGAAAAAATCTCCCACAACACACCTGCATCCATTGGAGCACCAACAGCAGTCATCGTCGATCGTCCTCCAGCAACTGCAATTAAGAATCCTATTGAGTCCTTCCTGCACCTCAATAATTTAGTTTCCTATAGAATCCTAGCCGCACACTACTTACTGTCTCGATGTGACTAAAGTGTGAAGGTGGGTACGAGTTTAACATGCTTATATTAAAAAATTCGTCCATAACACACCTGCATCCATTGGACCACCAACAGCAGTCATCGTGGATCGTCCGCCAGCACCTGCAAGTAGATTTACAACACACCTGCACCCATTGTAGCACAGACAGCAGTAATGATCGAATAACCGCCAGAAATTGCATGTGAAATTCCTAGTAAGGTGTTTGGGCACCTAGGTTCTCCAATTTACTCTCGAACTCCAACCGCGCTTTATTTGTTTGGTTGCAACTGTTATCAAAAAATTCGCCTAGAACACACCTGCATCCATTGGAGCGCCAACAGCAGTCATCGTTGAACGAGCAGCACCTTAACACGAAATTGTTAGTAACCAAAGTCTAGTTTCTCACAGTTCTTCCAAATTCTATAGACACATTGCTTCTAGTATTGTTTCACTCATAGTCTATGAAAATGTTGGGCGCGTTAAGTCTAGCGGAAGAGACAGATCTGATAAAATTAGGTTCTGATTCATATCTAGATCTCTATTATGTTGATTAGGAATTGTCTATCTGTAAAATATCAATATCGCATTGCAGTTGATAGGAATGTCGTAAGATTTTGTACGTATTCGGTTTCACCTGCACCACCTGTTGGAGCACCAATAGCAGTCATCGTCGAACGTCCACCACCTGTACGTAATTATGTTAACGTAACGGTACTCCTAAGCATTTCATCATTATTGTGAACTCTCTAGTCACTCTAAACCCTGGCGTTTCATTGACACATTAATATAGGACGATACTTCATTGGTTACTAACGATTGAACTGAAATGATCTAAAAATTAATCCACAACACGAAGTCCATTGGCCTGATAAAAAGTTACTACAACATAGTGAGATACTATATCTCGCATTAATCTGATAGCAATATGATATTGCTTCCGACACCCTATGGCCCATTTTGAATCGCTCTCGTCGTTATATTCGGTCAATTCTTAAGTGTGTAGCGTACAGAATCGATACCTCGATATAATCGATGTTTTTGAAACGGGGTAGAAAAGGAACGACGAACAATGTAAAAGGAAGGCAGATCCATGGTATATCTTTGATGCCCTTTTTCGCTGTGTAAAAAAGTGCTTTAGTGGATCAACAATTCACTATAGCTAGATTGGAAAAAATGCTGCTCATTCGTCGTTCGAAACGACCGTCGACTGGGATCATCGGCTCTGATGAAGACGAAGACGTTGAAACGTTAGCCGAATAAATACCTATATCAAGTTCGTGCTAGCTTAACAATCCAAGAACGTACTGATTATTAGTATCGAGCTTACATAACGGTGGGTTTGAAAATTATTTTGTTACTCGCCGAGTCGTAGCTAACATAATACCGACTGCCGCAGGATGGATTATCCGTTGGAAAATAAATTACTACCAACGGATAGTCGTTATTAACAGCAACAATACTGTATGAAAGAGCGCTACCGGGTGAGATTGTCTCATTCCAGCGGCGCCAACTGAAGAAGATCCGACTCAATCGGACGACAGAGACACCACATCGAGAGGACGGGCGAATGTGCACCCTTGACTCTGTTCGTTGTCTCTGATGAAGATGAAGATGTCGAAACGGTAGCCGAATAAACATCTATACCAACCCCGTCGTAAGGGCGCATGTGGCGCAGTGTTCGGAGGCGCCCTGCAACACAAGTGTGGAATCGATCTCCGCGTCCACGCTCCATCAAACCTTCCATCTCTCTGGTGTCGCGTGCCAGACTTCTCTGGGAGGATACCACTACTAGCTCGATACATAGGTAGGCCACCGCAAGTCATTGTAAAGGCCAGACATGCATTCAATCACGTCCAACGATTCTTAATGAAGTTGAATGCATGGCGCATCCCTCAGGGATTGATTAACGCCGAGAGCTATATCTGTAGAGTTTCTATCAACCTCGTATTAGCTTAATAATCCAAGAAGGTGCCGTTGAATATGCTTCGGATATTAACATCGTATGACCTTTGCCGCATGTTTCCGTCCCTCACAATCAGCAACTTGCTTACTTTTACCATTAACTGCTGGTGGCTGAACAGTAGTAACGGTCGAACATCGCCGTTAGCTACAACTAAAACATGTGGGTGTTTCTGCACCTCAATTTCTAAGCTTTCTTCTCAACTCCAGTAGTAAATCACATAGTATTTTTTACGACTAAATTGTGAACGTGAGCTTGATGTGAACATGCTCATTTTCAAAAAAAAAATCATCTATAACAAACCTGCATCCATTGGTGTACCGATAGCAGTCATTGTCGATCGTCCTCCAGCAGCTGTAAATAAAGTGTAAATTGTAACTGCATATCAGTTTTTCAGCTTGTTCTTGATCTGTAATCGCACTTCATCCGTTCTTTTCTTGCGACGTCAAAAATTCGTCTACAACCCACCTGCATCCATTGGTGTACCGATAGCAGTCATCGTCGATCGTCCTCCAGCAGCTGCAAGTACAATTCCTATTAAGCTATACCTGCGTCTCACTTTCGCAGCTTGTTCTCGAAGCCCAATCAGACATTACATTTTCCTTTGTTGCAAATAACTTCAAAAAAAAGCTGGAAGCAAGGCTTCAATCGAGTTACCCTACACTTCAGTATCCTGTTTTTTTTTTACTCTAGTCGCACATTACTTTATGTTTCATTGTGACTGAACTATGAACATCAATATGAAATATTACGTCCTCATGTTGAAAACATTCGTCTACAACACACCTGCATCCAGTGGAGCGCCTATAGCCGTCATTGTCGAACGTCCGCCAGCAACTGCAAAAAAAAATCCTAGCAAGATGTTTGAACACCTCGGCTTTTCATCTTTCGAACTCTAATCGCACGTGATTAAGTGCTTCGTGAACTGTGCATGCGTGTATAACGTAAACATGCCTAATTAAAAAAACACCATCTACGGCACACCTGCATCTATCGGAGCACCGACAGCTGTCATCGTTGAGCGGGCACCAGCAGCTACCGGTGGTGCTAAAAAATCATGAAATATTGTAAATATACAACAAAAAAAACGAAACGAAATTACGACGTCCACCACCTCCGGTACTTATAACAAGGGCTGTTCCAGCTGCTGTCGGATTGACCCCGAAATACACAGATTGCCCTCCAACTGCTGGTGCGCCTGCGACCCCAAAATAAGCTGATTGGACCCCTCCGCCTCCTCCAACTGCTCCGCCGGCTAGTTTTGGTGACGTTGGTCCACCACCGCCAACGCCAAAGTATGCTGACTGGGCGCCAGAAGAGGCACCCGTGGCTCCAAAGTAGACCGAAGCCATTAATAAACACAACTAGAAGACCGTGTAAACCTATCCGAAGTTTTTGCTTTTATACTGCTATTTGTTGATCATCGGGACAATGGTTATCATGCAGATAATTAATGCATTCATTTTTAAGCACACCCACTTCTGTCGTGGTGTGCACAATTCCTTATCAGGACTATGATTCGGAATCAAGGCATTTATAGTATTCTTAGGGAACGGGTGTAACAAAGTGGTAGTGGTACTGATTATCATGAAGCACGGTGCTGGTTCTACCCTGCCCCGGACTCATCGAGCTCTGCAATCCCTTCCTTCAGGGTCGGAAGTTGGCGCCACAATTGTTTGTGAGAAATTTCCTCTCTGTAGTCCAACTAGGAAGGTCCTGGCCCTGATGTCTAACGAGTACACGGGCTAGACTCGATCAACATTCAACGACATCTATGGCGACAAAATCCTCAATTAGCAGGCGAATGCACGCATAAAAAAGTGAAGCTTCTGCTGGACCATTATATTGCTAATTTAATACTGGATCTTGTCTTGTACGGATTATTATTTATACAGTATACATTTTATACGGATTATACAAATTGGCAACGAAGAGTACAATACATCACATTTACCTGTGTAAACCTAGTTACAGTTGTTTCGTTCTATAGTACTTAATCTGAAAACAATTAAGTTGGATACATTACGGTTACTATGATGAAACACTTCACATTTCCTTTATCACAGCCTGTTGGTATCCACTCACTTCAAGATAGTTATTAACAATCCACTGCACATATTAATAACCATAAGGAGGAGGATAAGATGAATTGCCGTTTTCCAAGTAGGTTCTTTGTTAGCACATCGTATTTTGGTCCCCCTGAGACATAACCAGGAAGAGAGAGAGGTAGTGACTTTACTACATTCATGATTGTATGTCAAAAACTCAACCATTTCCACCAGTAGACTTGTCTGCCTACAAATTGCAGTGCAGGCTTTTCACAACAATTCGTCTAGGAACTCCTTTAAAAGCCATAAACAGAGTTTTCCGACCTGGCATGGTGTAATCGTTCAATGTGAACTCAGGACAGATCTTCAAATTTCCTAAAGAAGCCTCCTGAAACGCTGCGTTTTTCCAAAGTTTTGATAAGGTGGCCGACTTTTAAAACATGGACCTTTATTTTCGAGTTGTTTAAATAGACAGTAGAGCATACTGCATACTAGCACTATCCTTCCAAGCACTAAAGAAGGTGGAACTCGCCAAAATACCGAAATACCAATAAATATTGTATTATGACCATGGTTCACCAATAATGCAATGCTCAATAGAATACGAAAGGCAGTCTAAACTCTTCACGTTAATCTGCACCGGTAATACCATCCTCGTCTTTTGCCGCAGAATACGACTTTTTCTGAAACTTCGGTACACCATACGATTACTCAGTCAACTATGTATCTTCGTATATGTTGCCATTACAATTATAAAACATGCTATGATAGCTCAGCAACCACAAGACTTGTGGTGGCTAACGAACTCTATAAAGTTTTCGTCCCATTCATTTACTTTTCAGAAGAATCCAATGAGGCTTTATTGTCGGCGAAAAACTCTCTCATGTTCGGAAAATATGTATATATGGCAAAACAAAGCCATAACCATTGAGGTTTTAAATTTCTCACAAAGTTTGTACACAAAAAGGCACAAGAATTTAGCAATCAGGTAACATAACGATACTAATCCTCTACAGCTTAACGTTCAACTCTACTGATCCAGCTACCGTGTGAATTCAGACGAAGGATGTGATATTCGACTAGTAGGAGTGCCAGACATGTATACCGGGGTATCACCGCCGTACATGGAACCGTAAGGAACCGGCACTGTTCGGGGTCGAATATCTGATGCACCACTTTCAAAGGTGAAGTCGAAAGTTCGTTCGTATTTTCCTATATCGCTTGTCATTCCATCAGTTAAAGAATGCACTGTCGCGGCCTCAAGTCCATAAGGATCCGTCTAAAAACGAATGAAAGGTTAGTGCGTAACAGGTACGATAACCTTTTCTCAAAACATTCCACTTCATACCTAGAGACAAAATCGACTCTATTAGTTAAAAACTTGCATAGAAAAGTGTTAAAATACTCACGACAGGGCGCTCATTTGGTATATGCGAATAGCTGAGGCCTTGTTGTTGAGCGGCGGTGCTTGTCGTGGAAATATCGTTTGGTTGAAATCCGTACTCTTGTCTATTGCGTCGACGTATCTCATCGTATTTAGTGGCAGACTGACTAATGCCGTACTGGAAAAATTGGAAAGAAAACTAAACAATAAGAAAGATTACCTAGGATAAACAGAGCTACCATAAGATGTTGGAGATCCTGTTTCTATTCATGACATTTCTAAACTTCTACTTCGTAGTTAATTCACCCCGATAATTTCCATAACAGGAGCACACTTAGCAACGGACATTAAACGCCACAGAAAACACAAAATCCCAGGAGAACTTAAAGAGTTTCTGCAAGTTCAACCGCTCATTTCACTCAAAAAAGAAGATTCCATGAGTTTCTACATAGATCATCATCTCTAAAAAAGTAGTAATATCCAGCTTAAGATTTCCGACTTCTAAAAGTGAGGAGATAAAACACCTTTTGCCACATCTGCCCAAGAAACGGCTGAACACGATCACGACACATCCCCATTGATAGTACATTGACGCCAGTTAGAGAAGCAATCCCCATGATAGCATAGAATGGCCATCCTTTCGGACCAAAATGGTATTGGGGAGGAAGGCGTGTACGTGCAAAGTACAACGAACCCAGCACAGCCACCGTAATAGGAATTCCTCGAGTCATTGTAACCTGAAATCTGAGTTAGGATCTTGGATGAAATTTGAGGAATATACAACTATGAAAAGATAAAAGAGAATATTTATGAAGATCTCACTGATTTAGACAACAGAAGTCCTGTCTGAATGACCACCTACAGCGCAAATAATCTCGTTAATCAACAAGTAGCTCGAAAAAAGCAGCTTTAAAGCAGTCACTCGTCATTTTCGTGACTTTGAGAAACTCGTGGAGTTCTCCTTATTCAATCGGAACAAAGTAGCATGCTTTTTACATAATGCCTTTTATTTTCACTCTTCCGCATGAAAATGTGGAATTCTTCAGCTGATCGTGATGAGCTCTGGGAATGAATTCCTCTCTCTTAACCGTTTTATCTACTGCCTACTCTTTTTAATGGCAGGGTATGTTGCGAAATATAACATCTATGATGCTGAGATATTTGCAAAACTCCGGACCACAGGTGTCTGCGGTGGGGAACGAACGCGGTATTGTCCTTTCCGGGGAGTAACGCGTTCACCACCACACAATGCGGGTCCTTCGTTTCGCCTTTCTCTCAGCTAGTTCTATCGATTTCAGCCATCAGCAATCACCAGTCATCGTGATTGATATGGTGAGCCCAAATCGGCAATGAACCTAGTTAAGCTGAGGCTTTAGATATAATCACAATCTTAACCGTTTTATTTATTGCCTACTCTTTTTGATGGCAAGGTATATTGCGAAATACAACTTCAATGATGCTGAGATAGAACTAGCTGAGAGAAAGGCTAAACGAAGGACCCGCATGGTGTAGTGGTGAACGCGTTACTCCCCGGAAAGGACAATAGCGCATTCGTTCCCCACCGCATACACCTGCGGTCCGGAGTTTTGCAAATATTTCAGCAACATTGAAGTTATATTCTTCTCTCTTAGTTGAAAACTGCCGTCGGACATCCAGGAACACTTACAGCAACTATGAGGTAACAAACCAAATGGATGATCGTGAGCAAAGGAAAAGGATAGAGCGTCGATCTTTGAACAAGCCCAGAGAGATAGGTCTACACAGTGAATGAACAAAAATGAAGCGCATGAGAAGTGGGCACTATCAAAGGAACTGCTAGCGGGACTCTTGTGACTACGGTCACATGTAACAGAACATTTGCCATCGGTTACAATTTATCACATAAATGGTTATAAAAAAGGCCTTGAGCGACGCAGTAGTTTGTTCAAAATGTTGAATGACCACGATGTCTTGGAAACTTCTGTAAACTGGCGAATAGTTGACAGAAGATTATCGGTTATTAAATACTTGCGTCTAAAGTGTACCACTAATTGGAATTTCCGAACTTACCATTTAAAAGCAGGAAAAAAAGATTGGATTGCCACTAAACATTCTTGGACTTTGAAGTTGCATTACAAGTATATTACAACTTACTTACTTGGAAACTTGAAGGGCGCATCGTCATTGGTTGTGTGGGTTCCTGCATAATCTCCATTTCTTCGGAGTTTTCTTGGTTTAGCCACTGTGGTTCTCTGGAGTCCTGAGGTCAGTCTAGCCAAAGCCCTGCCCCAGGTTGTAATCACCACAGGCAGTCGCGGCCCTGATATCCTTGACCTGGATCTGAGGAAGATTTGCCACCATGCGATTAGTTTTATAGTAGGACAGTGGTGGATCCTAGTATTGCTTTACTCTTAACTAGGTATCCTGATGGAAATTCCGGACTCTTTTTCAACTTGGGAGACCCTGCCGGGTGGATGAATCACCTGCCGTAGATCGCAGCCCGACATCCAGGAACACCTCACAGCCATGATTAGGCGGCAGACCATTGGGAGGATATTACAACTACGATTTTGACAATGTGCAATGTTGGCGAGATTCATCTTCTAGCAGCTCAAGGCGTTCGAAAGCACTCGAAAGTAACAGCTCATTATGAAAAAGATATAAGATATAAATTATGCGAAATCGTTGGAATTTCACCTACAACGTTAAAAAAAAAGAGGATTTGAGAATGTTACTGATCCACTTATGTACATGACTAGATCATGTATGATTACTTTACGTCAGATATATATTCTTAACTGTGAAAGTAGAAAAATAGAGTAGGAGTAATGCAACTAGGAAACAACTAGGAATAAATCACACAGTACCTCAGTGGTACAAGATTTCAACGCCTTGGCCAGCTCATCTCGTTCATCACTGGACATTTTGTTCAGCAACATTTGTAGCTGCTCGGCATTCAGTTGCGTTTTCTCCACGTTTCTGTCGTTGAAAGACATGTCTCACTTCTACTGATCTGAAATACGAATTATTGTTGTTAGAAGATTGTTAAAGCACGTGGGAATATGATACTTTTCTGAATAACACGACAGAAACACGTATAAGAATTACACTATTTTAAAAAAAGGATAAAGCACTCGGCGTTGATCAATCCCTGGGGGATGCGCCGTGCATTCGACTCCATTCATAGCACCGTCAAAGACGATTGAATGCATATCTGGCCTTTATAATGATTCCCGGTAGCCTACCGATGCATCGATCCAGTGCTGCCATCCTCCCAAAAAAGTCTGGCGCCAGTTTGCCAACAGCTAGAGGGTGGAAGGCTCGATGAGCCATGGGCATGGGATTGATCCCATGTTTATTGTAGGGCGCCTCTAACCACTAGGCTACACGAGCCCCATTATACTACTATTAATCACAATCACTATGTACTTTTCGAATATTACTATTATCTGCGTCAAAGAAGTGCAAAACCAAAAGCGAAACGAACAATTCCAGAGGAAGTAACAATTTTCCAGCTACACTGCAAGAACGAGGAAATCTCAATGGGATAAGTATATACAGGTAGTTGTAGAAGTATCGACATCTATGGAATTGAAAGGTTTTCTAAAGAAAATGAGACGGCGATAAATCTGGGAGATAGGAAGAAAGTTTGTAGACGCCTTGGAATGCATATGCATGAAAAAAAAATGAGAACCCAAAACTGAACTTTGTCCTACCACAGCTTCTTTTCTTCTACTTTTGCGGTTTCAAATAACCTGTCTTCACCATCTACTGTACGGATTCCAGAAGTTCTGGTAATTCGATTCGTATCCTTGCCTCCACCATCCACGAGGGTCATCCATCTTTCCGGTTCTGGGCCCTGCTGTTACTTGAGGGTTCCTGTCTTCTCTATGAATGTCACTGAATGCTTGTCGACTCGATAATCGCCGAAGTCCTGGTGTAGACAGACTAGGGCGTTCCCACTTGGAGAGCAGAGTGTGAACTGTTCCCATACAAGTATGTACCAATTTCGCGACCCGGGATGGATTAGAGGCTTGAAGGGGAGAAGCGCAGTTCAACGAGGACCGTGCTGTTGATGATTTTTCGTATTTTCTCTCGAAACTGTCTTTATTGGAGTTAAGTGGTTGAAAGTATTCGATCTTATTTTATTTCAAACACTGTTTTGGCTTCCGGTGTTCCAACCAAAAAATGCCTCCCACATACATTCAGCTGGTTTTCACATTGTCAGCAAGAAAAAAGTCAAAAAAAGGCTTTCAGGTTCAACACGTTAATGTACAAATCTGCTAAAGTAAGTTCATACACTGCAAAAATAGGAGTAGACCAAGGCACAGGAAAACCTTGCCAGCATGTCTCTAGAATTGAAGTTTGCGCGCTCCAACGCCAATGAATCGCCACTTTTCAACTTAGGACCACTAAATCGCTTAACAGCTGATTCATCGGAATTAATTAACCTTCGTTATCCTTCTGGAGATATTTGTAGTTTTCGTAGCTTCAGAGAAACCCTAGAATAGAGTAGTAATAGGATTTCCTATATTCTACAACGATAAGCTGTAACAGAGTCTATACATGCTGTTATGTTTTCCTGTAAAGAAGCATCAATCTCATCTCAGTTCGCCGAAGTTTCTGCTTTTCTAATATTTGCAAATGGGTCGTACATTTGTAGATATCGATTTTTCGTCTTTAAATATATTACAGTGATCTTCGACTGACTGAAGAAATGTTGTAAATGTTCAAAATAACGAGTTCTTGTTCAATTGGTGGTACAGTTTGATCATCGATAACACGTTCTAAATCGAATCGAATTCATGTCGAATTCCGCTGAAGTTCATCAACACCAAGCGCTTTATCGTTCATTCTTCATCCGTGGTTATAGAGTTTGTACAATTTAGACTGTAATTCATATTCTCACCATTATTGTAAGGGAGTATTTTTTCGAATGTCTAATTGAACGTTTATGTTTGAACATATTTTCCTCCAAGGTTCTTACAACAGTTGCCCATGAACTAGCGCTATACTGTCGCGCTCGATTTTCAACTGAGGTAAGTAATCATTGTCGTAGAAGACCTGGTTAATCTAGGTTGCATAGCATGGTTTTTTTCAGTACTTTCTTGGTACTGGTACCATATTATCGCTGTAGGAGGTAGGCAGTAGCTCAGGCGTATGGACCTGTATTGTTTCATAGTTTTGCCAGTTAAATACATTCGCATGTGATAACTCTGCGGCTCGTCTCACATTTAGTTCTGGTGTCTTTCACTTTCGTCGTCAAGCATTTCATTCTGTTCCAACCGCTTCGTCAGATATTTTCGATCTAATTCTCTTTTCGTTGAAATGTTTCGCAATTCATGAATGCTACGTCCTTGACGAACGGAATTCTCGGCCTTTCTTTCTCAGTCCACATTCCTCAATGGCCTTTACTTTTCCCATACTGAGGAATTTACTTACTATTTTCATGTAAATGTACATACTGACATATTTATATGTATATATATGTATATATATATATATATATATATATGTTTGTGTATGTGATGGACATCTATACACATTCACGTGGATCAATGTATACGATATAAACTTAAACTTAAATATAAATATGTATGTATGAATAAAAAAGAATAAAGCTCTCGCCGTTGACCAATCCGTGAGGGATGTGCCATGCATTCGACTTCTTCAAGCATCGTTAGAGACGATTGAATTCATATCTGGCCTTTACAATGACTTGCAGTGGCCTACCAATGTATCGAGCCAGTGTTGTTATCCTGCCAGACAAGACTGGCACCAATTTGCCGACCTTGGAGGCATGGAAGACTCGCAGGGCGCTTCCGACCACTGCGCCACACGCTCTCCTTTGTATAAATAATATGCACATGCAAAAATATAATATATGTATATGTGTCGTGTTGTATTTTCACTTATTTCTATATTTAACTGTTATTCCAGGTTTACGGTTCCAATTATTACTTTTGTTCAGATCTTTTTCGCTTTTGTAGCCTTAATGGATTCATATTAGCCGGCTGTGGAAGTGTCCTGAACGTTCTTTCATTTTGGCCTTGTTTTTTTCTTTTAAAATGCTCATCTGCTCGACTCTTATCTCCACTTTACTTCTACCCTCTGGTAAGTCGTTTTTTCTTCTTGATGTTCTTTGTCTTATTTTCTTTTTTTCAGTAGTTTCCTTGAATAATTTCGTTGATAACTATGAGACACTAAACTATCATGTTGTGAATACTGCTAGGAGAAAACGTTCCTCAGGCTATGGAGAGCCGATAAATTTAAAATTCCATGCTTATAATAGGTGGGTTTTCTTTTGTCAAGGATGTATTTGCTATCTCTGAAATCGCTTTCTGTGCATGTTAGAATGTGTTATATTTATCTATATGTTCTTATGAACTGATCTTGTTGAGCTGTTGAGACATTGGTATAAGTTGTCGTTGTTGCTGTTATTTTTGTTGTGGTTGTTGCTGTGGTTGTTTTTATTGTTGCTCTTGGTCGGTGACCGACGTTTCGGCGATTTCGTCTTCCTTAGAGCCTTGATGTTGCGAGTGGGACACAAAAACGACAACTTATTTCAGCCTCGCCTCAGCTCAACAAGATCAATTTATAAGAACATATTAATAAATATGTCGATTATTTATGCCGAGTTCTATGGAAGGTCGCTCTTTCGACTATGTGTTATGTTTTTGTACATATGTTTGTAAAACTACTATGAATGGGATATCTATTTCTAATAATTAGTTTTTTATTCACATTGGTGTCTTTTATTTTGTGTTGTTACATGTTTTCGATCTGTTTCCCATTACTATTGCCACTAATGGTTCGTTCTTCAGATCTTTTCATCTTAGTCTGCTACCATTAGAAGAGCTGGGTGATCAGTTGTTTCATCCGGACCATATCTTAGATGAAGATGGCCAGTATGAGGAAATACGGCCTCAGAGTTTTCTCTATGAAGGTTTTGTCAAAGGTGGGATCTTTTTTCGAAGTTTTAGGATTTTCTTCTGAAACATCGGTTTATGTTTATTTTTAACACCTTATTTTAATCGGTGAGGCAATATCCAGTTTCCTTTTGTCTTTCGAATAAGATTTTCGTGACATGATGTTGCAATACTTATTATACCTGTATAATTCTTCGTTCATCCTTACTTTCTGTTTAAATAGACTTATGTCATAGCATACAAGCGCATGAATATTTTGTAAAGAATCGAGTGCTTGCTAGTAATTTTTAAACGGTTGCTTTTCGAATAGAAGCAGCTTTTTTTTGTGGGTTCCTATACTAGGAATTTTGGTTTTGAAATCTAACTGATATAGTTTTACGTTACAGTTTTTCTTTCAGACGAACCAGGTTCAGTGGTTTATGGCTCCATTCTTGGCGGTGTATTTGAAGGCCACATCAGATCAAGTGATGGTCATTCATATAGTGTAGACAGAGCATCGAAGTACTTCGATTATAACAGTCGTCCATCACAATATCACTCAATTGTATATCGAGATGAAGAGATTAACCACAACAAGATGCGATTTAAAAGGCTTGTTTGCAGTACGTTGCTACCGCTTTTAATTTCTTGAAGAATCGTTTGTTTTACAGATCACCTGGAAATGACAATAACTTGTACGGTTGTGGGCTTAGTGATGGAATTAAACATGAAATGGAGCGCATACAGCGATCAGCCGAAATCCCAATGGAAGTTTACACGAACTACATGACTATGTATATAAGTCTTCATCATAATTCCTTGCTAGGAATTTGTTAGATATTTTGCTAGGTTTGCCATAAGTGGTTTTCCTGCGACTAGCTCCGTTTCAGGCAAGGACGTTCAAAACGAGCAACACGAGACGATAAAGGTATATACAGTGTAAGGACATGCTCCCTGTACTTACAGGCCGATCATAAGTTGTATGCACATATTAAGCGGAAGGAGGGAAACAATGACCCCATTAGGTGAGCTCCTCTATTTTGAGCGCAGAACACTAAACACAAATTCAATTGCTGTACGTTCGTGCTGTTATAAACCTTACCATGAAGGTTTTATTGTTACAGAACCCGAGAAGAAATTGTCAGTTTATTCTATAATCACATAAAAGCTGTTAATGAAATATACGAAGGAACCAATTTCAATGGTATTAAAGGACTACATTTTGTGATACAAAGAACATCGGTTAGTTTTTACACATAGTCCTTTGTAATGTTTTGACCTAGTTGCTTTCATGTTGTTTTAACTGATATTTAGAATACGATGTTTTTTTTTCTCTCTGTAGAATTTTTCACTGTGCAGTAGTGTGCAATATCTTGTGAATAACAGCCGATCTTTATTCCTCAATGAACACGTTTACCATTTTTTGGAAACATTTTACTGTTATAAGTTTAGGTGTTCAAGGTTTAAAAAAATAGCTGTGCTTCTTGACGATAAGTTTCAGATCTATACACCGGAAACCTGCGATCGCGGACGTCCAGTTAAGGGTAGTGACAATCCTTTTTGCGAAGAAAATGTTGATGTATCTAATTTCTTGAACCTTAACTCTCAACGTAATCACTCGGCGTTTTGTCTTGCATACGCACTTACCTTTCGCGACTTCGTTGGTGGGACTCTTGGATTAGCGTGGGTGGCTAGTCCTCAGTATAGTGAGTTACATAAACATTTAAGGTGAATTTGTTGTCCTCTTTTAATTTTTGTTTCCAGACACAGCAGGCGGTATTTGTCAGGTATATCAACGATACAACGAGGGATCTAGAGGCTGGGTATTCCGCTCTTTGAATACAGGAATCGTTACTCTTGTTAACTATGGAAATCGCGTACCTACACGAGTGTCGCAACTTACTCTTGCTCATGAAATAGGCCACAATTTTGGTTCACCTCACGATTTTCCTCTTGGTGCCTAATATTTATGATACGGCTTCAATCTGATGAGTGTAAAAACTAACAGCTGAAATGTTGTAGAGTGTCAACCTGGTCTACCGGATGGAAATTTTATAATGTTTGCATCAGCTACATCTGGAGACAAGGTGAACAACGCCAAATTTTCTCCTTGTTCAGTGGCAAATATCTCTAGTGTTCTACATGTTGTTCTCCAATCTGTGCCTATTGATCCCACACGTCATGCAGGGCCTGTCGGTGCACTGATGAAACGGAATTGTTTCCAAGGTACTTTACGTCGTTTTCGGTAGTGAAGACTTTTCCATGCACTGAAAGCGTTTTCATAAGCGGATTCTTCTCCCAGTTTCTTACTGGCTCTAAAATTTCAGCAGAAGTGCACATTACCGCTTCTGTCTCCTTATTCGTATTATAAAACTGCTTGACATTTGTATAAATATGTCTTCTTACATTGCGTAGTATTTCTGTTAAGCTAATGTTTAAAGTTTTAGAGCGAACATCTGCTTTCTGCGGGAATCAGATTCATGAACCTGGAGAGGAGTGTGATTGCGGGTTCTCGCAGGCCGACTGTGACCAGATGGGTGATAGATGTTGTGTGCCGCATGAACCTACGCGGACTGGTTTCAGCGCGAGTGCGGGCCCTTGTAAACGGAAGGTTGGTGATTAGTTTCATTTATCTATTTCTTATCTTAGGTTATTTTTTAAGTCGTCTTCTCAAATGCACACTTTCTTTTGTACCTTTTTATTTCATTTTTTTGGATATTGAATTTCTAGTTCTTCCGGATGGGATTCTTATTCTTCAGAGCGGTGCAAGATGTTCTCCTTCTGAAGGATACTGTTGCAATCCTGAAACGTGTTCACTTCATGAGGCAACGGATTACAAGGTGTGCCGACAGGTATGAATATTTTTCTTCATTTTCAAAAACGAAATATATTTTTGTTCAAAAACCGACTTTCCTTTAATCTTTTCAGCACTGATCAACATGTATTCTAATAGTTAACTAGAATGTTATAGTACAAATAAACAATAATGAGTAGTAATATAGTTAAGAGATTAAAAAAAGGATAAAGCTTGCATATCTGGCCTTTAAAATAACTCCGATGACCTACCGATGTGTTGAACTAGTGTTGCTATCCTCGCAGACAAGTTTCGCACTAATTAGCTGACCTCGGAGGGATGGAGGGCTTGGGCTGGAGCGCAGGGATCGATCCCAAGTGTGCAGAGCGCCTTCGACCACTGCGCCGCACGCGCCCGCAATAAAGAAGATATGAGGAAATAATATAGTTATGTATTAAAACTCATACCAATATATGTATGTTTTTTTATTTGGAGGAATCCGAATGCAGTGAGACGCAAACGTGTGATGGTCGTACTGCACAGTGTCCCGCATCTCCGCCCAAAAAAGACGGCTTACCTTGTCAAGATAGTACAAAGGTACGTGCATCTTCGAATAAGTATGAGGAATGATTGAACTGTGGAGTATTTGTGACCGCATTATATTAAATCATTGATTAGGTATGTTCTGGTGGCAACTGTAATGGTTCAGTATGCGAACTAGTCGGTCTGAGAGATTGTTTTCTAACTGAAGGGAAGCCAGAGGAGTTATGCTACCTTGCTTGTATCAAGAATGGAAGTAGGCTAGCACTTTGTTGGTGGCATGCAAATGCATCTTTTTTTGTAATATCTTTATTTAGAGTGCACTTCAAGCGTCAATCTTTCGGAGTTTGCAGCCAATAGGACAGAGTTTACTGAGTTTACTCAAAATGGAAGAAAAGGCGAAAGTGGTCTAGTATTGCATCCTGGATCCCCTTGCAATAACTACAAAGGCATGGTTCACGACTACCAAGGATTGAGGCGAAAATTTGAGTCTATTTTAATCTGCTGACAAAGTTTTCAGGATACTGTGATATTTTCCGGAAATGTCGCAGCGTCGATGCGAATGGTCCTCTTGCTCGTCTAAAAAATCTTCTATTCAATAGAAAGACTATTGAGACCGTAACACAATGGATACAAGTTTGTACTTTTTTTTGGTTCGCTGGCTGTTATTATTCCTGTGGTTTTTAACATCTGTTTGAGGAAAAGTGGTGGGTTGTTGTTTGTGGAGCGTTGGTCGTTCTGGTCTTCATGGCTCTTTTCATAAAATGTTGTGCTGTCCACACTCCTAGTACGAATCCAAACAAACCGCCCGCTCTGAATCTATACCAAACTCTCACGCGACCTTCTACGCTAATTGTGAGTTTTAAATAATCTCCTTGGCCTACCATGTTCAATGTATGATATTCCTGATATTTGCAGTATCGCTGGTATAGGCCGGTTCGTTACTTTACCATAATTGTGGTAGAAATTGCAACGAGTTTTGTATTGACAACTTTATGATTCATTTTTCAGCGTCAACGTCGCCAACGAAGTCGTGCTCCAATTCCTTCAACAGGACCAGGCGAAGGACCTTCTCGGTCAAGTGCAGCATCAGCAGCGATGTCTTCGCGTGCCACGCCTCGTCCGTCTGCTCCTCCTCTCACACCTGCACCGACAATACCTGTACCCCTGATTCCATCTGCATCGGTCCCGCCACCTGCTACAGTGTTGGTCGTTGAACCTCCACCTCCATATACAGCCGCTGCCGACCCTGGTAGTGCGCTCGGAGGTCCTAGAAGAGGTCATCGGAGAAATAAGCGACAAACGAGTGCAGATACGGCGCCAAAGTTGCGGGGAAAAGGCAAATGATGAGTAGAGAACACTATTGTTTGTCTATATATTTAAAGGGTGCTTTGTTCAGCTCTTGTGAGTACACGCATCAGGTCAGTTTAATACTTTTTGATATGTTGCATCATATATTTTCATTATAATCGCGATCAATTCGTCCTTTCTAACGGTTAATCATGTTCTTCAACGGTGATCATCACCTCGATGTGTGTAGAACTGAACATTTCGAAGATGTATGTCTGTATTAATAACGGTACTTGCTCACTTATCACTTTCATAGTTAAGTCCATTCGTCGCTTTCACATTGTTAAAGCTTTTTATGTTTCAGATTTTGATGTATTATATCACTTTTCTTCCCACATAAATCATATTTAGGTAACGATGGTTTTTGCAACCATTTCTCAATGTTTTTCTGTCATTGCCACGAATATCTTTCTATACGCTTTCCATACGATGACGATTTCTTTCTTTAGTTTCTTTATTCGTTGGTGATTTTGGTCTCATATCCTTACATTAACTTTTATAATGACGTGTCTGCAATTTCCGATAAAAGTTCATTGGTCACATCTAACAGAAGTGAGTTTAGCTGCTTGCTTCTTTACAAGGTTTCTTTAACTCTTCTATGAAGTTAGCAGGGTTTAAAAATCTCTAGATTTCCTTTGAAAAGCTGGAAAGCTACTAGCCTTGTGATCTTTACATCACCACTTCTGCGATGGAGTGGATAAAGGTTATTCATTGGGATTTCGTCGTTATTTCTCGTCGTGGCCTTTAAATGTGCTATCTATCGTTCATAAAAGTTTTGGAGATTCACATTTTATCGGCTCATTGATTTAAATCATTTCAATTCATTTTAGTCAGGACTAATGATCCTGTACTCTTTCAAATTAAGATAGGCAGGGATTTGACATCAATCATAAGATGATTGTTACTGTTTCTTATATAGTCAACCCATTCACAACTGTGGACAGTTGATTTAAAGCGTATGTAGTGGGAGACCGAATAGTGTATGAATGGCTTTTATTTACAGCTGTTTATTTTGCTGAATAGTCATCTTTGCTATGTTTTTTGCCTCCAATTGATGACTTCGTCATCACAGATGCGGCTGGTGTGGTCCGAGAGAAACTATATTCTAAACTTAGTGTTTCAGAAAACCCGGTTCATCTACGGGTTTCTTACACTGAAGGAGAGGTTCTTTCTTGTGAAGAAGGTAGAAGCAAGATATTCCGAGGCAGACATGGCTTTAAAATCGACTACGAATGCCTAGTATCATCGTTGCTGAACTGCAGGCGACTTTTTTTTTTCATCACATAGAGGAGACAAATTGTTCGAGAAAATAGACGGGTCCTTAGGCGAGCACAGAAGTATATAAGTGATAAAAAGTCACTGGAATGGATAAGGAATTGTATATAAATGTCGGATATAAGAAGAACAACACGAAAGAATAGTGGTAGCCCTCGAGAACATGGTGGTTGGTGTGCGTTGAGTTCAATAGAGACGCGTTTGCTGTGGTGATTTATGCGAGAGTGAGTGCGATGTTTTCTAGTCCAGCTTAATGAAATAGATTGTTCCCAGGATCGACTTTCTATTAACCTCGGCATTGGAATAAGAATGCGTCGTTTTCTTGTTTAGCAATCGCGAGGTTTTTAAACAGCATACATTTACTTCCATAGAGAAACACAATACAATACAACACTAGCTCACGTTTCGGCAGTATCGCCTTCTTCAGGGTCTGCCTGGAAGGGTATACTGATAAACAATCTACTAGGCCAAACGCTTCAATACCACTTAAAAAAAGACGAAAAACTCTATGGTAATTATACGATCAACAGCTTTTCGAAAAACTCACCGCTTTTTACGTGACTTCCAATGAGGAAGTTTAGAACAGCTGATTATAGTCGCATATGGTTGATGACTGCACCATCCCATATCAGAAATCGATGCGAACATACGGGGTCAGGTCGCGTATGACCTCTGGGCATTCATCCCTGCTATTCATTGTGGGCTTTTTTGCATTTATCCAAAAAGCATCAAGAAGTTTTCGCGCTGGCGTTTTAGTCTCCTGCGTAAGGGTATAGACTTTTACTTCAAAATCGTCTCCGCTACGCTTTTGTATCTTATGCGTGCCTAGTGGTGTGCTTCGTCTTAGTTTTCGTTTGCCATCTAGGTGTTCCTTTATACGGATACACAAAGGTCTGCCCGTTTCGCCAATATCTCCGCAATTATTACAAGGGATCAGGTATATCGTACCTGAACTCATGCAATCACTGTCCCTGTCGTTAGGGCAAATTACCCAATTTGTTGTTTCACATAGACGGTCATACAAGCGGCTATGGACTAACTGACGACATAGAGTAGTCGGTGGTATTTCAACTATCGCTACCGATTCCTCTAGACCTGCCTTTCTTAAGTATCGTTTAATAGCTACGCTTACTTTATAGCTAATAAAAGCGAGCATAAACGGGACTTTCTTTTGGCCAAATGTTTCGTTTTGGAGCGTCGCTTTCCTTCTAAACTTATCTCGTGGGGTTACTATTTCGTACCCATTGGAGGTCGCTATTTGCCGAGCCAAGTGGCGCGATTACCTATTTAATTCCTTCTTCGTACACACGGAGGTGGCTGTTTGAAACATGTTTCTCACAATCGCCTTCTTTGTGTGTGAAGGATGGGAAGAGAGGAAATGAACGAAGATATTTTTGTTACTTGGTTTTCGGTATCACTTTGTTATATTACCGTAACTTGGTAAGTTAATTTCAACGTTCAGAAACGGGAGCCGGTCGTCTTTCGGTTTCTTCCGGGTGAACTTGATATCCTCTGACTGCTCGTGCAATTATTCACACCATTTGTCCATCTCCTCCTGTGTAGAGAAGTCGACAAAACAATCATCTACATATCTGCAGTAGAGTAGCGGCCGAAGATCGAGAGCAGGAGTTTCTATCTTAGTCATAAATGCAATGGCAAGGCTTGGTACCAGTCGCAGTCCTATTGCCAACCCCCTTATTTGCGCGAAATATTTTCCAGACTGTCTGAAAATCGAGCAGTTTAGGCACTTCTTTAAGAGAGTCCTTAGCTGCTACATGGATAAGCCATGCGTATTTGTTCTTCCTTCATGTTCAACAAGAAATTCGAAGATGGCTTTTCTTATAAGCGCCCTTTTCGTGTGAGAGGGTGAGAGGAGAGGTAATGAACCAAGATGTTTTTACTACTTGGCTTTCGGTACCACTTCGTAATGTAGCCATTTTCTGACAGGTGAATTTGGACGTTCAAGAATGGAAGCCATTTTTCTTTCGGTTTCTCTCAGGTGAACTTGACACACTCTCACTATGCATTCAACAAATCGAAACATTTGTCCATTTCCTCTTGTGTTGAGCAAAGGACAAAACAGTCATCTATATATCTACAGCAGAGTAACGGCCCGAGATCAGTCATTAGTGCTTCTACCTTAGACATAAACGCAATGGCAAGACTTGGTGCCAGTCGTTGTCCCATTACCAACCCTCTTATTTGAGCGTAGTACTTTCCGGACTATCTGANATTTTCGGATTTCTAGAATTAATCCAGAACGCCTCGAGAGTTTTGCGCGCCTGTGTTCTTGATTCGCGTGCGAGGATCGTGACACATACTTCGAAGTCGTCCCCGTTATGTCTCTGGGTCCTATGTGTGCCTAGCGGGGTATTTGGTCTATTTTTGCCGGCTAGGTGTTCTTTCATGCAGACACAGAGGGGTCTACCCGTTTCGCCAATGTATTCGTCACCACACGTCTTACAGGAAATCAGATAAACTATACCCGAGCTCATGCAATCACCGTCTCTACCACTGGGGCAAATTATGCAATTTTGAGTTGCACATAGACGGTCATATAGGCGGTTACGATCTAGCTGGCGCTTAAGATTACTCGGTGGTATTTCAAATACGTTTACCGAATTCTCTAGACCCGTCCTTCTTAAGCAGCGTTTTATAGCTGCACTTACTTCATTTGAGATGAAGGGTAAGATAAACGGGACCTTTCTATCGCTAGAGCTGTCGTTTGGGGGCCTAGAATTTTTCTTACACCTATCCCGAGCTACAGTTTCGTAGCCATTAGAAATCGCTATTTGCCGTGCCAAGTTCCGCGACTCCTCTCTCTGCTCTCTTCCCGTGCACACGTTGTTTACTGTTCGAAACATGTTTCTCATAAGCGCCCTTTTCGTGTGAGAGTGTGAGAGGAGAGGTAATGAACCAAGATGTTTTTACTACTTGGCTTTCGGTACCACTTCGTAATGTAGCCATTTTCTGACAGGTGAATTTGGACGTTCAAGAATGGAAGCCATTTTTCTTTCGGTTTCTCTCAGGTGAACTTGACACACTCTCACTATGCATTCAACAACTCGAAACATTTGTCCATTTCCTCTTGTGTTGAGCAAAGGACAAAACAGTTATCTATATATCTACAGCAGAGTAACGGCCCGAGATCAGTCATTAGTGCTTCTACCTTAGACATAAACGCAATGGCAAGACTTGGTGCCAGTCGTTGTCCCATTACCAACCCTCTTATTTGAGCGTAGTACTTTCCGGACCATCTGAAGATTGAGCAGCTCAAGCATTCTTTTAAGAGTGCCATCAACTGCTCTATCTTGAATCCATACATGTTTATTTCTTCTTCGTGTTGTATAAGGAGTTCGAATATGGCTTGCATTGCGGAGTCATTCGACACGTTTGTATAAAGGGCTGTAACGTCGAAGGACTCCATTACGTACACGCTGCTGGGCTGCGCAGTACGTAGACGATCCAGAAACATCTGGGTATTCGTAAGATGGGCTGGATTGTGTTTCAACAACTAGGTAAACATTAGGGTTAAAAACCATGTTATCCTATCCGTTGGCCCGTCTAGCTAATGCTAATGATAGGTCTAACCTCAAACAATGATGGATCGGTAGACGTAAGATCATCGCTGGATACTAACTTATGAGTTTTCATAAGTAAGTACAAGACGGGGCATGTCAGAAAGTCAACTTTAAGTTGAGAGATAACTGATGGTTTTAAACCAGCAGCCCTCTCCATTTTGGCCCATTCGTGGTTCAATTTTCGGTATTTACTTTTGAATTCCTCCTCAGATGATGGGCGACAAAGCGAAGCATCCTCAAGATGCTTTTTCGTTATCTCCACATCTAACTGATGAAAAATTACGACAAACTCTCCACCCTTATCACTAACGGATAGTCTTATGGTTTTCAACATTATCAGCTCTCGTATCTCTCGCATACCACATTTTTGCACTAGAGTGAGGTTTGAGCTGTATCTTTTCGCGCGATAGTGATTAAAGACTTTGAGAGTTTCATTCGTAAACATCCGAAATTTGACATCAACTTTATTATTGAGCCCTTGTTGTCTAAACAACGGCTGAGAAAACGGTGCTATTGGTAGGGTCCCCACTTGGTGTTATTCGCACCTATTTCGCGTTTCATCTCTAGCTTTTTTGTGGAGTCTATCTTGAAGTTCATGTAAACTACATGCGATCCTACGCAAGCTTACCTTAGAAATGGGTTCAGGTGGTGAGAAACTTGGTCCCACTTCTAATAATGAGCGCGCATCGTCAGGGAGAGTCATGTATCCTAACACGGTTAGCCTTGAATTTTCTTGCACATTATTTATCCTACTGTAACCTGCTTGATGTTCGTTAGCGATATTTCTGTGCGCTATTGAAGCTGTGTTATGCGATTTACTCAAAAGGTCTTCGAATTTTCTCTGCAAAGTTACTTTAGCATTAGATCTAATAAAGTTGCAAATCAACACTGACCTACCCACTATTCTACTCCAGAGGCGGTCCTCCAAATACTGAGCACAAAAGTTCTTCTTCGTCTCGCACTTCTTCCACTTGGCGAACACCTGGTTTTGTCGGCTTCGTAGACAGCTGCGTAGTATTCGCAATTCGTTGTCCAGTACTCGGTGACTGTCCCTTGCTAGTCCTCATACGTCGTGTAGTCGTCTCCGTTTGATGAAGTTCGGAACGACACGATGTTTTAGACAGCGGTAGAGAAAGTGTATTGACAAACGTCAACCAAATACCTCACTAGGCAAGCATAGGACCCAGAGATATAACGTGGAGAGCTTTGAAGTACGTGTAACGATCCTCGCACTAGAATGGAGAACACAAGCGCGCAAAACTCTCGAGGCGTTCTGGATTAATTCCAGAAATCCGAAAATGAACCGCAGGAAAGAATGCTTCATTATCACGCGTGATATTGGGCAGTATATAAACATGTTATTCTGATGGGAGGGGCACTCTACGCTTCCATGTGAACTCTGTACGGTTGGTATTCACGCGACATAGTGGAAGCCTCATAGAAAGCGGTGAGTGTGCAGAGCTGTGTTAAATGTGATTGAAATCTTGGTTTAGCGTTTTCTCTGTTTGATTATGGAGGCGTTTAGCCACTATTGATCGCTGTCAACTTGACCTTTCCAAGCTCTGAGGGAGGCGAAATCCGTCGAAACGTCAGCTTATTCGTGAATAAAGAATAGAAATAACACCTCGCGTTTGCTCAACAAGAATACGATGAATTAATTTTTTTCTGTTCTTCCTTAGGAACTTCATAGACGTCATCTTTTTGACCACTCTCAAAAAATCATAGCTATTTTTTCTATATTTGCAAACACTCTATTGCCACCATGGATAATATGGCGCTCCTATGGTGCCCCTATAGGTGTCTGATTGGCGATGGTGATTTACTTTAAAGAAGTGCGATATCTTTAGGAAAACTAGCAAGCAGCTAACAGTGTACACACCAGTAAAAGAAAGTTCTATTATCGTATTCTTGATAGATTCTGATTCGACAGAGGTGAAAGGTTTTCGTTTACTACAACATTTACATTGGACTGTATTAAAACCAAAACCGGGAACCGAACAACCCAACTGACAATGAAAAACTGAAGCGTGCAAGATAAATAATGGTCACTCAACACTGAAAACTTCATGCTACGAAATACAAGACGTCTGGTCCTAAAAAGGGAAAAAAATGGCAAAGGTCTTAAGAAACATAGAACAAAAAGCAAAAGTGGTAGAGGAAGCTCAACTGACAGTGAAAATCCCTGGCGGCTTACATGACAAATATTGATCGATCAACTAAGTACTTATGAAATCGGCAACTAAATATTCTCTACTACAAAGTGCAGAAGCTCTAATTTTTAAATAAATAAAGAAGAGAATGAGGAATAAAGACTTAAAAACGGTGTAATAGGGAAGAAAAATTACCGTAATCATAGGAGGGGAATGCTGTCTTGTTGTAGGTAGCAAAGATCAAAACCTACCGTAATCATAAGAGGAAAATGCTGTTGTGTTGTAGGAAATCGGAACGATATCTGGGTTGTCCGATACGTTTGTTGCTCACCTTCATCGTTCTCATCAAATCGTCACTTCTATGCGCTTGGCTGGTACGAGGTAATTTTTCAAAAAAATTCTCGTCTTTTATTCTTTTTTCCTATTTTTTGTTTTACTAATTTTCTATTCGTTCCACGGTTCTATTTTTTTCTATATGTGCTCGTAGGAAAACAGTTCTTTCTATATAAACATTGCCATTTATGATTGAACATGGAAAAAAACATGACTGGATGGATTCGAAAATGTGTAAAACAAAGAACGTTTAAAAAAAGGAGTCAAATTATCTGATGTGATTTCTCGCACTACTATTTTCTTTTCCTTAAGGATACCTCTCAGTGTCCTTTCTCGTCATTCTTAAAGTGTTCTATTAATCTACCGTAGAACTTCCTTCTAAGTTTCACCGGCAATAAAGCTGTTCCCTTTTAATTTTTCATGTTATCGAGTTTTGGAACTCATTCCTTCCACTGTTTTTTTTATTCGTTTGTTTCTCTCGAAAGTTATAAGCATCCGATAACTGCAAGAGATGATAGTTAGTGAAACAAATAGATGTCAAGAAACGATGAACACAAAAGGATCTCCAAATAACACGTGGAAGAAGGACATCAAATTTGAATATTGATCCTTTTGTTATCAGAAAACTATATGGACAAAAACCGGGCAGAGAAGAAAAATATCGGTAAAATTAGTTGAAAAAACAGATGACAACATTTCACTAGAGAAATTATACTAATTGTGTCTGTAGAGTACTACCACTTTAACTTCCGATGTTCATTGCTGACATCGTCGTTGAATGATGAGATGCATCGACGGCGATCAATTGACGACGACGAAATGTCGCTGCACATCACTGACTACACCACCGCCAACGACAGCGCGCGTGAAATCGATTGCGTTGACGAACCAATCAATCGGTTGCTGAAACGGTGTCTGATTTGTCGATTTCTATTCCATATCTTATTTCATATTTTCAACCCTATTTTTCTTTATTTCCACTTTATACGGAACGAATACATATCGATTAGCTCAGTTTAGATCGCTGTCACCGCAGGATGGCGTCACACCCTATTATCAAACAAAATCCGCCATAGAAAAGAAGACGGACGTCGTTCTAACGCAATCGGTAAGATTCTAATAGTGTCGAAATCGTATAAAGTAAAGCGTTCGACCTTTTATCTGCTGCTTATTATTTTTTCAAGGCAGCGTATTATGTGTAATACAACCACAATGATGCTGAGTATTTGCGAAACTCGGAATCTCGGACCAGCTTCGAACACCCGATTGCCCTTTCCGCTCGCAACAAATGCACCACTGAGAGCATGCTTTGCGTCTCTCTTAGCCAGTTTCCTACCTAACGCTTTCATCAGCGTTAGCCCGCCAACGGGTATGATATGAGGAGCACAAATCGGCACTGATCCCAGTTATGCCAAGGCTCTTGTCAAAATCACAACGTTTAACTTTTTATCTACTGCCTATTCTTTTTTTTCATGACAGAGTGGCATGTGAAATACAACCACAATGAGTGCTGAGATATTTGCGGAACTCGGAACCACAGGCCAGCTACCTACGAACTCGTGACTACTCCTTCCGAAGGCTTACCTGTTATCAGTGGCTATATTTCACACAACACCATGTCATGTAAAAATAATAAGCTGTAAATAAAAATTAAACATTGTGATTTTGATTTCAGCTTTGTAGTCCCAATGCCGATTTGTGCTCTCCAGACCATTCCCGCTGACGGGTGGTGTTGCTGATGGCACCGTTAAGGTAAAAAAAAAACTGACCACAAAAAAGCAAAATGTGGGCGGAGGTGTTTCAGTGAATAACACATGAGCCCCTGGAGGGGATAGTCGCGGGTTCGTAGGTGGCTTAGGGTTCCGAGTTTTGCAAATATTTCAGCATCACTATAGTTGTATTTTATGTATAAAGTTGTTCTGATAGTTAAAAATAAAGAAAAGGTGTCATTTAGATCCAGTAGTAGAGTGATTGAGGTAATCTCGAAAATAAACCCAATGAATTCTGTATATCAGCTTATAGACGATGTAAGCCAGCTCTTTACAGAACAGTCAGCATCATCTACTGACCAACCACACCTCTGAAGAGATGTGGAAGGAGGGTTTGTTTCACTAGAAGACAGGCGGTGAACCATCACATTTGTGCTCTGCCATGTGAACACTGGTTATCGTTCTAGCCAAATTGTCACATTTATGTCATCAAAATGAAAAATTTTTATAAATAGTGTTATGAACGCTAAAGCATTCAACGGCAACCTGTTTCTTAGTGACGCACGATGCATTTGACTCCATGGGTATCATCGTAAATGTGATTGAATGCATGTCTAGTCTATATAATAGTTTTCTGTTGCCAGCTGATATATCACTTCAGATTGTATGTTCCCAAAAACTCTGTTACCAATCTTTCGGCCTAGGATGGACAGGAAGCTTGGTTTGCCCCAGGATGCGGAATAGAACTAACGTCTTCCAGGTGTTATGGGGTACCTCTAACCACTGTGCAAGCACTTTAATTAATGTCATAATAGTAACAAAGGAAAGGACCTGCATGGTGTGGTGGTGAACGCGTTACTCCCCGGAAAGGACAATAGCGCGTTCGTTCCCCACCATAGACACCTACGGTCCAGAGTTTTGCAAATGTCGCAGCAACGTTGGGTTGTATATCGCTTAGTGCCCTGCAGCGAAATCATAATAGGCAGAAAATAAAAAGGTATAACATTGTGATTTCAGCTACAGCCGCAGCTTAACTGGGTTCTATGCCGATTTGGGCATCCCAGATCATTCCCGCTGACGGGTGATTGCTGTGGCAAAGATCGATAGAAATAGCTGAGAGATAGGCGAAACAAAGGACCCGCATGGTGTGGTGGTGAACGCGTTACTCCCCGGAAAGGACAATAGCGCGTTCGTTCCCCACCATAGACACCTACGGTCCAGAGTTTTGCAAATATCTCAGCAACGTTGTGGTTGTATATCGCTTAGTGCCCTGCAGCGAAATCATAATAGGCAGAAAATAAAAAGGTATAACATTGTGATTTCAGCTACAGCCGCAGCTTAACTNCCCAGATCATTCCCGCTGACGGGTGATTGCTGTGGCAAAGATCGATAGAAATAGCTGAGAGATAGGCGAAACAAAGGACCCGCATGGTGTGGTGGTGAACGCGTTACTCCCCGGAAAGGACAATAGCGCGTTCGTTTCCCACCATAGACACCTACGGTCCAGAGTTTTGCAAATATCTCAGCAACGTTGTTGTCATAATAGTTTTTTTTTTATTACACCTTACCGAATTCAACGTAAAGTCTAAGTTTTCTCTGGTGCTCTCTATAAGACCTTGTGATCTAAATGAAAACTAGAAATTAGGCACAAAAATGATTGTAGACTTCCTTGATGTTGATCAACAACTTGCTTGTTCTGTTATTTGATACGATGGAAACACTTCCAAAGTAACGGCCTGCCGCTTTAATCTTCAGATTTTTAGTTTGTTTTTTTCACTAATTCAAGCTCCCGGATAGTTTTTCGTCAGCTTTATAGTCCTTATCAAATACATTTTTGGGTAAGCCTGAGTCCTAAATAAGCAAATATGAAAACCGTCGACTTTCATCAAAAAATTTCTTGCGGTATTGTTCGTTGATGTTTATAGTTTGTGAAAAGATTCCCCTTTCATGATATTGTTCGAAGTTCAAATAGTGAAGAAAGGAGTCGGTTGGTAGAAGTATGATGTCAGTGGTGTGGTGAATCATGTTTCATATGCTGAGCCATATAGTTGAGAAAATTCTCCATTGGTGGATGATCGATCTTTTTACTATGTATTGATCACTTATCGATCGTTTTTCAATATTCTAGTACGTGCCAACGACAGTCGTGACCCTGACGAACACCCATTTGCTGTCCAACGACGGTGATATAATTCGGATGAAGACAATTCGTAATCGCGTGAAACCAATGAGCGATTTGGTAAGTGCCTGAGAGAATTCACTCTCTATTTAAAAGGCTTTTTCAGGTACAGCATTGTAAATGGTCAAAGAAAAATCCAAGTAATATCATTTTTAACTCATTTTTCCGTACTATTTTTTTTTCGTGACAATTTCTCGACATACGGGCACCAGCACCTCTAATTTTCAATCCTCATTTATTGTGATGATCGAAGTCGTCTATGAGTTCAGTTGTTTTTTCTCCACGTTGAAATCGTTTATTTCGGAATCCTGAGATAGCGAGCTAAGGCGTTCCAGACCTCCACCAAAGACACTTATCTGCTGTCCCGGATTGAGTGAAGATTTTACTGCCTTGTCACTAGGATTCTTCGAGCATGGAAGCTATTCCTTTGCTGGCACTGCTTCTTGTTATTAGTTTACTAGCCGATAAGAGATTTTATAAAAAGTCGGATTATAATCTTTGGTTCAGTAATGGTTCGCTGAGTCTTACCTTCATCCACTGGTGCCTAGGTGCATCAGAGCTTTTTTGCTGAACGTTTTGTAATCTTTCAATGGCTTATCCAACATATATTTTCCAAAGAGTATTGTCCAGCAAAATTTCTGTTCTGGTTCCTTAAATATAAAAACCTTTTTTCGGATCGGTTCAAACATGCTTTATGCAAATATTCTTTGTATATCTTGCAAAACTACCTAACGCTAACTGGAATGTGCCTTGATGGTGGACGAGTTTTTTTTACCATTAACAAGAGTTAGGTGTGTTTCAAATGCTTGGAGAGGTACACGTAGGGCATGAAAAAACGCATCGACTGCCGGTAGAGAATAAAAGACGGACTTTAGAGCGAAAGTACAACAAGGAAGGCAGGACCATTTGCTAGGAGGAACATTGGTCAAGATGGGTGACAAATGATTCACCGCGACAGGGACCGAAACTTAGTCGTAGGCACTCATGTATTAAGGACAGAGTACAATAATAATTATTGGAAGCATTGTACTACTTGGATGGTTGGATGACCAGTTTGACAAAGAATCGTTTGGCTTCAGCATAATATTCATTTGGCAGATATATGATTGGATGAGCAAGTTTTTCCCGTGCGGATTATAGAAAAAAGATTGGCTCCCCCATCCCTTACCCCTCATTTCCTGGGTATATTCCAGAATGAGGCAATGGTTCTTGGCACTCGTTCACTGTTAACTGCATTTTCGAATTGAAATATCGAACTCACTTTCAAATTAGGTGACCGTTCCCTTATCGTGGGCGAAAAACACCTTCCTCTGCATCACAGACCTATTTGCTAGGGTAACGACGTAACATGATAGAGCTCTAAGGGAAAGAATACTGACATGATGAAAAGAAATGATTTAAGCTGTATTAAGATACAAACTATCAGTGATTATGAAGATATTCACCAGAAACCTAATGCTTCAAGGAGGACGATGATGACGATCTGCTTGACATTGACAGTGATACACCACCACGTGTCTACATTACAAAGATCCTTTCGAAAGGAGAAGAGGTTGTTGCACTGACTACAACAATAACTATCTATTCCTTGTTTATAATTATTACTTACACATTGCTTATTTGATGTAGCTACTAAAGCCACAAGGGTGCGTGTGGCGCAGTGGTAGGAGGCGCCCTGCAACACACACGTGGAATCGATCCCCACGTCCATGGCTCACCAAGCGTTCCATCCCTTCGGTGTCGGCAAATTGGTACCAGACTTGTCTGGGAGGATAGCAGCATTGGCTCGATACATCGGTAGGCCACCGCGAGTCATTGTAAAGGCGAGGTATGCATTCAATCACTTCTAAACAATGCTTAATGAAGTCGAATGCATGGCGCATCCCTAAAGGGGATTGATCAACGACAATGAAATGGTATTTTTTCAAGGGCAAACAACTACTGTTTCCTAATTTTTTATTAATTTATTAATTTTTAATTTTTTATCTTCAGCGATATTTCTTCTGGTTTGGTTGATCCAGTCCCATTAGTGAAGATTCTCGTTTTCTTCCTCTCTATATAACCGAGTCTAACCGAGTCTTTCAGACCAATGGGAGTGAGAAACAGCAAACAAAGAAGCCAAAGAAACAAAAAAGTAAGCAGAAGAAAAAGAAGAAATTCAGCAGACAAACGACGACAGTTCCTTCTGCAGAAAATGGATCCACTAAAGTGCGAAAAGGAAAAGGTGTCAAAAGAAAACACAAGAAGACCAATTTAGAAATGAATTGCACAGGTACTAAGAAATCTTTTTACCTCATTGTAAGTTTGAACAAAAAAGGTTCCCAATTCACACCGAATCCAATCGTTTATAGAAATTTTCTGTAGAAGAATATGCACAAAGGCAAAATACGAAAAAAAATACACAACAAAGAATATACAGTCAAGTCCGTATATAAAATTTCCCAGACACTGGTGAACAAACGAAGTCCCCGCGACATCTCTTAACCTCTCTCGGTCTACCTTATCACACAACTCCACGACCTCATCAGAGTAGTTTCCTACACGGAGTGATTGATCCAAAAGACTCGAGTTTTACTAATAAAGGTTAGTTGATTGTATTTCCATGTAAGCGTCTTTAGATTAGAAGGAATAGATGCCTTGACGTTGATGTGGATTTCTTGGAAGTGCTCTCTTAGGTTCGTAGCTTTATTAAAACAAGAATAAAACGCATAATGGCTTATCTGATAGTTGAAAACCATGGGTTATTAATACAGATAAAATTAACCGTACTAGTTACTTGCTATTTATCGCCAACACCTCCGTTTGAACACATCCATTCTTCATGTGTGACATGGTAGAATTTTTCAGCGGGTTTTGCTCCCTCCAAGGGCACGAAGGGCGCTATGTTTCCCTCCTCGAATCCTATTACGGATTCTGATGGTCAAATTTACTATCTTTCCAGTTTTTTTTCAGCAAGGTCAAAACTGTGGATCTCTTCTTTCGTATAGGATCTTTCTGAGATCATCCGAATTCAAGGACCCAGACTATTTTTCAATTCTGCTTATGTGAAGTCAAAACGCTGAATGGCGGCTCAGACTCTGGGGTTCCTGTCTTGCTCGTTGCGCACCAATTCTGTTGTACGCTGTTAAAGCAGCTCTTTTTTCTGGGATAGAGTGATTTATCAACATTCCTTGATTGGTCAGTATATAGATAGCAAGACTACTCGGAAATAGTTCTTTCTTTCAGCATAAACGGACATTGACAACAAAGCCGTTGCTCATGGATATCGTCTTCTTCACGTTTAGAAGAAGACTTAAGTATTCATTCGCCGTGACTAGTTATCAACAAAGGGAGAATAGCAAAGCTGCCAGCCCTCATTCCCTCTCCCTGGATAGCTCATTCTAGTTTTCACATGTCGCTTCTAAAATTGACCTGTCACCTGTCAGTCATCCTGTTGGTCATCCACTAACTCGACTGAGCGCCAATAAAACCTCAATTTCTTCCTATCACGTGCAGGAATAGTTTAGTGGGTTCAGCTCGCTCTAGGAACTCATTGAGCGTCATATCTTTGTTCCAGGGTATACGTGAAGAACTCCGACCTTCAGGTGGGCGGTCTTCCTGCAGTACGTTTGACATCCCGAGGAACCCAGTCACTTACAGCTCTTGTCCATCGGTTTTCGTTCACACGCATTACGTGGCCGGCCCACCTTATCTTCAACTGTATGGCGTACAGAACGGCATCTTTGAATTTTGGTCGTTGACGTAAGTCGGAGCTTCGGATCCCTTTCCTCACTTTTGTGACACTGGATGTTCCCAGTGTTGTCCCTTCGACTGCTCATTCAATAACGCTGAATGATTTTTTATCCTGTTTACGCATCAACAAGGTTTCTGACGAATACGTTAACGCAGGAAGTTCTGTTGAGTCGAAAAAGCGGGCACGGAGTCAGATGTTCTTTGTAGTCTTCACTACATTCTCGATGCTCTTGAAAGCTCCCTGAACTTCTCGCTTCTACCTGCTCAACTCTGGTGCTAAGTAGTTTACCATGCCCACTTCACCAACCAGATAGACGTAGCTGCAGCATTCGGAGATCGTCGTTCCTTTGAGCCTGAATGGTGCATACCAACCCGTTCCTCATGCTCATTGTTTCTGTGAGATTTACTCAAAGATCAATCTTTTCCCAGACGTTATCAAAGTCGGCAAGCATTCGTTTCCCTTGACTAATGCTTGAACTTGACACACTTGACACTTCAACGGCCTGTCCTCACTGGTTGTGCGAGCCCCAGCACAATCACCATTTATCGGAGCTTTGATGGTTGAGCCATTGTGGTTTCCTGGAATTCCGAGGTCAGCCTGGCCAAAATCTGTCCTAGGTCTTCACCACCACGGGCAGTAGCAGCCCTTGTGGATCAGAGCGAGATTTGCAACTATGCGACTTTGATACCAGGACGGTGGTGGATCCTGGTATTGGCTTACTCTTAGCTAAGTTTCCTGATGGAAACGCTGGACTCCTTCTCAGCTTGGGAGACCCTGCCAGGAGGACGAATCCCTCCGCTATACATCGCAGTTCGGCACCCAGGAACACCTCCCAGCCACGATGAAGCGATAAACCATTACGAGGATTAATGCTTGGCGTTATATAAATGGCGTCATTAGCAAAGTGAAGGTGGTATAACTCCCAGCCATTGACTTTCACTCCCATGTTGTCCCATTCCAATGTTCGCATGATGTTTTCGAGAGTGGCGGTAGATAATTTTGGCGAGATGGTATCGCTACGTCTAGCCCCTCTTCTGATGTCGATATTAATATCGTCGTAGAATGGTAATATCGCGGTTGTGGATTTTTTATAAAGCTCACGAAGAATCGTTACATAATTATTAGAGACTCCCTGACTACCAAGAGCTTCCATGACTGCTTCTATCTCAATTCAATCAAAGGCGTTCTTTAAATCGATGAAAATGAGACAGAGCGGTCTTTGTTCTCTCGCGATACTTCAGTGAGTCTCGTTTAGACATGGTCCATCGTACTAAATCCTTTTCGAAACCCTGCTTGTTCACATGGCTGTCCTTCGTCTAGTGTTCTGTCAATCCTGTTTAGGATGACTTGATTGGAAAGTTTGTAGACGACAGACAACAAACAGATTGGGCGGTAGTTGCTGATATCGTGGAGTTGACCCTTCATGAACAATAACACAGTCTTACTGTGGTCTTTCACTGAGTAGGGACCTTGCATTCAGACAAGTAACGTGTAAAGAGCCTATCCAGTGTGCTTACGAGGAATGCCGGAAGGTTCTTCAGGTGTTCTGGCCTTTTCCTGTCCGGACCTAGTGCTGTTCGATTTTTCACCGACGAAATGGCATGTCGGATTTCGGAAGGGAGAACCGGCGGTACAACATACCCATCCTCCTGTACTTCATGTGACGGTAGGTGGACGCGGCTATCGAAGAGATCTGAGTAGTATTCGAAAATGATTTTCTCCCCTGCGTTTCTGGACACTGTAACTGTTCCGTCTGGGCGTTGGAGTGTGCAATCATCTCGGTGTTGTCGTTGACGAAGCTTCGGTGGGCTTTGCGAATGATTTTCCGAGCCTATGCAGCTTCGACCATACTGCTGCTCTTCTTTTTTTAAGATCTTCTTTTATCGCCTGTCTGTATTGTTTAACAAGTTACCTGCAGCTCGATTCCGCGCTGGCGTTTCAGCTCGAGCGTTTCTAGAGTGAGATGTCGTGACCTTTGGATTCTCAGCTTTCGTAGCGCTGACGTGAACATACTGAATGAGCCGATCGTAGCCTCTTAATGAACTGAATAAATGACAGCCACGACCGACTTTCTATTAACCTCGGCATTGATCAAGTAATTTTCTTCGTATTTTTGTTGAGCAAACGCGAGGTGTTATTATTCTTTGTTCACGATTAAGCTGGAAGCGGCTCTGAGGAAGGCGAAATCCTCCGAAACGTCAGCTTAATCGTGAACAAAGAATAATAACACCTCGCGTTTGCTCAACAAAAATACGATGAATAAATGACAGTTTGCGGTGGCTTTGGAACTTTGTTTTTTAAATTCAACTGCTTTTTCTCCTTTCCACTGGATCAAATATTGCACGAAGAAGACTTTGAGCTGATCCCATGTTGAATTTTGATACAACAGCGATATCGGTTAGGCAAACCTTCGATTTACTATAACATGTTGTATTTCGATATGGTGCTCTCCATTTTCAGCGTTGCTGGTGGAGTTTCTAGAATTCTGAGTTGCCATGAAAGATCTCGTCGAAATAAATTCAAATGGCCGTTCATTCCGCTCATTCCATTTTAATCCATTGGTCCCAATGTGACTTTCTTCAGAAGTTCTTTTGGATCCATTATTATTAGCGTTAGAATCTCCAATGATAGTGTTAAAGAATGTATGGTCTTCTCTGTACAACATTTGCAAATACATATAGATCCACATTCGGACGTTTGACTTCGTCTTCGTCATACTGGATTTCGGTGCGTAAACGACGAAGATTTGCAAAGCCAGTATTGATCCACATCTTTTCAGCCGTAAACGTCCCATTGGGGTTGTTGTCTGTTCGAATGAATCAATGTTCATGGAAAAACTCATGTTGACGAGAGTGCCGACGCCGCCAACTCCTGTATTCTCGCATGTTCCGAAGAACAGTTGTTCTCCGGTGTCAGAGGCAGTTTCTTCTCGTCTCAGCCAGTGCGATGACGTCGTGTCTTATCCTGCTAGCCTACATGACCAACTATTCTATCGAGGACTCAGATGCAAGTGCGCGTTCATTGTAGGCACAGATCATCACCTTAGTTCTTTGCGATTTTAAAGAGCCTAGAATGGCGCTGAGATTTTAGCAGGCTCTCCGTATTCGTCCTACTCAATGTTGCCGTATCGGATGCTCTTTCGGGGTCGGGCTGTTTTATTTTACTGTGTTTAGCGTTTGATAACCACGTATAGCTTACTGTGCTCTACATACGACGACTGGGTATACTCATGGGTAGCTTGCCAGTGTCGTCCAGTGTACAGCGGAACTTATTTCTCACAAGAGACTTTTAACCGCCTTCCATGTACTTCTCCTTCACTTGATTCCAGGATTTTGCAGAACTAACCCGTAGAATATAATCCGCATAAGAGTGAACACCCTCATGAACGCATGCATGAATACGTTCTAGTAGATACAGAAGGTATGTACCAAATCAGCGCAGCAGAAACCGGGAAGCCATCTCTTTGATCCACCCTCGTCTCACTGAAGCAAAGATCACTTTTGGTCCGTTATCTACCCTTGTATACCATCTCAGGACGCTCCACGTTTCCGCGCAACTATCCAGCATGAGATCCCTCTATGAGGAAGATCTGTGGCGAAATTGACACGCTGACGAAATGGAGGAAATTTGTTCAGGTGATATTCTGCTGTTGAATCTGGATTCTCGCTATCCCATCCGTCCATTTTAGTGGGTTGGAGAACTTGGGTTTTTAAGACACTACCGATATTAATTCGGTAATTAGTCAAAAGCTGATCAAAATAGGAGTGAGGCCAGAACAGTCGTTTTCTGTATTTGATGGTTTACAAAGTAGGTTTTTCTTCGGAAAAACTTGTCGACCAGTAATTTGAAAAAAAAAAGAAAAAAGGGTAATATTAGTCGCTCATTTCAAAAACGAACTTCCTTTTAACCTCGGCGTGACTAGTCAGCTAGTATTCTTCCATGCCATGGTTATTGCATGGAATGTGCTAACATAAAAAATATCGAAGTAGACTTAACATAGGGTACGAAATACTTCCAAGTGCTGACAGCAATATGTTTGCATAACGGACTGCAGTAACAAACAGCAAAATAGTAGGATACCTGCTATTCGTACCCATCGAACGATAGTGCAGAGCCTCTCCTGTAATCCTGTCATGTTTAGAACCCCTAAGGCCCTCTAGACATTGAAAAATTACTTTTCATTATCAAAAAACTGCAAAGTCCGCAGCCGATGAAAAAGTGCTGGTGTCAAAAATAAGATATCGAAAAAGGAAATCAGCCAAAGCCAAGTCAAAGTCAAAGCCAAACCCAAAGCCAAAGTCAAAGCCAATCAGCCAAGTCATCGATTCAGCCAAAGTGCGAAACGTTTTTAAACTCGTTTCTTTATAAATTGCAAGGAAATCGCTCGTGATTTTCTCTTTCCAGGTCAAATACGTGGCTATCAAATGCATATCGCCTCTCGGAAACCCACTGTGAGTTCATTGAGGTGTCAACAGCAAAAAACATGATCCTCGAAAACGTTTTTGACAACCGTATTTCAATGTAGTTTAGTCACATTGAAAATAACTCTCAGCTCATTCATTACCTATTTAAGTTCTTAGTTCAGTATAATCAATGAAATTCTGGTGTTGTTACCAAGCGGAAATTGGTTCTCAATTCAACACCTGATGGCGATCATTGCCATCAGGTGTTGAATTGAGATTCTGTACGCTTGCAAGGAAATGATTTATTCTAAGAGAATAGAGACAGTAGGATCAGAATTACAGTCCAAAATTTGTCCTCATAGAAAGGAGCGCTTACAACAGAAGAACACTATCTTTTGAAACTTATGAATGGTGGCTTCATACATTTTCCAGGTGTTTTCAGACAGCTCAAAAATGGGTTCTTAGATAATCTTAATCTTTTTATACACTGCCTATTCTTTTTAATGGCAGGGTATGTTGCGAAATATGCTGAGATATTTGCAAAATCTCCGCACTGCAAGTGTCTGCGGTGGGGAACGAACACGCTATTAACGCTATTACCCCTTCCTGGGGCTAACTTGTTCACTACCACACCATGCGGATCCTTCGTTTCGTCTGTCGCTCAGCTAGTTCTATCGATCTTTGCCATCACCAATCACCCGTCGGCGGGAATGATCTGGGGAGCCCAAGTCAGCAATGAACCCAGTTAAGCTGAGGCTATAGTTGAAATCAGCACCATAGATGTTATACTTCGCAGTATACCCTGCCATTAAAAAGAATAGGCAATAAATAAAAAGGTTAAGTCGATGTTTTTCTTCAATAAGCAGACGCGAGGTTGTTATTATAGGATATTCTACTATAATATACTATATTCTTATTTCTTAAGAAACAGCTTCATTTAAGCACCTACCGTTTATGCGAATACAAATTTATTTGTTAAGTTTTATCTGCTAGGGTTATGAAAGTGCTTGGCCGGGTAGATCGCATCTCAATCTGACCCTTCCAGGCTCTGAAGAAGGCGAAACCACCGAAACGTCGGCTATTGTATCCTAATAAATCCTATAATAACAACCTCGTGTCTGCTTATTGAAGAAAAACATCGAATTACCAATGAATGCCGTGGTTGAAAGAAAGTCTGTCGTGGAAAAAGGTTAAGATTGCGATTATAACTACAGCCTCAATTTATCTGGGCTCATTGCCTATGTAGGCTCCTCAGATCAATCCCGTTGACAGGTGATTGCTGATGGCAGTGATCGATAGAGCTGGCTGACAGACAGGCGGAAAGGACTCGCATGGTGTGGTGGTGAACGTGTCAAGTCCGGAAAGGGTAATGGCGTATACGTTCTCCACAGCAGAGACCTGCGGTCCGGAGTTTTGCAAATATCTCAGCACCATAGAAGATCCTTGGATAATTTTTGGAAGAAAAAATGTGAGAGAATGCGCTTGAACAATGAGCGGTGCAGATATTTGTGACTCATTCATAGGGAAGACTCCCAGTAAAAGTTTTCATTGACAATCAGTTCGTATGGCTTGCATTTGTCGACGGTAAAACACTTTCATTTAGTCGCTAAATGCTAAAATTGTTAGTTGCTAAATTTTATCTTTAGCCGAGCACTCGACTCTTCGAAGAAACGCGTCTGCTGTGGGAAATGAATGAACTGAATTACACCACACATATAACAGCTCTAAAAACCACTATGATGACAGAATTGGAACGAAAACATAATCAGGTGGATAAGTATGTCCATGGTGTGGCTCTGCAGCTTAAAAAGAATTTGACATTGTGTTCCAGCTTTAGCAGGTTCCTCATATTCAGGATACGGCTGCCAACTCTGTTGCTCACTTTGTGATGCCATCGACGAAGCAACAGTCCACGACAGAAACCCCACGGAACAGCTTCTATGCCTCCCATACGTTGTCAACATGGAGACTGACACCCATGTCTTCAACTACCAGCACTACCTCAAATAAGATGCCGAATGCGAAATCACCTTGGCTACCGAAAGGAGTTCAAACTGAAGCAGAGAAACGTCTAGAAAATGGAAAAATTCCAATGGGACAAACGTATGTTAGGATTAGTACACTCGAACAGCTGAACAACTTGCAGCCGACGCAACCAGTGACGTTACACCAAGTGCGTTTTATCGGTAACGTTATTTATAAATCTCACATCAGCAAGTAATCTCATAAAAGACCGTCGTTTTTCTCTGCAATTTATGAACTTGCTGGCACAATGAATATTGTTAAATTTATAACGCTTGGAGCGGGTCGTATAAAAGAACAATGATTTCTCGTAGATGAGTTTGTCTATCAGTCCCGTGAGCTCAGGAAAATATCAAGCTCGTTTGGATTACACCACCACCTGACATATGACTGGCTAGCTGACCATCTGAACAATGTTCCGAATATCACCAAAATAATTTTCTGAGGATTAAATTGGAAAGTTAAAAATCACATCATTTCGAAACAATGAGTCCCATTTATAATTAAGGCAAAAATTATCATTGATACGTAGGGCATTTCATTATTGTAGGCTCAGACAACACCACGTCCTCGTCCAGTCAAGCACGGCTTTGATCGGAGTCTAGACGAGGCGATAGACGCAGGTGTGCTCAGTTATCCACCGGAGAAGGCCGAGAAAGAAGAGAAACACACCCATGCTACCAATGATTTCCTGGTGAGTGAGAGATTGTGGATGACTGGTAGGTGCTTTAAAAACAGTCTTTATACTGAAATTTTACCAAAATCGTTAAGAACGTGCATTGCACACAAATACTTGGTCACCTGCTGTGTCTTCTGCCTTAGATTAATTTTGTACGTCAATAGAACCAGTGATCTTCCAACGGTTTACCGCCTAATCGTAGCTGAGGGGTGTTCCTGGGTGTAGGGCTGCGATGTACATCGGGGAATTCATCCCTCCAGCAGAGCCTCCTAAGCTGAGAAGGGTTTGGCGTTTTCATCATTCAGGAAGCCCAGCTAGTAGTAAACCAATTCCAGGATCAACCACCGTCCTGGTATCAAACTGTCGCATGGTGGAAAATCTCCCTCTGACCCACGAGTGCCGCTGCTGCCTGTGGTGGTGATTACCTGCCGCAGACTTTGGCTGGCTGACCTCGGGACTGCAGTGAAACGCAATAGCTAAACCAGCAGGGCACCGAAGAATGGAGATTATACTGGGTTCCGCACAATTAGTGAGGACAGGTTGTCCAAGTGTCCATAGTACCAGCGAGGAGGTAGCGGAGTGATTAAAGACGATGTTCGTCGAAAGTAAGTAAGTAAGAGTAAGTAGGTGGTTCGACCTTCTCCATAACGTTTTCACCCTAATCCACGTGGAAACACCTTTACTCGAGTACCTCTATGACTGCAAAGAGAATTACTTGACAAGCATTCTGCAACATTCGTAAAGAATGTGAAATCCTCAAGCGGTAGCTGAAACAGCACGCGAAAAGTTCGAAGACCATTGTGGACGATGAATGCGAGGAGAACGAGTGGAATGCAAGAAGTGCTAGAATCCGCACTGCAAATGTGAGACGGGTCACGTAAAAGAAATACCAGAGAAGATTTCGTACAGTTATACAGCAACACTAGCAGACGTTAATTTTATGAACCGTTAGCATTATACCCAATCTTAAAGCAAATTCCTTATTCCACTACCGATTTCGTAAAAACTGAGAACTAATGAAACCATAAACTACTCCGTAATCTCCACTGATCATTCTGCACTGTGCATAACGATAAAAGCATTATTGACGATATACAGATCTTTAACTTATTATTTACTGTCTATTCTTTTTAACGTCAGGGTGTACGTTGTGAAATATAACTTCAACGATGCTGAGATATTTGCAAAACTCCGGATTGCAAGTGTATGCGGTGGGGAACGAACAGGCTATTGTCCTTTCGGGGAGTAGCGCGTTCACCACCACACCATGTGGGTCCTTCGTTTCGCCTGTCTCTCAGCTAGTTCTATCGATCTTTTGCCATCAGCAATCACCCGTCAGCGGGATTGATCTGGGGGAGCCCAAATCGGTAACGGACCCAGTTAAGCTGAGGCCCGCCTGGTGTGGTGGTGAACGCGCTACTCTCCAGAAATGACAATAGCGCGTTGGTTCCCCACCGCATACATCTGCGGTCCGGAGTTTTGCAAATATCTCAGCATCATTGAAGTGATATACAGAATTACATCTATGACAAGGGGTGCATGTAACACAGTAGGCTAGAGGGGCTTTTTGGTTTGATTCCGAACCCTGTCAAATGGAGCACTCCATTTCCACGGGGTCCTCATATTGCTACCAGACTTGGCAAATTAGTATAAAACTCGTTTGGAGGAATAAAAAAAAGCTGTAATGACGCATCGGTGTGGATTTAATACCTCTATGATAGTTAACACTCTGACGACAAATGACAAGTATAGGTGCCTTATTTTGCGGGAGTGGGCGGTAAGACACTTATAGGTCTTATTTTCCTTCTAGTAGTTTATTTTAACCCATATAATTACTTTTCCATGCTTTTCGCTGTCAAATGATAGCTTGTAGAACAAAGATGTTCCGTTGGACGTTGGCCGGGAAAAGCTCTATCCTGCACTTATAAGTACACAAAAAATTTGCAAATTTCAGCACTACATACACTATATTATATGCATATATAATATATGTATACCATAAATGTACAAAATCATATTTCTAATTGCTGAAGCGAACGATAATTATTGTATAGACTGTGGGGTATAAAAAACACCAAAATAAGGGCCCATAAGTTGCGAAACACCTCCAGACGCTAGTCATAGTGCGTATGTACGATATACCATCGTAGCATATAATAAATAGCAATATAAATGTCATTCATAGCTATAGAAACCACGGATCTCCCTTAGAGAAGGATCTCATGGCGGTTAGTCGCGAGGCAACGTGGCGCATCGCATACAGCAAGTAAGAGGGTTAATCATAGACACTAAACGACCTTATGCTTCCCTAAAATGGAGGTGGATTCACCGGATAGATTCCGTATTTCTGTTGCGTCAGCTCCGCACACACTTTCTGTATCTACGACGACGTATTCCTTCATGCAAGCGTCGGTGTGTTCTCGTTAACACGGATTGTATTCTATGAGTCAGTTCCGCAAAAGCCTGCAATCAAGTGACAGGGAAATATATGGGAGGTGTTAGAAGTCGCCTTGAACAAATGGATTTTTCCTTCTGGTCTGCGAGAGACTGGAAAGCTACCCATGAGTATATCAAGCCTTAGGCTCCGAGCTCGGCAAGTTATAGGTGGGTAAAGAACGCTAAACACTGTAAAATTCACGGGCCTTATTCCCCTGACTCCGGAAGAGCATCCGATAAGGCGGCATTGGGTAGGACGAATGCGGAAAGCTTGCTGAAATCTCAGAGTCATTTTAGGTTCCCTAAATCGCAGAGGACTAAGGTGACGATTTGTGCCTACAATGAACGTGTAATTGCATCTGAGTCTTCGATAGAAGACTTGATCATCAGGCTATAAGGACAAGTCACGACGTTATCGCACTGGATGAAACGAGAAGACGTCATTTATGTTACCGGAGAAGAATTGTTATTCGGAACACGCAATAGAAGACGAGTCGGCGGCATCGGCGTTCTCGCTAACAGGAGTTCAACTGTGAACGTCAATTTATTCGGGCAACTAACAACCCGAATCGGACTTTTACAGCTGAAAAGATGTGGTTCAATACCGGATTTGAAAACCTATGCCGTTTACACACCGTCATCAAGCTATGACGAAAACAAATCGAGTGATCTATATGGACTTGCAGATACTCTACAGAGAAGACCACACATTCTTTAAGGTCGTCATTGGAAATATCAACTCCACGATTGCACACGGATAAACATCTTAAAGACTCCATATTGAGACCAATGAATTAAAATGGAACGTGCAGGGTGTGTGACCTTCCGAGTTCGTCATGACGACCAAGACCATTGATGGTTAGTCGCAATTCCAGAAGAGCACTCCGAACGCTGGAGGGTGGGGGTTTCCGAACGGTGAATACCATAATGAAATAGACCACATCGTAGCAAATTGAAGGTTTTGGCCAACTGACCCAGCTATTTTTTCAAAATTTTACACAGGATTAGGTATAGCTTCTTTCATGCAAGATTTCACTTTTCGCGGAAAGGAGATAAAGCCCTTAAATTCAAAAAACGAAGTCCCAAAACCACCATAAACTAGCACTTACTCAGTTCATTAGTCGGCTGTTGGGAAGGTGCCGTTCACGATGACATCGACAAGGAATAAGATGGGCTCATTTGCGAAAGTTGAGAGTTCGAAAGTCAACAAGAAACGTATGTTTCCACAAAGATTTGAGCCGATAAGCCAGCTTGGAATCGCATGAGCTATAAGGAAGAGCAAACTCACCTCCGATCTTGCAAAACAATGTAAAGAGGCGGCAGAAGATCTTAAAGAGAGAACAGTAATAGTTATGGTCGAAGCTGCAAAGAGTGGAAAAAGCATTCGCAATCTTCATGCCTTAACATATGTGTGAGAAACCTGGTCACTAGGTAAGCAGGATGAAAGATCAATTAGCGTTATTGAAGGTGCAGTCGAAAGGACGATGATAAAAGTATCCCGTATCACGTAAGTGAGGGAAGAGATCCGAATCTACTTCAACGATTAAAATTCAAAGACGCCGTTTTATACACCAAAGGTGGACCGGGCACCTAATGCTTATGAATGACAACCGATGGACAAGAGCTGTTAGTGATTGGATTCCTCGGGATGTCAAACGTACTGCGGAAAGACCACCGAGCCGATGGTCAGAGTTCTTCACAAAGTGCCTAGAAAATATGATGCTCAACAAGTCCCTGGAGCGAGCAGAACCCACTGGGCTACTATTCCACGCAACAGTAAGAAAGTGGAGGATTTACTGACTCTCGCTCGAGTTGCTCGATGATCAACGGAGCGACCTGTGATGCTGTTAGTATCCATAGAACAATAAAGTAGTCTTTTCTAATTATTTCATCTGCACAACCCACGATGTCCTTTTGGACACTTGCACACTTGGACGGCCAGTCCTCACTAGTTTTTCGATCCTCAGAATAGTCTCCATTTTTTGGGGACATGTTGGTTTAGCCACTGTGGTTTCCTGCAATCTCGAGGTCAGCCTAACTAAAGTCTGCCCCAGGTCTTCACCACCACGGGCAGACGCAGCCCTTGTGGATCAGAGGGGAGATTTCCCACCATGCGACTAGTTTTATACAAGGACGGTGGTCCTAGTAATGGTTTACTCCTAGCTTTCTTTTCTTCTTAAATTCCTGATGGAAAAACCGGACCCCTTCCCACCTTGGGGAACCTTGACAGGGGATGAATCCTCTAGCTGTACACCGCAGTCCGACACGAAGAAATACCTCCCAGCAGCGACGAGGCGGCAAACGGTTGGGAGAGATTCCCTCTAGTTATCAAAAAATTATTATTTATTTTTAAAACACGGGAAGTCCATGGAGGCTGAAAATTAGAGCGTCGCCCAATCTGCAACGAACCCTAGGCATCATGGTGAGTGTCAACGTAGACGAACGTATAATACATTCCTCAGAGATTGATAAACGTCCGACGCTTTGTGTTTCAAACTTTTATCCACGATTTTTTCGCTTGTGAATGATTTCGAGCCGACTATTATGTGGGTACATAGTACAACTTCAAGTGGTAGCTAGGGAGCTCAACACGAAGAAAAATACTTTCTACTTGTTCTGAGACCCAGTTGGCTTTAAGGGATAAAGCGCACTGTATTTTCTCTTATGGCTGGAGCAAGATGTAAACATCTTTGTGGCTTCAGTTCTTTATTGTTTGCGGATTATGTCCTGTCTTTCGACATGGCAAGAAGCATGCGAGCAAATAGTTTTTGATTTGGGAAATAAGTATGTACATGGCAGCCAATTCAAGACTTTTTCAGTGAGTCTAAAATCTGCTCCAAAAGAACACAAATTTAAGCCACAGAGTATTTTTATATTATTTATATGACTCGTAATAACACATTCCGCAAGTCTCAATTCTTTAATTTGATTCTTTACCTTGCATCCGTCAGTCATGAAGATCTCGATGTTGCAAACGAGTCCGACTATAATTTACGTTTTTCCTTCATGAATGTCGTTGAATGCTAATTGACTTTGTCCTCCATGGAATTTCGCAATGGTTATACAAGAGCGTTCTCACTTCTCCTCCACAGGCAGACTCCGGCTTTTGTGCACCGATGAAAAGTCTTCTAACAAAAGTCTGGTATCAGCACAATAGAAGGGAGGATTGAATGGATTGGTTGTCCAAAGCTCTGTAGAACCAAAGGGTAAAATAAAAGGATAAAACTCTCACTGTTGGTCAAACTCTGAGGTATGCATTATATAATTCGCTTCATCAAGCATTGTTGGAAGTCAGTGAATCGTCAGAGGTTTATCTGGCCCTACGTTGACTCGCGGTAGCCTACCGATGTATCGAGCGAGTGCTGCTATCCTCCCTGACAGGTCTGGTATCAATTTGCCAACCCCGGAAGAATGAAAGGCTTAGTGGGCCTGGGGCTCAGGATCGAAACCATATGTACTTCAGGACACCTCTAACCACTTATCTACACGCGCCCTTGTATCTTCCAGCAGTCCTCGAATATCTGGCCTTTGCAGTTCTAGAGTTGGCTGTGGACGCTGGACGGCATTTACAACTACTGTGCTTCTTGCATATTTAACTATAACTTTTAGCACGAGTACTGTTTTCAAAAAAGAAATGGAATATTCTGCTCAAATAGGGTACCTAATTTTTTTTAAGAGCATATCCATTGCAGACACATTTGGCGACGTTCTCCTCATCGGCAACGTGTATCGCGCGAACAATATTCGATTTGTGGAGTGCTAGTCAGCTGCTGGCATTGTTTCAGTGCTTGATTGGAGTCTGTGCAGCTCACCGTAGTCTATTCGTCTCTCATCTTGTCCTCGACATTCTTCTGCTCGTCATCGGTTTCATCTATACGTGAGTTACATTTTTCTTTCACTATCTCTGAAAGAAGGATTCCGTACTGATGTCGAGAAGTTCTTTTTCAGATATACGGTTCACTTTCAGAATCACAATGATCGTGTTCTCCATAGTTCTCTATCTACTCATCGGCGAAACACCAAAACAGGTTCTCTTCAAGTGGATATTATTCGCGCTTCTTCTGGGTAGTTATTTTTTCTTCCCTACTCGATTAATAGTGGACAACTTTTACTTCCGTACATTTTGCAAATCACACCAGATCGTCGCCTTAAGAAAAAACACGTCCGTTAGAAAAGAGCAGAGGAGAAAGTATCACATCGCGACAAATTGTGACCGTGTATCCAAACGTAGATGAAAAGTCAGGAACCATCTGAATTTCATATGTACTATTGTTAAAGAAATACGTTTTTCATGGGATAATTCTCGCATTTCAGTTCCGTCTGTGTGGTTTCCCTCTTTGCGAGTTAGAAAGGGTTTTTTTAGCAGCATCTTCAAAATCTATTTAAATTTTCAAACCGACCGTCATTTAACTTCGGTGGTGAAGTATTTCATTTAATATATCTATTCCATACAAATATTTATTCTCCTCTATTTAAATATTAAAAAAAAGATGTACGAAGTTCCCGCTTTGCATCAGTACTTCTACTGAATTCTTTCAAACGGGATTCCACAACTAAGGCCATTATGATGTCGCCCTATGGTCATTAAGAAAAAGCTTCAATAGTGATGTCTTCTTCTCCACAGAATATTTCGATAGACATTTCTTCAAAACCTGTAAAAATGCTCGAGCGAAAATTGAAGCTATACTAATTGGATAATTGTCGCCTTTCAGAAAAAGAACAATAAAATGGTAATAAGAATAGAAGAGCAATAAAAGAGTGAAATGTTATGAATAGGCACAATTAAGCGTTATCTCCATCAAATAGAAGCACTACGACTTACACGTAACCTTCATTATAACTGCTGTTCAAATACTTCAATGAAATTAACTGGTCTAAAACTGGTTCTGGAATTCTTTCGTGTGACTTTGCTTACTGTCATTGTGTTTTGGACTACGGTGACCGTAAGTCATGATGTACGTAGTCCTTACAAAGAAAAGCAACACTTTGATTGAGAAAGTGCTATAAGATATCAATGAGAGTAGGCTATAAAGATCTAGGAAGTGAAAAGAATCTTGTAAAACTGAGACATCACTCTTTCCGAAAAAAATGTGAGCACAGCTATATTTACAGTATAAAAATCGTATTAACATGACTTCTTCGCTTAAAAGCATCACATTCGTGAGGACAACACCTATGGTACTGTAGACGGGCCCTTTAATGCTTAAATCTAATTTCTTGTTTAAGTGACGGTCTGTGATTGTGCAAAGAACCGAACGGCATCTCATTCTATTTTGCAAAATTGTTCAAGTTCAGATGCAATTCTTTTGCTGTACGGGTGTCTCGTCATGATTTCACTTCGCTGTTGTGAACGGATTGTTCAGAGTCGACTGTCAATGAGAATGGAGAAGCATTTACTTCAAGCTAAACCACAATCAGTTTGATAGTTGATAATCCTTCTTTCCAATGGAATACTTCTATAACTGAACTCAACATGCAAACTTTTCAGACAAATTTGAATCTCCAAGCATCACTTATGACCTAGAAATGTTCCCAATGTTGAATACTCTATTTAAAGTCCGACTTATAACCCGACCTATCTGCACGCATTCATGACTGGCAGACTGGATGACATGAATTGACGTCAACTCACTTTCTTTCTAGTCGTTCACTTTGCTGCATAGAAATTTTTGCTTTACTTCTCATAGTTGATGGGTACCTTACGTAATACTGACCAATGTACAGATCAGAAAAGCAATTCAATCCATTTAATAATACATAGAAGTTTCCCTGAGGAGTTTATTTACTAAACAACGACTGTGGTTATTGGAAAGGGTGAAAAGAAAGCGAAAATATCAGAGATTAACTTTTGAAGATGTCATAAAGACGCATTTCGATTAACTGTCCTTTATACCGACAGAGAGGCACAAAGACTGTTGCTAATGAGGAGAGTACATGGGAGAGGTACGGAGTCGGGTCCAGCGGCATGATTTGAATTCAATTCATGGCATGTGTGGCGAGAAATTAGACGTCGATCCAATGCTGCAACCACACGAAATTATACGTCTGACCATAAGGGCTGAGTAGTTCTCGCATTAATTTCAGTTATAACCGTCCAACAGAAGTGGTAAATGCCGTTGGCTCTTGCTCGAAATTGCTCTAAAAAATACAGAAAATGAATGGCAGTATTGGAAAGTTTTCTAAAGATTTTGGAGACCTTTCCTAAACAAATTGTTGGAAATCTGAGGACACTACTTTCGATAAATGGCAAAGTTGTCCAGTATTATTTCATCCTGTCCATTCTAATCCCACATTCTTGAACACTGAGAACGGAGGTTAGCCCTTTTTAATCAAATTTTTTTGGATACAATTTCTAAAGTACGTAGTTCGCAGAGATCTGTCTAAAGTTATCAGTCGACATGTTGTCGTAAACCATCTCAGATTTATTGTCACAATCAATTCCATCTAAATCGTTACTCCTCAACTATATCCGAACCATATACCCTCGCCATTCCTGGCACACAGCTCACTGTAATTGGATTCTCTTCATTTCCTTTGGGTTATTTACGTTATGTCATTAGAGGGCACATTTGCTGTAAGTTTTAGATTCATTTAAACCTTTCAGTGATTTACCAATATGCATAATTTATCTTCATTTGTTAATGGAATAAATAAACGATTTCCAAATCATAGCTGTCATAGAAAACAATCCATATTTACTAGCTGAGAGACAGGTGAAACGAAGGACTCGCATGGTGTGGTGGTGAACGCGTTAGCCTCCGGAAAGGATAATAGCGCATTCGATCCCCACCGCAGACATCTGCGGTCCAGAGTTTTGCAAATATCTCAGCATCATTGTGGTTGTGTCACACATAATACCATGCCGTGAAAAATTATGATAGGCAGCAGTAAATAAAAAGTTCGCCTGTCTCTCAGCTTGTCAGAATTCTGCAAGTATCTCAGCATCGTTAGAATTATTCACAGAGTTACAAAAATATAGCAATAATTTATAAAAGAAGAAACACCCATAAGTACACACATCAAAAGGTCGCAGAAGTTGCAATTGAGCAAATTTTTGCTGTTGAAGGATGCAGAAAACTGTCCTTATTCTAGTGAAGTTAATCGGAAAGGAGAAAAAAGCTGTGAATCCATGGCAACTTTAAAGAGTAAGTTAGATCAGTTGAATGGAGAAAGTTACACAACTTTCTACAACAGGGAAACATAGAGAAAGAGAGGCGAAGAAAAAACGATTATGGAAACGAAGACAAGAATGGCACATCATGATTATATTTGTTTAGCAATTTGGTATTACACAGTGATAAATTCAGGTGGAATATCTTGACGTTAGGTAAAGAATTGATTAACTAAAAAGAAAACACGGTAAAGAGAACAATGTTGCTTTGTCACACGATCTCTAACGACAAAAAATTGAGGGCGATACCATTGTCCGTGTTGATCAAAGCTTAGATAGAATCGGATAAGCTTTTGAAGTGAAATACATCTGGAAGAATTCTCCAGAACGATCACCGATCTTCCTCTATCATGTTTGTCATCTGTAAATCTATTAATTACCGTATGACTGCGGCCCCCACACCTTCGCGAATGTTTTCGCTCTACGGCCTTACTGAAACTAAATAACTCAGAAGCATGCGGTTTCAGAGCACCTATCCGAGTTTACCTCTGGCATTAGTTTAGTCCAAGCCGAGCATGCCAATAGAAATGTTAGACTCAGTAGCAGCTCGAGTGATCTTTCTTGGATGAAAGAAGAAAACATGTCCTCTGCCCCAATTGTCCATCACTGCTCAGGAACATCAATGAACAGCGATGAATTCGTAGAGCACTTAGTCAAAGTCTTGAATAATTTCTTCCTGGATTATTAAGCTAGCACGAGGTTAATAAAAATGTTTATTCGGCTGATGTTTCAATGTTTTCGTCCTTCTCAGAGCCGATGATCTGAGTCCGCCCTGGTACACAGTCGTTCGTCTTCTCGATGTTGGGTTTCCATCTTCATGTTGAGTCGAATCATCTTCGAAAATTAAAAAAAACTGATAATTTCAATCTTGACCTTTTTATTTCCGCCTATTCTTTTTAACGGCAGAGTATGTTGCGAAATATAACGTATAATGCTGAGATAGAATATGAAGTAAATAAAAAGGTTAAGATTGTGATTATAACTATAGCCTCAGCTTAACTGGGTTCAATGCCGATTTGGGCTCCTAAGATCAATCCCGTTGACAGGTGATTGCTGATGGCACTGATCGATAGAATTAGCTGAGAGACAGAGACGAAACGAAAGACCCGCATGATGTGGTGGTGAACGCACTACTCCCCGAAAGGACAATAGCCCGTTCGTTCCCCACCGCAGACACCTGCAATCCGGAGTTTTGCAAATATCTCAGCATTACAGAACTGATAATTTCGTTTATCTGACAAGAACGACTAGAAGAATCCCGGGTGTTGAGCAAATGCGTAGAGATTTTGGTATCACTAAAGTACACTAAATTGGTGAACATGTATTTCAACCTATACCGTCATAACCAGAGACAACCACAACTGTTGGATAAAGGAGAGCTGTGTCCGTTTTATTATAGACAACCAATCAACAATAACTGAACCCTAGAAATGCATAGCTATTCATTGGCATGAAGCCAGAGATCAGAATAGTGACGGTGGGCACGCGAATGTCATCTTCTGACTTGGAACTGGATGCCGTCCCTCTTTTTTCTTGTCTTCCCCTTGTGATTTAAATATAAAACCATTCAATTTCGATTCGTGATCCACCGTTATTTGGTGTGAATTCCTTTTTCCTGCTATTCTTCTTACGACGTCGAATACGACATCGATAAGTTCCCTAACCTATTGTTTTTGAGTTTCCTCTTCAATAGAATTAAGTGATTGAATAGGACAAGAGATATCTTAGGGATGAGCATCCCAAAAATTGATTGCGCCTCTTCCTGGATTCCTTTTCATTCAGTGCCCTAGTATTTATTCCATAGTGGTTTTTAAAATAGTTTAATGACAAGACTTGCCAAGGCTTCTTTTTTGTCATTAAAATAGTCCATTAGATATATAAACCGCACAGTTTTTATTGCCTATAATAATATTTTACCTCTGTATTTTTTATTAATGAGTCCCTTTTTCTAAATCTTAATCCGAGCCATATAGTTCCGAAGCCACTCTGGTCACGTACTGAGATGTTCGCGTTTGACCCCTGTCGTCAGTGGTGGCGACGACGTGATGGGACGGGTCGAGTCCTTCCGATGACCTGCCTCACTCGATAATAAATCGACTGACCTCTTTGGTAGTTCAACAAGGATAATGAGACGAAGTACAGTCATAGCAGTAACTATTAGGGCTATAATAGGGGTATCAGTAGCCTATGGTCTAACTACCTGCGGTATCTGAAAAACGCTCACGGACATCTGCTCCAAGCAATCTACGACCACTGAAGAGTTAGCTCAGATTACGCCATTCACTGGTGAATACTAAGAAGTAAAACAAGGAAATTGAAACGAGGAAAACATAAACTATGTAGCAGCAATGAAACCACGTGAGATTGTGATTTCGAAGTGTTCAATTGGTTGTTACACGGTAAACTAAAACTAACTAGATGCCCGCCCGTTCATGAGCCGTCTAAACAACCTTCCCTATCTAAGACCTATTCCGACGAATCTGTGGAATTTACAGCAGACGAAGAAACGAAAGCCTCGACCTGGTCGGATCAAATACACATAAACATGGTCGAGTTGTTCGAAAACTTTTATCTCTCATTCTGAATTTGATGGATTTGGTATAAATTTATGTGATCTAAAATCTATGGCTTGACTCGATTTGGTGCAATGAAATCACTTAGCGGTTTGATTGGTGGGTACTTTTTTGTTCTCTATAGAGAAAAAGGATAAAGACTGCGTGTGGCCCAGCGGCTGGAGGGACCACTGCGAGACACGTGGAATCGATCTCCACGTCCATGGCCCACCAAACCTTCCATCTCTATTGGGTCGGTAAATTGGTACTAGACCTAGACTTGTCTGGGAAGATGGTAGCACTGGTTCGATACATCGGTAGCCTACCATGAGTCATTGTAAAGACGAGATATGCATTCAATCACCTTCACCGATACTTAATGAATCTGAATGCATGGCGCATCGCTCAGGGTTTGATCAACGCCGAGAGCTTTATCCTTTATCCTTTCATGGAGAAAAAACGCAGAACATCGTTCCAACTCGACAAGTTTTTTCATCCGTTCCATACTTAAACCAGTGTCGTGCCCGGTTGATTTCTTGTTTTTCATCGATAATAATGTGCTTTACTTGTTCTTTCTCGTTCTGTAGGAAACGGAATATTAGTGTTGTTAATGAGCAAACATTTTATGCCTTATTCCCTACATACGTCTTTCTTTTCATGATTTCTGCTAGTTTTTGTGTCTATCACACATGGTTCCGGATCGTAGCGAATTTGACACGACTCCTAGAGGTCGGTCAGTTCGTCCTTTTCGTTGAGGTCAACTCTTCTGGTGCGAACACTCTACACATCAGCTGCTTAATGACCACGCCCTTTATTGCGTAAGAGACGCAAACGCTGAGGGTCGCCGTCGCCGTCGTCGTCATCGCCGCATTCCTCAACTAACCTCCACCCATCCGAAGGCATCATGCAACCTACTCAGGATTGTGAGCCGAATTCCGCTTTCCCACGAATTCATCAACCCACACCACCACCAACGTTATCCGCTCCATCATCTGCTCCTCAACGAACGCTTTCGCTTCCTGGAATGGGAATTCAGAGGCAACTACCCACAACTGGAATATATTCGCCAGCTCTTCTTACTCAAATGTTTCAACCGTACTTCAACGGTATTTTCCCACCACCGGAGTTCGCCTTTCATCTTGTGAATCAAAGGTCTTCTACTCAAGCGAAATCATCTGCTGCGGAATCTACTGCTGCAGCGAGTTTCTCCAAACCAATGGCAATTCAGCACATAATAGAAGATCGGTAAGTCAAATCATCGTTGGCGTATGCAAGCTTATGTATCACGTTGTGGTTCTATAGCGATTCTGGTAACGAATCACTGAGCTATACTGGTTCGCCTCCGCTTTCTGGAACGTCTTCGAACGAATCCTCGAGGTCAGTGTTATTCTCGTCTTCTTGAAGATTATTGTACAAGAGCAATTCCACTTTTCCACCATTTGTTTTAATTTGAGTGGTTTTTCTGGCTCTTCCACTCCAGCTTATATGCATATTTTTCGTAGGCCTTTAATCTTTATTATCTTGTTCCACTTTTAAAGTAATCCATTACAGATCGAATTCGTTCTCTGTCTCAGCGCTGTTAAAGACAGAATTAGTGTCCAGGGCGAAGAGCGCTCTATCTGGTACAGCTTCGGTCGATCTGAAGCTGCCATGCACCACTTCCGGAGGCAACAACACTATCGCCAAAGCACAAGACTCTCAAATTCATGTTCCAACACCCGTAAAACCTGCTTCACTACCGCAAACATTGATGACGACGAATCTTCATCAACTTCCAATGAATAACTTCCAGTTTCCTCATACATCGGGTGCTTCTTTTTTAGGAATTAATTCTGATCATTGTTTCATAGTACGATAATTATGTGTTCATTTAAGGATATGCCCTAGTTTAGAACAAAAGTAGTGAGTTCTTGGTACATCGATTATGATAATTGCAGCACCTGCCCCACTAGGACAACTCTCGAACTTTTGCCTCCCGCCAGGACCTACAACACCGCTACCTCAGCAACGACCACCACAGTCAACAAATTACTCAGATCAATTTAGGGTGAATAGTTGCATAACTAGTAACAAAAAGTATAACGTTAGGACAAAGAAAAAAGGGCAAAAGTGACAAATTCGGTAGCTGGATCCTCTACCAGTCTGAATTGTAGATAATTTGCGTGCACCAATAGATAACTTGTGCGCATCTTTCCTAAATCATAATCGTAGTCATCGCACTGGTCAACTGACCGTTAGGTTACTCGCTGTGAAAATGGTTATTCGACGTTTTTCAATGTAAAAGGTAACATCGTAAGAATTTGCTCAGTTCAGGACAACAATAGATCAAATGGCAGATACGTTTTCGTAAAGAGGTCGATCCTTTCATTTTGAGAACGAATATTTTTGTTCTTGATTAAGATGCAGCCGTTTTTTACGATGGGAATGCCTGTGAATGACGGTTCGAGCCCGCGTGACATCTGTGTAGTGTGCCATGACAATGCAAGCGGTTACCATTACGGTGTGATGAGCTGTGAAGGATGCAAGGTATTACACTAATTATGGTTACTTATAAGTAGAACATAGATTGTTTAGTGAACTAGTCCAAATTCACTTCAGTTTGTCGAGAGTTTCAAAGCGGCAGATGTTTATTTTGGCACATTCTTTAGGTTATAAATACGATGTGGGTGGTGAAGTTGTGTACTATGTGCTATTAAAAAGATGGAAGGGGTAAAGTTTTCGGCGTTTATCAATCGCTGAAGGAAACGCCACGCATCCAACTTCAATAAGCATCGTTGGAAGTGAATGCATATCTGGCCTTTACAATGACTAGCGGTATCCTGCCGATGTATCGAGCCGGTGCTGCTATCGTCCCAAACAAGTTTGGTACCAATTTTCGAACCCCGAAGGAAAGGAAGGCTTGGTGAGCCTAGGCCACAGGGATGGATCTCATGTGTACTGCAGGGCGCCTCCGATCACTGCGCTCAACGCGCCCTTTATTGCTATTTGGTTGCATATGTCCTTATTATGGTTGATTAGTTATTAGACTAAACGGCGTTCTTAGTGCGGTTTTGTATAAGAGACATCTGTGCTGTTTAAAGCTGAACTTATGCTTCGTGTTGATTAAAAAGTAATGTCATAACGTTTGTTAATTAGTATGAAAATTTCTTATGAATGTGGAACTCCATAGAATTTGCTGTGTCGTTGTTTAGGGTTTCTTTCGCAGAACTGTACAGAAAAACATGGACTACACTTGTCACAAGGAGAAGGTCTGCCCAGTAGATCGAGTTAGTCGAAACCGATGTCAGGCATGCCGTTTCCAGAAATGTCTTGAAAAAGGAATGTCAAAGGTTGGTCGTAGTGCTGAAACACATTTAGAAGTAAGTGTTCATCTCTACAATAGTGCTTTGCAGGAGTCCGTCCGACAGGATCGTACAAGGAAGCGAAAAACTCGAGATGATGAGAAGGACGCTGAACTAGACGATATGAGAACGGTAATGAGGATAATCGAAGAGGTCACTCAAGCTTATCGTGAAGTTTTCGAAATAGGAACAACTATCCAAAGCCTAGAGGTTGGTGCTGATTACAGAGACCCTGAAGTCGTACTTAGTAAATTATGAAGAAGAGGTTCATTCATTCAATGTAATAAGATTGTTTGAGTGTGAGGGGGTCAAGGAGAATCAACTCGACCAGCATTCTGTGGCATCGATAAGGAAGACGAAGTCTTCAAGCAGCAGTTGAGAAAATACGCGGAGTATTCGAAGACCTTATTCGGCAATGAATACAAGGAAAAGGAATCGAATACAAGAAGTTATGGGATTAGCATTATAGATCTGATGACGGGTCATGTAATAAAGAAATATGATAAGTTTTTTTGAAGGGCCAATTAATTTTGAGCTGGCTTGTTGATTTTGAATATACAGCATTAGCTTAAGCAACTATTCAGTTCAATAGGGTTTCAAAATCTTTATTGGATCGTTTCTATTACTAATTGGTCTAATGTAGTAATTCAGTATAGATGCTCGGTAACGTAATTCCTTCCTCGTTCTAGGATATGGTTAAAAGGGTCAGATTATTTGCCTCAAAAATTTCGTTATTCAAGGAGTACTCTGAGCAGGTCTTGGCCTCAAAGGTTCAAGAAGGTGCTAAAGGATGCATGGTGAGTGATGAATTTCTGTTCTTTAAAATCTGAAAGCTTCTAACATGGTTATTCTCCAGCTTCTTCGTGCTGCATTCACTCCAGGCTTCGAATGTCCAACTCTTGACAATCCTACTCTATTAGAGAGACTTCGCAGTGGTTTAGCTGATATGGATCCAGAGGAGCTTGCACTCCTTTCAGCTATCCATATAGCTCAACCAGATGGTCTTCAAGGAAACGACAGTGTTACCCTGAAACTCACTGAGTGTCTACAAGCTCAGGTTCGAGTTAAGAACCAGGAGAAGGAGAATTCAAGCAAATTTACTAGAATGTTATTTAAGCTGCCGTTACTCAACAGTTGATCTGTATCCCTTTCTGATCTGTATTGAAATTGGTTCTTTTTCTATTGGTTTTTTCCTTTTCTGTTTATGCATTACTTATCTGGAACTACCATTGAGTTGTCTATTTTAAAATATTGGATCAAGAACGGGTGCCGTATTGCTGTTCGCTTGTCTAAACTTTAAAAGTAACCTGCGAATCCCTTCACGACCACGAGTCTTGAATATTGTGCTCGAATCCGGGTGATCCTGAGGTGGAACATAGATTGACTTCAATATGCCTAATATGAATATGGTTTATTTTGGTTAACGAACTGTTCTGTAATAACTGTAGAATTTTATACGGAATAAACTTGAGTTATTACCACGTAAGACTATGTTTTCTGAAACCATTGGACTCATCATCGATCTAAAGAAGTACCTGGACACTTGGATAGCCCGCCCTCACTCATTGTGCTGGCCTTAGCATAAACTCCATCTCTTGGAAGTTTTGCTGGTTTAGACACTGTGGGAGTCCCGAGGTCACCCTGGCTAGTCTGCCCTAGGTTGTCACCACCACGGGCGGTCCCCGCCTCTGTGAATCAGAAGCAAATTTGCCACCACGCGACTAGTTTGGTACTAAGACGGTGACGGGTCATGGTATCGATATACTCATAGCTAGGCTTCCTCATGGAAACGCCGGACTCCTGAGCTTGGAAGACTGCCAGGGAGATGAACCCCCTCTCCCCACTGTAAGCCCGACATCCAGAACCACTAATCTAAGAATGAAAAAAAGAACATGGAAAGAAATATTCATTGAGGAGACATCGAGTCGTACACGAAATTCAAGGAACATTCTATGGATCGATACAAAATTTCGAAAGTTCAACATTTGAGATAAGGGGCACAACAAACAAACAACCTCTCACATCATAACAACGGGTATCATTTTTAACTAGCATAAGAGATATGTGAACAAGAGATAAAACTAGCAGAGATTGACTACTTGACTAGTATAAAAACGATACCTAGACTATCCTACTAGGCAAGGGGTATCTTACTCTCGTATATTTTAAAGCACTAAAACACGAACTCATCACCGAAAACATAAATTAATATAAATTAATGCGAGAGTATTGAGCAAAGATATCGGTCATTTTCAGACGAACTCCTCCCAACAGTTAGCGACCTAGCAGACACCCTATCACAACTGACAAACGAACAGATGATGTCTTCCACACAATGAGACGCGTTACTCGTATTCAACCGGCTTTATTGAAAATATAATGATCGTTGTAGTTTTAGTGAACCAAACAGTACAAATAATTCCGTTGGGATGTTAATACAGAAATAATGAAAACGAAAAACATTGAGACCCGCAGCGGTAAATACGAACGAAGGCGAATTATAGTGATAAATTAAGCAAGCATTTAATTGTAAGTGCTCTTTCACTCCAACTCTCTCACAGGGAACATCAACGACCTAGGTTAAAAAGAAAAAAGGAATAAACGTCTATGAACAAGAACCACACGATCAGATGACGCATGAAATCATGACGCAGGAATTCGAACAGCTGTAGCCTTTCGCATTTCCTTCGTTGCCCATACGGCCACCGACTTTGTTTTCGATGCACGACTTTTCCGACCACGACCAAGAAGTGCAGTCACCTAAGACCTCAGTCTATCAGCAAAATATTAGTGAGGAAAATGCGATATTATTAATACCACGCACACTATGACGCCTAATAGCTATGGGGCCATGTGGAGCGTGTTTAAAATTTCCACTGCTCCGCATAGCTTTTGCACAGTATACTGAAAACAACTCATACTGGCTGCTTTACCCTCTCAATCGAAAAATGAACCTGCCCTCTTAATGCACATTTCACTCCACAGTTCTGTTTCTTCAAATAATGTGTTATCGAATTCCGTTTTTTTATTTTTAGATATATTTGGTGTCCTTCCATGTATTTACCCACGATTTTGGAACATTTTCGTATATTGTGTGTGATTAGAAATAATCGAAAAATTCATCGACCAATACAAAGAGAAAGATGACAGCTCTCGACAGTTTCGCAACATACAATGGTCATATCCAGGCGCTTTTAAATAGTTCTTAAATTCACCAATTCTGTGCGGTAACTACGACTCGTTACGGTCATTGGAAACGGAAAAACAAAACCGTCAAGAAGAAACTCATTGTGAAAGAAACGGACAAATACGTAGAAAGACAGGTAAGTCCTAAGATATGACAACTGCTAATAAGACTATTCATCAATTATGTCTTTAGACTCGAACAGTTTAACTTCTATGGCTTTGGGGCTCTTGGAACTAGGGGCTTTGAAAAACATTCTATTCACCCAAAAACTTTGGCACATCAGAAGTCTTACGCGCACTCCAATTTAGTCAGCAACTAATCACAAAATGTAACGAAATGGGTAGAAAGCACAAATTTCGTATAATGCGATGAGTAAAGAGTATACTGTGTGCAAAAAAAAGCAAGTTCTGCAAACTGCAATACGATTCTTTTTGAGCACGACGGCTGTCCGAACCTGCAGTGTTTCCAGTAACACTATGCGAAAACACCTCGGGTGAGCCCTCGTTGAAAAGTTCAAATACACCAGAGTAAATTACTCGTAATCAACAATCTCTCTCTCGCTAGTGATGGTCTCAGTACTCCTCTCACCAACCGATCGCAGGAGCGTAGGACAAGCAAACTGATCCAAAAAGCTTTTTTCACAGTACAAAATGTGTAGACAATAGCGTTTCTTAGGCGATAGCTATGTACATTTTGGTAGAATAGCTATCAAAAGGGCATAAACTACTGCAAGAACGGTAAGGCACAAAAAATCCTTCAAAGTATTAGTACTGCATAAACGAAATTTGGAAAATAAAAGACAAGAGAACAAAAAAAAAAGAAGCGATAAGGTAAAACAAACTGGATAATACAGAACAAGATACCAGACTTTTACTATCAAAACTAATATCTTGTACTAATACGAATAGTATGTATCTTAAAATATAAATTCTATAGACTCATTGATTCATCTCACCTTATCATTGGAAAGCGTCGGAGTAATTTCATTTCCATAAAGCACAACAAGATCTCCAATTAGACCAGCTACATTGGCAATGAGACCGTCAGATGGAGGAACAGGGTGAGTCTCACAACATCTACAAAATCATATTCAAATCCATTTATACAGACTCGAAAAAATTGCATTTAATATGCTCACTTGGCAATCATTTCGCACATTGGTTGAACAAAACGACTCAACGATTGTTTTGCTTGGTTTTTCTGAAAAAAAAACTTGCTTCCTCTACATACAGTTTAAGTTACACGCCATCGATATATGCTAACCTTCTCAGGATCGTTATCAGACCCGGCGGGTCGCATTCCTTGAAGGATTCCCGTGTATGCTGTGATGCAATTTTCTCTTAACTTATCTACGTAGTCCACCTGATCGTAGTCTTGCTAGAAAACTCTCTCATCATGGAGTTTTAGTAGCTTCCTTACGTAGAATGAATTAAATTAGTTAGAAATACGTTCCAATTTCAATGTCTTCTTGGAAAACTGGAACAGAAATCCTTAGAATATAGATAACGACGACTATTTCATATTTATGTAGATTTTTGCCTCTCTCGTTCTATCGCGTATGAGTTCGCGACCTCCTATTGCGCCACCAACCGCTTCCGCGTAAACAACATGACCCGAGCACACATGCCGTGCACATCTGAGGAAATCCTCAGCTCCACCGCCAAAACAACTTGTCAACACTTAAGAAGTGGACGGAATAAAACTAACCCTAACAGAAAACTACTATAATACTAAAGTTATTGTGCAATAATCCCTATTCCCTTACAATCGTGTAAAGAAGTATTGGTGAATAAAGAATAAAAATAACACCTCGCGTTTGCTCAACAAGAATACGAAGAATAACTTGATCAATGTCGAGGTTAATAGAAAGTCGATCGTGGGAGTTACAACTTAAAGAAGTATATAAGACTGTGGGAAGAACAAAGAATGAGAAACGTCAACAGCATATCCAATAAAGAATTAATTACCTACGCAGTTCACAAAAATATTTTGGAAGTTCACAATGTGGTTAATACTATTACTAATAATTACGGTTAAATTAAAGGTCTATCAAGTAATTCTGCAAGTTCAAACCCAATTTTTGGGTTATCTGTCCAATTTATGTGTTCCAAACGTTTTAAAACTCTGAAAAATTGCAAATCTCAAAGATATTTGGTTCAAAACTGGAGAATCGTCGAAGTCTAACACTCAGTTGATGACCCCATCTTGTTTACAGAAAAAATACCGCGACCTCATGAAGCATAGATGCCGTATGCCCCTCCTGACCGGGTCATCCGCCACGGCCTCACTATAACCTTGCTGACCCTTCTCTGCAAAAAACCGCGATTTTTGTTGAGCAAATATGGTAACAATGAAAACGGCCAAGATACATCTTTTCGAGTCGTTCGGCTTAATAACTTAGCCCATTTTATAACGCATAAACAACCTTAGGGATAACGAGATAAAAATTTGAACATTCGATAAAATTTAACTTTTACTATTTTTAGAGTTAATCGAATTAGTCAGCGTGAAACGTGAAACAACGCACAAACTAAAGTATTTTCGTCCCAATAAACTGACAGAAGAGCGAATACAACAGAATACAGAATTGCGTAGCTGATGTATGTTCCTCAATAAATTAAAAACATCAGAAAGTAACTCAGAACTCAGCTAAAATTAGAACCTGAACTTTAGCAGAAAACTTGCCAATCTTAGTACATTTCTGTGCGTATTGTGACCTCGAAATAGACACTTGCAAAACTAACGGCTCATACGCTAGAGAATAATAAGAGACTCCAATAATGAAAGAGTTCCCCTTCCCTTTCATGACAAAAAGTGCATTTTATGTACACTCTATGTATGACTGACTGCTAGATTTGGAGTACAAGGTTATATTACAAAAGAAAAAATGCAACTTGGTATGGTAAGAAAACCAACCGGGTTAGTTACGACAGCAGCAGATGAGGCTTCGCTAAGCATCGACATCACAATATGAACGTAACGCTCAAAATGTTCACCAATGGCGAGTGCAATGTCGCCAAAACAACCAAGTATAGTTACTTTTACGTCCTTGTCCAGTCGAGGGCTCTAAATCGACAAGGAAATTACGAATAACAGTGGTATTTTGAGAATCCAGTAATAAAAATTCTTGAAAAAAAACACCCAGAATTTTACAAATCATATAAAAAGATATACGACTGGATAAAACAGACCTGCAAGCCTTGGACAAGAGTATGCATAATATCATCAAGAGCAGGAGCAATGTTCACTTCTATAGCACGGCACATGTCAGTTACTAGCCCAACAGCAGCAGCACATACCTTAATGGAGCCAAAATCAAAAAAACCTTTTATAGCCGACATATTCAACATTTATTACGGACCTGTGGCTCTTCATGATTAGCCAGAGCTCGCATTAGATGAGGCTTCAGTGCATCTACGTAAGCAATAAAACCATTATTTAATGCTGGAAAGAAAATATTCAATTTTCGAAAAACTGCAATAAGTAAAGAAGACGAAGCTCACTTTCAGCCAAAACAGAAACTGCCAATAAGGCTTCTTCCATGACGTTTCCACCGCCTTTGTTATTACAGGTGCGGTTCATGATCTGCACAAGGCCGACCATTACGTGTTCGCCAATTCGAACCGCATCCTCAGGTCTCATTTTGCGCAGAACTGATTGCAACGTCGCGCACAACAACGATTGAAGATCCATGAGCTGATTCTAAAATATGATTCCGCAATTTTGCATATGTTTTAAATTAAAGATAAGAAATAAGCTAGTAAACTAACAAAATCAATGTGAAAAGCATTTTCTATATGTTACCTTATCCGAACTAGATGTTGTAGTTGCTTCCATGTTTAACAACTGCTCTAATTTTTTCAACATCAAAACAGTTGTACTCTGGACAACAGGGTAGCAATCCTTCGGTGAATTTTTTATCAGCTCCATAAGAGTCTCAAAAGCTGCGAGACGAAGATTTGATTGATTGCCATCGGTTCTAAATACTAGATTTAAAACTAGAGAGCAGTCTAGAAAGCAGGAAATAACAACCTATCCGTTGTTTTGATCAACTCGCTAATCATGGGCTCGAAACATGGAGAGAGAGAATAGGTTTCAGGCTGCCCAGAACTATCCGTGCCTTGGCCACACGCCATATCATAAGCCGATTTAACAAGTGCAACCAAAGCCTAAACGTTGTCAATGGTTTAAAAAACAAATTGAAAAATAAAATTTCCCATTGACGACATACCCAGCAAACATTAGCCGCTACACGTGGTTCTTGATGGAGACCTTGACTGAGTGCTGGGAGTAAGCGAGCTAACATCCCATCTTTATTCACCACTTCCGGACAAATTTCAAGCACACGACCAATGGTCCAAGCCGCAGTATCACGAATAGTCACCTGAACAAATAACAATTATGAACACGTAGATTGACATTTTTCAGAGATAGAATTACTAATAAGCTAAATAAGCTTAAAAAAGAAGATGAAAGGAAAATCTAAGCAGAAAATTAATAAAGTATACATTTTTCTCCGCCATGCTATCAATAAGAGCTGGCATTGCTTGTTCAACCAGAGTCATCAATTTACCCGGATCCGGACCATCCAAGATACTTCCAAAAGCCATGATTGCAGCTTCCTGTAAGCCATCAAAAAGTAAGAAGCACCTAGTAAAACATACTGTTTATGGGTGAACTCCTACCTTATATTTCCAATTTGTGTTGCTAAAGTGCTTAAGGAACGGTATTACAGAATCAAGAATTGTATCACCGACGCATTGTGCCATCAACATAATACACACACCAGCTGCTTTTGACGGTGTCCAGTCATCATCATCATCTCCCTCTTCTGTAGTCATACAACTGAATACGAAAAAAGTGCATAAACAAAGAAATCGAACCCTGATGTGTGAGAATCTCAAGCATTAATGGACAAATGTGAGAAACGGCTCCTTTAGCGTAGTGTCGAGAAACTTGCTCCGGTACACGATTATTTTCAGCAGCCTGATAAACGAGAAACTACTAGATTTCCTTGGATATAGTAAACCACAAGATATTAAATCCAATAATCAATAAATCGTGAACTCATGAATCAAAAAACACCTCTTCTGCTTCCAAATTCAAAGTGATTTCCTCTTCACAAACGTTAGACCAGAACTCAATCCCTTGCAGTGCTACTTCAGGTACTTGCGAATTTATAGCTTGAAGAGAAATCTGATAAGAAGAAAATCACGATAACATGAGAACCTTGAATGGACCTATGAAATAAGTTATAAACGAAAACTAACAGCAAACAAAGCTGATCCCATATACTGCTCCATGTACTGGTAGTATAACGACATTATTCGCACTAAACACTGAAGGGCAGCCACTTTTACAAGAGTTTCGGTACACTGGGTTGCCTCGCAGACAACCTGCATGATGATATGCCGTTCCGCCTGTGAAAAGTTGAAGTGATGGCAAGTGGAATCTTTTCAAACCGATGTAAAGAATACGAAGCTTCGTGAATTGTACTTGAACGATTAAGAGGTCTTCCTTGAAGTTGCTGAATTCCTAAACATTCAGCTTGGGGCTACCTTATATAATACACATACGCTTAGATCACCGGTCCTCACGTATACCGTGTGTTTAACAGCCTTTTTCATTCGTTCCGCTGATTTTTGTCTTCCATAAAGTTGGCTAAAATTTAGGTGTAGCTCAGAATGCAGTCTGCAGTTTTCCGACTTGAGCCGACAAGAAGACTGATGCCTTGCAACTGAGATTCTTCCAAGACCATAGCCAATCTTGTGAAACTTTTCCCCGCTCGTATAGTGATAATCAAAGAACCAATAACGAAAAAAAAAACAAAGTACTTAGACGAATCAATAGAACTTTACAGAACCTCCATTCCGAAATTCTTCTTGGTGAATTCAAGAGAATTTAGCAATGCGTTTGTAGCAGCTAGTCGGACATGCGTAGACGGCTCCTCTTTCCGCATACCGTGTACTATAGCAGTAAGAATCGAATTCGACTGTTGTTCAAGTACCTCAAATACTATAGCGATGAACTGAAATCATCCAAGACAGTCGTATTCGCTCACATCACTTTCCAATTTTTGAACTCGAATTCTGAGGGGAACAGAGCATAGCACATCACACACGCCATCCAACACTAGAAGTAAAACGTACTGATGCATCAATATCTTGGCAAATATAGCCAAGAGTCTCGAGAGACGACTCCTTCAGTGATGCCGAACTTGCTGGATTTGTTACGCTACTCCGCAGCGCATCAATGACATCAGGCCAATGCTATAAAACAAAAACTACGAATCAGAGAACATATATGGTCCACAAGACTTTGAAACACTAACTCCTGAAGGTAGTTCAGCACAGGCGATGGCAGCAACACATTGGGCTGCAATTGAAGGACGGAACGGTTCCGTGCCGAGTGTTTGAACAACGAGCAACTTGACATGAGCCCGTACATCAGGTGGTAGCGTTAGCCACCTGTAGTGATCCACGAGATCAAAACTAAGCGGCCCTTCTCGAGAAATTAAGCTTTAATGAAGCTGACCTGTTAAGATGCTGCGCTCGTGTTTCCTCATCTTTAGCATACAGTACATTTTTCAATTGCAATCCAGCAGCTTGACGTGCAAACGGTTGACACTCTTCTGTTCGCAGAATTATACTCAGTTCTTTTACGAAAGTTGTCTGAAAATGACACAGAATTGATCGAAAGCGAACACTCTAGAGTACCAGCACTTACGAAATCTCGTGTGGATGCCTCGTTCAGAAACTCCAACGCCCTCTTCTGATCTTCCTGATCTGAAAACGCATATTTACGCGGCACAAAGGACAAGTAGAAGCCACGTATTACCCGAATTTGCACAGAAGAATATGCAACTCACTTTGAGAGATTGTTTTTTGCAAAACATCTAGTAATAACTGAGCCATCGCTACGAAAGCGAAGTTAGAATGGATCAATACCTGAATAAACAAATATATATGAGTTAGCCCGCTAAAAAATTAAATTCAGAAATAATGGTAAATCTTACCAAATAGACCGAATTAAAGTACGGACCAAGAGAATTGTTGAAAAATGAGGCCACAAGCTCCTGAGCTCGGAATAGAGTGGAGTAGTCAGAAAAGAGCGACGTGGAAGCCACTAGAAAAACGAGGAATTTAAAATGGAAAACAAAGCAACTGCTAGGACGATATTCGCAGATAAATACTAATTACTTAGAAAAAATATCAGTTAGTAGAATATTTGAACGCTACTGACATTTTGCATTATAAACAGGGCAATCGTCTCGGGGCCTTCCGAGGCATTCTGTTGCAACTAATGGAGAGGTTGTTCAACGCCAGAAAAAAAAAGAAAGGTGGAAAAACCAAGGGTATCCCTCGTTTTCTTTAGGGTTGGGATTTAAGACTTAGAGTGCCTTCATGAGCCTTGTTCATCTTGAGGGTACTAAGGATGGAAATTCCATCTTTTCCTAACTCCGGATGGCATTTTCAGTTCCATATGCGCGTATTGTGGACTGGCAAGCGACTCATGGTCGACTCGTTTCCGAATCCATGCTGTTGGAGATTGGACGGGTCCCGTTGCTCTCACAGCCGACGACTCATCGATCCGTGAGCTCTCCCGATGGCCAGCCGCTTGTAGTGTTCGCGCTACGAAATTTTTACCCGATCTGTGAAAGGAGCAGCGTCATCAGTCAACGCTTATTCTCAGATTTACTAACTAGTAATGAAGTGTTTTGTGCGCTAAGCTTACGATCTCGAATGTCGCTTAAGGTTCTTCTTCCGTTTTGTTTCGGAGTTTCTGACTTTCGTCGTATGACTTCTAAATCGTTTCCGAAGTAAAGTAGTACGAGTGAAATTGATGTATGCCGTTTATCTTCCACTCTGTTCACTGTTAAAGCTCTGTTAAACTCACTCTCACTCCTTAAGCGTAACTGTTAAAGCCTAATGTAGGAGATGGTTTAATATTAGCCGATTTGTTGCCTAATGATGTTTAGGATGTCTGTTTGTTATTACGTTACGTCTAATTAAATGCTGGGTAGAAGATGTGATTGACTACATTATCAATAGATATTTTATTCGCCTTGTAGGGCTTTTCATAAAGATGTAGGCTTAAAAATCAAAGCAGTACGACACGTGCACTTCTGATAGGAATTTGATCTCCTTGCTAGCCTCGGTAAGCCTTGTCAAAGGGGTTGAAAAGATATAGATTCTTCAATTTAGACATGGTTTTTGCTCGAGATTTTGTATATATATATGTATATGTATATATATATACATATACATATCTCCCTAAGGGCGCGTGTGGCGGAATGGTCGGAGGCGCCCTGCAACACGCACATACCCACGTGGGATCGATTCCTACTCGCCTGAGCCAACAAGTCCTCCATCGCCCCTCCCGGGGTCGACAAATTGGTACCAGACTTATCTGGGAGGATAGCAGCACTGGCTCGATACATCAGTAGGCCACCGCGAGTCATTGCAAAGGCCATATATGCATTCAGTCGTCTCCAAAGGATGCTTAATGAAGTCGAATGCATGGCACATCCCTAAAGGGATTGATCAACGCCGAGAGCTTTATCCTTTTATTTGTACATTTCCTTTATCAAGTGAGTCGATCGGACATTGGTGAAGTCTCCATTCGCATCTGTTCCGCGCCACAATCACATAATGGGTGTAGCCCACTCGTGTGTAAAGCGACATCTTGTATTTAGAAATTTCGTTAAGAAATGCGAGTTTCGGGTTAGCGACCCTATTGTGCAGATGACAATATCAAGTGTGGTCTGCTCGGCGAATTTAGTTCTTAACTATATGGCATATAAAGGAAGCAGTGCCTCTGACCTTTCGATAGTCGTAATAGTTTGGAAATCTTGGAGTCCTACACTTTCAGAGTCAAAAGAATTGCCCCTGCTTACATTAAGGCAGCATGAACCGTAAAGATGGTGGATGGTCGCAGGGATATTCTTTTTCACTACATCATCGTCTTAGTTAGCTGATGGCTTTCTCTCCACTAACTCGGAAACCAAACTCATCGTGTCTGCATCATGAAGTGCATAAGAATAGTTGGAATATCCAGAAATATTGGTTCTGGAAAATTCAGCACAAAGAAATTCGTTCATCATTGGCATCGTCTTCTTCACGCTTAGTAGAAGACCGACTTTCCGGACTCGCTTCTGAAATCAGTCATAGTTCGTTCCTCTCGATATGTTATAAATGATGTCCTCAACGAAACGATCGAAGACGACGTAGCTGCTGGCTACCGACTTTCAGTCCGATTTCATGTCGTTTCAGCTTTCGCATATTGCTCGCAAAAGTAACGTTGAATATTCTTGGCAAGCTTGGCTTTTTATTTACTGCCTTTTCCAAATTTTCACGGTAGGGGCAAAAGTCCGGACAGCAGGTGTCTGCGGTGAAGAGCGAATGGGCTATTCCCTTTCCTGGGGCTAACGCGTTCACTACCACACAATACGAATCCTTTGTTTCGTCTGTCTCTCATTCTTGGGAACGTAGTATCACCTCGTCGAACCATTTGGGTCTCTTCGTCGATGGTGAAGATAGTTGTAGAATTGCGAAATTTTAATTGTGAATACATGGTTCGTGGGAAATTTAAAGTTGCCTTGATTGCGCATGGTTTCCAAACAGGCTTTGATATCACCACTGGCGTGATCCCGAAGAATGGCGTGTTCTGAGTGATCCAGAACTCGAGAAGGAACGGACAGGACCATCCTCGAAATGCTTTAACAGGGTAGCTGTAATATGTAAGCACCTCTGATATCGTTGTCCTTTCAATGCTTTCAAAGCAATTTGGTTGCAAGATGCATTTGGTTTGGTAAACCAAAAGTAAGAATTTTGTCTCCTTTAGCTTTTACTGGCTATTAGAAAGTGCTAAAGCTGAGTCGGTAAGTTTGAGGTTGGTAACGATCTTCGTTCTTTAGGAGCTATTCTGCTTGTTTTTATAACGCCGCAGTTGTAAAGACTAGCAACTTTCCGGTAACAGTCTACTTCGCTCTAACTATCATGTTGTGAAAGAGAACTTTGCAGCAGAAATCTATATAAGGAATGTACTCAATGAGTAGCAGACCGACATGACTTCTACTGAGAGTTTTACAACCGTCACAACTCAGATGGGAAAGTGGTGCTTTATGGTAGTGATTTACGGACGACGCAAACATGGATACCTTCATTTCAGTGGAAGTTTTGAAAGTAATTTCAGCTCACTGCTAGAGTGAAACGTTTTCCTACCTCATTTATGTTCTCTACGGAGCACTCTGGTCTTCATACTTCCACCCTTCGTCTATTCTAATTTTCATAAGAAAACGGTTTGAATGATGACTATTTACCAGGTTTTTATTGTCAAGAGATGTTCATCGCTTTGCTAGGCCCTACTTTCTACCCATTGTGGCGCCATTATATCCCATTAGCTTTCCATCCGAAGTGTTTATTCGGTAGTTTTCAGGTCAGATCCAGACCGACTCAACTTGCCATCTGCCATGAGCGCCGTGAGTTTGATTGGATTAGTTTATGAATGCCGTTAAGATGGATTTAATTGAATTTCCCAAAGTAGCACAGCAGTTTTGGTTTGTAGGCCATCATGAAGGTGCGCAAGTGTCCGACGGACGAGTTGGCAGTCACGAACACCGCTGTCGTCAACAGAGACGATTTCAATGCTGAAGGAGTAAAGTAAGTTACAAGTTAATTCGTAACGCAACTACTCTAAGTCGATTGCAATTACAATTATTTTTTTTTAATGAGAGTGTCGTGTAAGTTCTATAATGTTGTCAGTCCTTCCTAGCCACTGGTTAAGAAGTTTTTCGTGGATTCTGTTGATGACTTCCACGAAGGTTGTCTATTTTGTGCATGTTATATCACCGTTCAAATGCCTTGTTGTCGTTTCATTTGATTAGATGCTTAGGTGGCTCGTCTTCACAGTGTTTGAACAATCCCTTACTTCTTCCATTCTTTTGGCGGCTTGCAGTCATTATTCATAGGGATGGTCGAGTATTTATATTCGGATATGATTTAGTGTACCTGGCCTTCTTTAGTCATTAACATTTGGAGTGGTGGTGGAGCGTGGCTTTTTCAGAAATCCGGAGATAACTGTGATAGCGTTCCCAATTCTTTACTATCAAGTCTTTTGCATCGAAAGAAGTTATGCTGGCTTACGTTTCAGATTCTTCCAGAACATCAGCGATTCGTGTGACTGCAGCAAATTCAACGATTAGTTGACTATTTGCTTGAGGACAATGTAACACTCTCTGTGCTTCTCGTTTGTAGCACTGCTGATTTTTTTCCCCGCACTTTTGGCTTCTCTGTGAAAGAAATCTTTATCGTTGGCGAAGCAAGATACGTTTGATTCTCATATTTCTGGGCAACATTGATTCCTCAATCCTACGTTAATTCGGTTGCGTGAAAAATTGATCTAGCGCGCTCAATCTACGTAAATTTTTTGAGTAGTTTGCTGGTAGCTAAGGATTTTCCATATTTCTTATGTTTTCGTGGTATTAAAAATCTGGAAAACTATCTTTTTCTGCACAGCCTCTCTGGACTTTTACGGTAGACGGTTCAAAAAAAGGCTTAACACATAGTGATCAACATGCATAGATTGCTATGCATGCGCGTCCAAAACGCATTGTGCATCTAATAATGGACGATACGCATTGATATCAATGCATTGGTGCCTAGCAGACATAGCCTCTCTCAGCTGTAAACAGCGGCGTTTTAGCCCATATTGGACTTTAAGAACTGTAGATGTATTGCAAGAAATTAATCGAGAGACTGCGCTTCTCAACTCTCAGTAAACAGTTATCAACTCCTATTGTACTTTAATATTCTAAATAAATAACCCTTCAATATTAAAACCACTCCCAAAAAGGCACAACTTTTTCCACTCCATAGCGATATACTTACTTACTTGATAATTGAACGGCCTGTCCTCACTGGTTGTGCGGGCCCGAGCTTTATCACCATTTTCGGAGATTTGCTGGCTAAGCCATTGTGGTTCCTTCGAATTTCGAGGTCAGCCTGGCCAAAGTCTGCTCGAGGTCGTCACCACCACAGGCAGTCGTAACCCTTGTGGATCAGAGGGAAGTTTACCACCATGCGACTTTGATACCAGGACGGTGGTGGATTCTGGTATTGCTTTACTCTTAGCTAGGTTTCCTGATGGAAAAGCCGAACTTCTTCTCAACTTGGGTGACCCTTCCGGGGATGAATCCGCCCGCTGTACATCGCAGTGCGACACCCAAGAACACCTCCCAGCCACGAGAGGCGGTAAACCGTTAGAAGGCTATATATATTATCGCTTTTTTTAGGGAAGACAGAATGCATTTTTATTTCCTTTTTTTTTCTTAAAAAAGGAAAGATGAAAAAACATTTCAGTAGAATCTGTTATACCCGTGTACCCTTAGGAAGAGCATTTTATATCAATGATAACATGTGTCTTTAAAATGACGGGGTATAGTCTGACTCATATCACCACTCTAATGGATAATTTAGATTTAAAAGGAATTTGGAAAGAAGAGTTAGAATTCACATTTCTAAATTTGGAACCTTTTTAAGAATTACCAGTAGTTATCAAAAATTCCGCACTTCTCATTAAATGTTAATTCCAAACAATTTACGCAGCCGAGGAATGCTGAATTTGGACTGGGAGTTTTTTTTATTGGTGGAACTGGTCCAAGTTGTGCTTCAGATGCATTGTATCAGTCTTGGATTTCTTTAGGCATGTGCTGATGCAAACAGGCCCTGGTCATCGTTATATCTTTACAATACGGAATCATCCGTCCATGAAACGTGGAGAAATCGCCTTTGCTATCGCTCAGCGGAAGTGGGCAGTTCTCAGTTTGGACCAAGAAGTTCGTGTACAACCTTTTTGTTTTAAGGCAAGTTAACAGCATGTTTCTATAGGTTTACTACCTATTTTCCTTTTTGGTTCCATTTTAACTGCTTCCAGGAAGTGAGTTCCTTTTTAACTTCGTTTTTTTCACCTAAATAGATATCGACGGTATTACATCCATTATTTTCAGAATAACCAGTGCATTGGGTCTATGACTTTGTCTGCGGATTTTCAGTTAAAGAAGAAGTAAGTCTTGGTGGAAAAGAACAATGTTAGATTTTTACTTTTTGATCCTTCAGTTATGCCTAACTGTTTCAGCTTTCTTAGTTGTTGGAAGTATTTTCGAAAAAAATAGTCTAGAAACAGATTTTTTTAGCGCAACCGTTGAACCACTTAATTCGGACTTCATGGCCCGGGAATTTTCTATGCAATTTGCCGGTATGGCTTTCGCTAAAGGCCAACTTCTGGTTTTCCAATTTACCGATCCTGAAAAAGGAAAAACCTTCACGTTGTCGCTGGTCGTGAAAAATATTGACGGTTTGTTTTACTTGTTATTTACAGAAATTTCTCTGAATATAATCACGATATGCACTAATTTTTTGTGTTTGGGCATCGACTTGAACTCGGCTGCCTCCGGGGATGAGAAGTCAAGACCGTTCCCTGTGAGTTTTAGCGACTTGTAGGAGAAATCCAGGGTTGAACTAAATTTACATGTTTTCACTCATGCGGTTTCAGATAGAATGTGGTCAGCTTCTCCCTAATTCAGTCATAATTTTTGATAAGGAAGAAGGATCTAACATCAACTTGGTTGGAAAAAGCAAGGGGTTTGTTTCAGTGCGGATAGGTGTAGTCAAATATATGGTGATTTCTTCACATTCAGGAAATCAGCATATCGGTCTATTATCAATCCAGACTGGGATTTTCAAAAGATGGGAATCGGTGGTCTCGACAAAGAATTCTCTGGAATTTTCCGTCGAGCTTTTGCTTCTCGAGTGTTTCCTCCTGAATTCATTGAACAACTTGGTGTGTTTGAGAATAACCACGTTATTACAATTACCATTAATGTCACTACATATGTTTGCTTGCTATGTATATATATATATATATGTATATGCATATGTGTATATATATATATGTTCTAGGAATGAAACATGTGCGTGGGATTCTGCTGTTTGGTCCTCCTGGGACTGGGAAGACATTGATGGCTCGTCAAATTGGGAAAATGCTGAACGCAAGGGAACCAAAAATTGTAAATGGACCACAGATTCTGGACAAAGTTGGTGCCCCGTTTTCATTTTGTAAAACTCGTGCTTAATGCCACAAGAAAAATCGATGTTCAGTATGTGGGAGAGTCTGAGTCGAACGTTCGGAAGTTGTTTGCTGATGCCGAGGAAGAGTGGAGAAGATGTGGTTCTAATTCGGGTTTACATATAATTATTTTCGACGAGATCGATGCCATTTGCAAACAGAGAGGCTCAATGGTAAGAGCAGTAGTTTTGCAGCGTTTGATTTTTTTTTAATGAGGTAGTGACTTGAGTGATGGACTAAAATATGCCATTGTAATTTTTAAGATATTGTTATGACAGAGTGTTTTCCTCGGAACGAAAAAAAACAAGCAGAACTTTAAAGAGTTGGGTTTCTTTGTTTTCTGTCACCAGTGCTTCTCGAAGTTGGAGGGTTTTTGCTTTTTGTAAAAATATATCACTTGCAATATATAAGCAATGCATGTTAATATTGCTAAATGATAACGGCTATGTATACATATATTTACACATACACGTTTTCACGTATATGCATAGACGGAGGCAAGGGAGAGCGCAGTGGTTAGTGATGCCGTCGATCACAGCTGCTGAACTTCTGTAAGAAATTGGCGAATATCTTTGGGTCAGTAGCCACTTTTATTTAGGCTGGATCATCATCTGTCCATGACACTGTTGTCAATCAGTTGCTGTCTAAAATTGATGGCGTTGAACAGTTGAACAACATCCTTGTCATTGGTTAGTTGGTCGATATGGAAGGACTAAGAAGAGAGATGCCTGTATGGGTAATGGCCTATTTACTTTTTATTTTATTACTCCAGGTATGACGAACAGAAAAGACATGATTGACGAGGCATTGCTTCGTCCAGGTCGTCTTGAAGTTCAAATGGAAGTAAGCCTTCCGGACGAATTTGGACGACTTCAAATCTTTAAAATCCATACTTCACGAATGCGGTAATAGTTTAAAATTTGAATGAAATAGTTAATTGAGGAGAAATGAACCACTATGATTGGTGGTTACGTCTAGATTATTATAGTGAGTACAAAAAACTTGATCCTGAAGTTAACCTGGAGGAGCTGGCAAAGCGCACAAAAAATTTTTCCGGAGCAGAAATCGAAGGTCTGGTCAGAGCAGCTCAATCGAGCGCAATGAATCGTCTAGTAAAGGCTGGCGGGAAGGTAATCCTCTATTTTAATTGAAACTTCTGGTGGTTTTCAATAAGTGTTCAGGTTCAATTGGATGCTGATGCAGTGGATAAGTTAATGGTTAACGCAGCCGATTTTGATTATGCTTTAGAACACGATATCAAGCCGGTTTGTCACTACTCCTATTTTTCTCAGATCTTCGGTTTTTGAGCCTTTTGCATGTTTAGTTATGTGATTTCTAGGCATTCGGACGCAGCGATGAATCACTGGAAAAATTCCTTCGGCGTGGTATGGTGGTTTGGGGTAGCGAGGTGACGCGAATACTTGAAGAAGGTGCCCGTCTTGTTGAAGAAACCGTCAACCCTGACGCTGGTGGATTTGTCACAGCAGTGCTTGCCGGTATGTAGTAGTATATCATCAGGTCATTCTTGTCATAGATTTTTAATTTTGGAGTTTATCAGTAATCGATGACTGGATGATGCTCAACGTTTCCCACCTATTAACTCAACTAAGCGACATTTTCTTAGTTAATGATTTATGACTTTAGTAAAAGAAACTATACATGCTGCATTCTTCAGCGGTTTTCGGAAAGAAACGCGTCCAAGGATTCAGTTATTAAGAACATTGAAGTTTACTTTTTTTTACTGCTCTTTTAACGGGAGGATTTCGTTTAAAACTGAAAATTTTATCGCGTAAAGAGAACTTTCTTGTTGCAGGTGCTCCACGAACTGGTAAGAGTTTTTTGGCTGCCGAGATTGCTCGCGCCTCAGATTTCCCGCTTATAAAGGTTAGTTTTTTCGTTCACTTTGCATATATATATATATATATATATATATATATAATCGATATTGTATAGCAGTGTGGTATGTTCATCACTTTTGCCTTTTCATAATCGATTTGATGGTTGATTTGCGGTTTAGGTTGTTTCACCTGGAGATATGGTTGGTTTTTCCGAGTCTGCAAAATGCCAAGCCTTACGAAAAGCATTTGCTGACGCACTTCGATCAAAACTAAGCGTTCTTCTTATAGATAACGTGGAGAGATTACTTGGTAGGATAGTTGTTAAGAAATTAACTTATACAACAGTTTTCTAGTACAATAATTTCAGACTATTCGCCTGTCGGGCCACGGTTTTCTAATCTCGTTCTTCAAGCCCTACTTGTTTTGCTTAACGAACCCCCTCCAGCGGTAAGTTTGTTGTACTTTTTTGCACAAGAAATTACAGTACTGGGGCGTTTTTTCCCCAAAAAGTTTTTTTTGCTGTCGAACTAAACTTTGATATGGTTTTTAAATATAAATAACATCCAATATAAGTACAATGGTGTTTTGGAAGCCGTTTGTCATGTGACTATCTGAAAAATTCTGATCTGCAGAGAAGCAGAAAATTTTCTGAAGTTTGCTATTTTCGAGATATCTTTTTGAAAAAAACCGTGCTTCCACATAGATTTGGCTTTGTAGAAGTTCAATGTAGTTTCTAGTACCAGAAACCATGAATCGAACCAATACCAGGATCCACCATCGTCCTGGTATCAAAGTGGCATGGTGGTAAATCTCCCTCTGATCCACATGGGCTGCGACGGCCTCTGGTGGTGACAACCTCGAGTAAACTTTGGTCAACCTGACCTCGGGACTCCAGCAAACCATAATGGCTTAACCAGCAAATTTCCGAAAAATGGTGATTATGCTGGGGTCCGCACAACCAGTGAAGACGGGCCATTCAAGTGTCGAGTATCAAGTGTTGTGGTTTCACTGGAATTTTTTACTGAGTCTAGCAGTTGTTTTTTTTTATAAATTCCTTGGATTTTGAGGTTCTTTAAACTTAAAAAGCAAATTAATTTTCGTCTTTTCTTGGGATCACTTATTTTTCATGCTTCCACAAAGATCCTTGTTCTTCTTTCTTTTCAGCAGTGAAGTATCGAGAGAATGTTTTTGCTCAGTTGGTTCTAGTTTTTAATTAAAGGACAAACCGTAAAATTGTGAACGTTGGTGGACCTCATGGAGGTGCATTGCCTCGTGAATTCGTTGGTTACAGTAAGTGTGGATCTGTACAGTAACTTTCAAAACTACTCAGTGAACAAGTGTATATTTCGTTCATTGGGTGACAGCTCTACTGTCAAGCGAATTAAGTCGAAATTGATTGAAGGCTGGTAGTAGTATTTATGGCGATTGTAACGTATCTACTACTATTTGCATCCTGCTTATACATCGAACATTACTGGATATCCCGTAATACATCGTAGCTGTTATTAGCGATCCTGACTGTTACATTGTCCTCGTTTGACCTGTATATCAATCTCGGGAGTGGGTAGCCTATATAGAAGTCTTGTAAGAAAGGCACTTTATATGCCTTCGATGTACACCAACCTGCGAAAGAGTGTTTGTGATGAGAACCTGAGAGCGGTCACACAGCTGTTTTGGGGTTCCATTGGAAATCAAGCTCGGTATCAATGTGTCAGTGAGGAGGGTGGACCACACATCGTCATGTCGTGAAGAAAACCATCTATATCAATGACGACTTCAAGACAACAAGAATGGTAGGAGTGCTGGAGTCTTAACGACGTGTAAAGACAGTCCATCTAACTAACCTATAACAGTGTTTTGTCGTTTCACTATTATCTAATGGTTATGCGATTTTGTACTTTTCACGCATACTTTTGCAGAGGAGAAGCCACAGTAGAAAACAGTTTTGGAGTAAAATATTTTTGTTGAACCTTATTTTTCCTGACTGTAAGCAGTGGTTTAAAACATACGGGGTAGATAAACGCTATTTCGGAAAAAACGGCCAAAAAGGATTCAACTTGGCTTTGAGTTCAAGTTGTTTTAAGAGATGAACTGTACTAGTAAACAAAATTTGTCACAATCGCAGTGGTGTTGAGATTTTTGCAAAACTCTGGACCATAAGTGTCTGCAGTGGCAATTGAACACGCTATTGCCCTTAAGGGAGCTAACGCGTTCTCCATTACACTGTGTAGATCCTTCTTTTCACCTTTCTCCCAGCTAGTTTTCTGTTTACCAGTGCCATGAGCAATCATCCGTCAACGGGATTGATCCGGAGAGCAAAAATCGACATTAAACCCTGTTAAGCTGGGGCTGTAGTCGAAATCACAATGCCAACTTTTTATTTACTGCCTAGCACATTTTTTAGATAACTAGATAGAAAACTAGGTGAGGGAAAAGCAAAACGAAGGACTCATATTGTGTGGTGGTGAACGCGTCAACCGCCGGAAAGGGTAATAGCGTGTTCGATCCCCACCGCAGACACCTGTTGTCCGGAGTTTTGCAAATATGTCGGCGTCATTGTGTGGTTGTATTTCACATAATACCTTGTCGTAAAAAATTGTAGTAGACAGTAAATAAAAAGTTGACATTGTGATTTATCACTTTAATTAAGAATTGTCTTTCCTTCATTTTCCTTAATTTCTGCACTTTTCCAAGTTTTGCTACCCCGTGTTGGATGAGTCCCAACATTCCCATTCCTTTCGTCATCTTATAACCTTCGTACACAGAGGTGGCCGGTATTCGGATGTGGGTTCGACATTGGCTAGAAACTCTGTGGTTTCTTTTCCTATTAATATGTCAGATTTGATTATTCCTGTGCAACAGTATATGGGCCTTTTGAGGACGATGTAACAAGCCGAATAGATTTCTAAATTATGGAGCTAAATTGTATACTAAACACTTTTTTTAAATCTATTTACAGGTGTTCCGTGTTTAATTGGTGGGAGAAAGCTGTGCATAACCACCTCTACTTACTCACTCGATACTTGAATAGCCGTCCTCACTGGTTGTGTGGACTTCAGCATAATAACCATTTTTTGGAAATTTGCTGGTTAAGCTATTGTAGTTCGCTGGAATCCTGAGGTTAGCCTGGCCAAAGTCTACCCCAGGTTTTCACCACCACAGGCAGTCGCAGCCTTTGTGGTTCAAAGGGAGATTTACCACCATGCCACTTTGATACCAGGACGGTGGTGGATTCTGGTATTGGTTTATTCTTAGCTATTCTTCCTGATGGAAACGCCGGACTCCTTCTCAGCTTGAGAGACTACGGTTGGGACGAATACCCCGCTGTACATCGCAGTCAGTCACCCAGTAACATCTCCCAGCCACGATGAGGCGATAAACTGTTGGGAGAAAACACCTCTACACTAGCTATTAATTGCTGATCCTTGTTGTTGCCTTTTCATACCAAATATCTGCTCTAAATCTTTATCAAACAAACACTAGTTTCGTTTCGTTGTGGTTAGATTTGTTTGATTTTTGGAAGTTAAGAAGATGTATAATGTAAACTTTATTAAAACTCGACGCCTTTTTTTCACAAGTAAGTGAAGGTTTGTATCTCTTACGGAACCTGTTCATAACTTCCACTTGGACAACTCGTTTGACATTGTGTGATCTTGTCCGGTGCAACAATTTCACCACTAAGGTCAACTCTTGTTAGCAAGTGTTATGACTTTCCCATTAGTAAAAGGCACTCCATGAAGAGGAGTTCGTTTCCATTTTGCTTGTCATAGAAGTCATAGAAGATGTCCATCAATGTAGACATAACGTCAATGAAAAACGGTTGTCAAGTTAAGTATCATTCGAAGAAATGATTGTGCAAAAATTTTAGTTCAGATACTGGTTTCAAAGTCTTGGGAATACGTTTATTACAAAGTTCGTGGAGCATAACTGGTAGTGACCACAGGACAGGTGCTGCCATTCCTTTTTAGATTCTGACTTTACCTTAGGGTCACCGACTTCTAGTGCTTGCTACATCTTCGAATCGATCGTTTCTTCGTGAACTTGAACTAGTAAATGCATTTGGTAGGTATCATCACCGTTAGTTTTTTAATTGGTTTTTTATTGAGTTGATGAATTAAATATCGGTTGTTGTAGGACATGTGATAGATGTACCAGTTCTGTCAACACCGGCGCATATAATGCATGTTTTGTATGAGTCAGATGTATTCACTGAGAAGGAACTTCAAAAACTTAACGCTGATCTCCAGAACCTCCTGAAGAAACAGAGGTGAGGAAAAGCCTTGAGTAACACATTCGGCTTTCTGTTATGGGTCAAAGAAGTGAAGACAGGAGATGAGTAACATATAATATCTCGGTCTTTCCGGTTTTTTCTTCGCTTCTTGCCAGTGTTTTAGTATGCTTTTAAACCTAATCTGTAGATTCGCCACTAAAATATGATCTCATATTTGTCGTGAAACTTCTTTTCTACCAATTCACTTAGGTTTTTAAATGATTCATCATATGACGCTGACCGTCTTCACTTTGTTAAATATTTTGTTGTTTTACAACAATTAGGCATTGATATGGGGGAGTTTTTATGATGTCTGAGCCACAGTATTGGGATCTATCATTTTTTGCCTCACTGGCATGTTGATTGCTGGTTGAGCATGTTTTCCGTTGGGATTCCGATATAGTCGTGCTAGAGGGGGATAGGATTGAAATATACTGCCTTGTGACTCGGATTCTAAGAAGACTACAGCTATTCCTTCAATGGCAGCAAAGCCTGCGATTCTTTGATCCGCCACATGAAGGCGATGCAAGGTCCAACTAGGGGGATTGTATTGCATGCTCTGTAATTAGCGAATGATTATTTTTGAAAAGTTGTGTTCGGCTCCTAACTAATTGTATATGCATGGTCGGGAACACACCGCACACTTAACGTTTACTAATACTGACGAGGAACACATGGAATCCAGAAGCTGTAATTAAACGTGTGGGTTGAGAAACCTTCTGAATTCACGATGATGACCAAAATATAGCCTGTCATAATTCTAGGCTACTCTCTTCAACATAGGTCATTAAAGCCTTACGCGGTGACGAAACTGACTATGTTGTTATCAATGGCAGGTTGCTTCGAATCGATGTTTCCATCGTTCTAACGTTCTGCGTGGAATGGTCTATTGCCTCCACACAAAATCCTGTTTTTTCAGAGAGAGAAGAAGGCCGTAAAATCTAAGAAAATAAACCCTGAAACGGTAGAAATTCGAATTTTTCTTCTCTTTTTTAAAAATACCGTTATGAACAATATTGGTGAAGATACGATTGCCTCATGCAAAATCATCAGTGTTAATAATGCAGAGTAGCAAGTGGTACACTGCAAATAGACATCTGCTTGTAGTAATTCAACATGATACGTTAGCGTGGAGCAGAACGATCTGTCAGCAACTGTACGTGTTGGTTTGCAAAGCTTTACGAGAATTGGTTAAAGAAAATCATGAAGAGGAAACAACAGAAGCACTGGGTGAAGCTGTGGATAGTGAAGAAGGGATTTGCAATGCCCGCTATAATTTCGCCGTTTACTGGCGTTATGAGTGTTTTCTTATTGGAGATGAACAGTGAATGAATCGAGAACGTAATTGATACAGTCATCTACAACTTCTACTCCAATGTTCGATGACCACATTCACTTGTCTTCATACTCTTTCATGGAGAAGTGATATCTATCTATCTCATTTCGACGATTTAACCTTCCGATGCCCAATACGGTGTCTTTGATGAGTCATAAGTCGGACATAACAGTTTGGAAATTTATCGCGAGTGTTCATCAACACACTGGATTGGTATTCTTGTTGAGCAAACACGAGGTGTTGCTTTATTCTTTATTCCGTTAAAGCTGGCGTTTCGGCAGTATCGCCTTCTTCAGAGTCGTGTATTACGTGCCTTCCACTGAGGAAGAAGAAGGTGATATTGCCGAAACGTCAGGTTTAACGGAATAAAGAATAAAATAGCACCTCGTGCTTGCTCAACAAGAAGGTCGAGAACTATTTGATCAATGCTGAGGTTAATAGAAAGTCGCTCGTGGGAATTACAATAGATTGGCTTCCTACAAGTTGTGTATTTTTGAGTCGGACAAGGCTCCCAATCAATGAAAACCAGGATGATCCAGTTTTCTCTCTGTGCTCTATAATTCTCCACTCCATAACAGCTTTACATAAATATTGCTGATTTTTCTTAATCCTATTGATTATTGTGATCCTTATTACTATACCCTGACAGGTTTACTTTGATAACAATGTGAACTTGAACTAAGTTTTTATTAAAAAGAGGAGAACTGGTTTTATTTAGTCTTGTTGCTAGTGCTTGGAGAAACAGAATATTTATAGAACGAGTTTCAGCTACGGCATCGGCATCAAACGTCTGCTTGGAGTGATTGATTTCTGTAGAAAATGTGAAGAAGGATATCGAGCCCAAATGATGTACAACAAAATCGAGGCGATCGCTTTAGGAATGGAGTAGTGAGATAGCGAAGCTTAAGAGCCGGATCTTAATAAGCGTTCATTAAGCAAAGCTAATCAAGCTAGGTTGATGTGACACCGGAGCAATGTCATTAGCTGTGGATATGGTGAGACTGAACTAGTCTTTTTCCTTCTCGATGATGACTAATTTAGTCGGACTTGGGTAACGTTATGGTGTTGAACTAATCAACAAGCACTTTTTCTGTGTGTTTCTTTCGGTGCTGGCATTCCATCACAAAAACTTTACATCACATTAGAGCTGTGTTGCGAAATTTGGTGATAACTTTCTGTACTAAAATCTTTAACGCTGTTTAAGTCAGTATAGTTACTCTTACTATTAAATGTAGTGTTTAGCATTTCTAGCAATAATTCTATGCTGCATTTCAAGTGGAACCACTTATTTCACGACTTATGCGTAGCGGTGTTTATTCCTGTGACAATGATTCTTCTCATTCCATAAATTATTTATGTTCGTTGGAAGTCTCTATATGGTGATCTATCTTAATTTAATTTATTTATTCCCATGATTTCTTACGATGGCTGGAAATAAAGGTGTAGTGGAAGTTATTTTGTATTTGAATTACTAACCCTGAATTGAACAGTAATGAAATAATGATATAACTAAATGTAATGAGATATGCTCAGTTGGCTAGGTTCAATTAATGAGAAGGTTATAAAAGTACTACTTGATAATCAAGTTATTGATTGGCACTGACTTAGGATCGATTTCTATTTTCCAGTGTTAGTAGTTTTTCCTTTTGTATTTTCTCTTTTCTGTTTTTCATACGTATTTCACTAAATTCCAATCGTTCGAACATGTTTCGGATAGGAAACAAGATTGTTCGTTGGCGATTAGGGAGATTTTCGATGAAGATGAATTCTTAACGGGAGAGCCAGCTTTGGCTTTTGTTGCCTCAAAGTGTCAGTTTGATCGCAGCGCAATGGTATTGATGAATATTTCGTTACAGCATTATAAACATTATATAAACATTGCATTACAAACAGATGTATAATTCTAATAATATGGTGCCAAAAATGTCTGAAATTCCCTAATATATTGGTTTTTGTTAGTATGGAGACAAGATTTTCTCCTAATATTCGCTGTTAGCCGTAAGGGTTTTGGTTTGCGTTTCTTTTTAGATGCACTGAATGCTCCATGTTATTTCATGTGAGATCATCCTTCGTTTCCACGATGTTCGTGAGAGATTGTAGACTTCTCAGTGATAAGATTAAGGCGATGGAAATGAAGGGGAAGAAGAAAAAGAAAAGGAAGATGATGGGAACTTAGACGTCAGTTCGGTCATCGCGTAAAAATTCATCCAACGCATCATTGTTGGTTTTGCTTTGATATGTCTTTCTTCATATTATTTGTTTTGTGTGAGGAATCATTTTATGCTGAGACTATTTCATCTTGTTATAATTTTACATATGTTTTCTCGTCACCTGGAATCATCTATAATCTTGCTTATCTATTGGATTTTTCCCAGAATTTTCTGGAAATTCACAGCTCTACTTGATCATGGTCGTGTAATGCAACCGATCATACGATTCCAAATCGGTCTACGTGCTTCAGGTCAAATACGTCGGTTGTTCATGCGAATTAGTGTCGTCCCAATTGACGATTTCGGTATCAGAACTTAAACGACTGCTTTAACATGTGCTCTTTCATTCATAAGCTAACACGAGTTTGATAAACAACTTTATTCGACCAACGTTTCGCCGTCTTCGTCTTCCTCAAAGGCGATGATTAGAGTCGATGGTCCGCAGTCGGTTCAGTTTCGATATGGTGCCTTCGTCCTTGTGTAGAGGGGAATTTTCTTCAGTGGAGCACTACTCGAATGAGGTAAACTCATCCGACGATGCTGTTTTGTACAGCACTGTTGTTGATAGTGAGTGTCCGGTGGTAACAACTTGTTTTTCCCGGCGAAATACAGTATACTGTCACTGTTTAGTGAGTGATGGTAGCATGCTTATCGGCACGTCGTTTATCGTCCGGCACACTCGTCGCGCTTTCTGAACGAGGACGTCCATCATGTATCTGGTTTTCGGTCATCGTCGTCACCCCACCAACCACCGCACCTAGGTGCTAGGCAGTGCCGAGTGCGATGGTCATCATGTAACATCTCAGAACCTGAGAAAGAAGCGAAATGATGAGAAGAACTCGTTCCGTACACTCACCCCACTGCACTGCACATATTGTATCTGTTTGTCGATCATTCTATACGAGGTGCGCTAACTCATACCATGCATACCAATCGACGGACATCAGACGAACTGAATGGCGTATGTGATTGTTGTTGATAAAGATGGCGTCAGCACTCATCAATCATACGGATCTGCTTACTCTTCAGCGAACTAACTTGTAGTAGATGTGATATGGTCGTGTTTAGCGCAATGGATAAAGTTCTCTTGTGATGCGTACACGATCATTGGTTTCGTTGCATGTAACTAAGCCCGTCATCGTTCCATAGTCGGCAAATAGCTATCAAATGTAGGCTAAATATGGAATGTATCACATTTACGATGACGAAATTTGGTGCGGAGAGGTAGCTGAGGGATCGGTTAATGCTGAACGATCTCTGCCTTCACATTTCACATAGCTACTCCAATATTTGGACGGTACATTTTCATTTGCTGTGTGAGTCGCAATACATCTCGAATTTCACTAGTGTTTTGTTGGTTGTGTAAATTCCTTTTTCCGTGCAGTTTCTGATGTTACTGATGTGTCAGCAAGTTCCCTACAAATCGCCTTAATTGTTGTGCATCGAGACAAGATTCACCGTATTGTGATTGCAATTCTTCCAGGATGGCGACGATTGCTGACAGAAATTCATCTCTCGCTGAACTTTTCTACGTTTATTTTTTTGCTGTTATACGGGCTGGATAATGTTAGATATGCAATCAGTATGTCCGTGACTCATGTTCGACCCCACACCTGGCCAATCGACCTTCCTATTCCTCTTGGTTCGGATACTTTATGCCAGACCGGTCTGAGAAGAGCTCTGATTCAAAACACTGGCGACTGCTTGTGATGAAAATCTGGAAACACGTTAGCATTGCTATCCCAGGATCCCAGCGGGAATTGGATCAATCAATGAAAAAAAAAGAGAGAAAAAAGGAGTTCGCAAAAAAGGGCAGAAATCTTCAAGCAGCTATCGGATTACACTCGAATATGAATT